CCAAGAATTCAAGACTTTGAATAAAACTACATTGAAACAAGAAATAAGCAATTTATACAAAGAATTAGAAAAGTATTGTTTTAGGCCCATTTTTCCTAAATGGTTAGGGCAATAACCCCCAAAATCAATCTGAACCTTTTTCTTGGGGGTATGGAACCTTGTGGTACAATTTCATATAGATCCATACACTTATACACAAGTTATTGTCCTGAAACAAGAAAAAAATGCTTGTTTTTGGCTTCTTATTCTTAACAGTTATGACAAGAACCCCCAAAATCAATCCCAGCCTTCCTTTGGTGGTATGGAACCTTGTGGTACAATTTCATATAGATCCATAACTTTTTCTCAAGTTATTGTCTTGAAGCCAAATGTCTTCGGACGACGACAACGACGTCATAACAGATAAAAAGGATTGAGATTAGTAGCTCTTGAAACAGTTATTGTCAAAATCTTTAAAATGGTATTTGACCTTTAGTTTATGATCCCGACATTTTTAGACCCAATGCAGAAAAGTATGAAGCAGGGATCGCTATTCACAGGTGGTATTTGGAAAGAAGTCTCCGAACAATATTACGGAATTCTCTAAATATACTGCCGAAATTTACCCCCAAGGATTACCTTACATAAATCAAATATTTAAAACAGCATTAACCGTCGTTTTCTAACATTTAGATATATCATGTCTACACGAGAACTCTACATTGAAATTTACGATAAAAGGGACGATTTTTCTCTCTCTATTGTTGATTTTCCTTTTTTTGGACGGTGATGCTCATTTGGCACTGTCTTACGGTGTTTATATATCCAAACTCGTTCGCTATGCCTGCGTCTTTAGTGACGTTATGGGTTTAGATGATCGTTAGCTAGGTATTACTGGTAAATTATCAATTGAGGGATTTTGTTACAACAAATTAGTTTAAACCCTTACTAAATACTTCCATGGTGATGTTGTTTACCGAACCCGGAAATTTAGATACAATCCGGGTAAACTTATTCTAAAAGGTTACCAATTATCCACTGTAATAAGATCTTTGATTATTGTTTAATTGGTATAAATATTAATTTTGTTGTCAGTTAATTAAACCCATACTAAATATTATTGTTATACACATGTGCACATTCACGGTACTACAATCTGTCGACACCTATATTTTGGCATTGCACAAAGTCATGTTTTTCTCACTATTAATGACGTTAGATGTTGGATATGCACTGATAGATATTTTAGTCTTAGATACACTATTTTTTATTAGCTGTTATTGGCTTTGAACTAGCTGTCAGATCTGTACTTTGTGTCTTTTTTGTTTTTAGGGATGTATAAATACCCGGCCACGTCCGGTCTGTGATTTTGATAGATTTTTTTTGTTGTTGCTTTGTTTCAATCTGATGAGTTGAGCCCTTTTCAACTGATTTTTGTAAGTTTCTTATGTTGTACTGTTATGCTACTGTCCTAGGTTAGGGGAGGGATGGCGCCTTCAAACATGTTTAACCCCGCCACATTTTGTACGTGCCTGTCCCAAGACAAGAGCATGTAGTTCTGTGGTTGTCGTTGGTTCACGTCTTTCATATTTGTTTTTCGTAAATTAATTTGTTATTAATTATGCTATTAGATTTCTCAATTGTTAAGTAAACTGTAATTATATTGTATTAAGCAATGAATTATTCGCAGGCTCGACAAAAACTCGATTGTAACGCTGAATTATATTGTATTTCTCTATAAATTATTCGTTTAATTGCATTATATCAATTGTTTATAATTTAAAAGAACTTTACAAGAAATTAGGGGACCTGCTACTTTGTCAATAAAAAAAGCATGGTGGAATGCAAGCACATATCGAAATCAAAGCATCGTCGGAGCTATGATCCAGCCATTTTAATATATAGTTAGTTCAACATTTTTCTGATCTCATTTTCAATATTTTTTCTTTTCTTCAATATACCAACTTCTGCAAGACAAAGACAATCATCAGAACTAGGGGTAAGTGATGTTTGCCCAAAATGTAAATTCGTGTAAAAACACATTTTCTATTTAAAAAAAAAACTTATAGAGACGATACCAAGGGACAAGTTAAAACATAAATATAATATAACACAAGGATTGAAATGTCGAATCCTCACGGCCGTAAATTATGTCGAGTCATGTAGGCAGTTGTCTCCTTTTGCAGGTCAACCAAAAAATAATAATACATAACAATAGCAATAAAATGCTCCGCTAGGCACAAGCTTGATACTACCGCAGAGGTCGAACCCTGAACAGTTGAGGCAAGTATGGACACACATTTAAGCTTAAACAGCTCTGAAATTGGATTGTGACTGAATATTTGACACAGCATAGATTTGTGACACAAAATAAATGTGGTCAAAGAACTGAAAAATTTACATATAATGGTCCAATATCCAAAATCTAAGAACATGGTAAGAATCAGCATATCAAAGAACCCTACAGTCCCCTAAAAACCAAGCATAAAATCAAAAAACCTAAAACAATTTTGGATTGACCATATCAAATAACACAAACAATTTAATTTTTGATGAAATCAAACAATGTTCAATTTTGGACCCCAATTTAGTCCATCTTGAATACTGTGTCCAAAATCAAATATCTAAATACATGCTTAGATTCAGCATATCAAAGAACGACAACCATTATTTTTTCTTGAAAATCAAACAAAGTTTAATTTTGGACCCTTTGGACCTTAATGTGGGCCAACCATGTCAATATAAATAAACTGTTATCACAGAGATATGTCTCGCCTTTATGTAATTTTGAAAATGCAAATGTTGAAATTAAAATTGCAGTACTTTAACATGTAAGTAATGCAAATATTCAAAGTCGATGAACCATGACTGAAGGTACATGGCTAAACAATCTCCATGGAATGAGATGTGCCAATGCTAATACAACTGCATACCAAATACCATTGACTTATTATAAGTCGTTCCCTTTAAACAAACCTAAACACAAACATTAACTTGTAAACTATGTAAAAGTTTCAAAGTCAATGAACCATGATCAGGGGTGGGGCTATATAATCTCCATGAAAACGAGACTTGCAAATGCCAATAAATTTGCATACCAAATATCAATGACTTAACATTAGCAGTTCATCTTAAACTGATCTAATCACAAACTAATACATGTAAACTAAGCAAAAGTTTCAAAGTAAATAGACCATGACTGAGAGGGCGGGGCCAAATATTCTCCATGGAAATGAGATGTGCTAATGCTTATACAACTGAACACCAATTAACATTGGCCTACCACTAATGGTTCCCCTTGAACTGACCTAATCACAAACTAATACATGTAAACTTAGCAAAATTTTCAAAGTCTATAGACCATGACTAAGGGGGCGGAGTCAAATAATCTCCATGGAAATGAGATATGCCTATGCTTATACAACTGCATACCAAATATCATTGACCTACCACTAGTGGTTCCCCATAAATTGACCTAATCACAAACTAATACATGTTAACTATGAAAAGTTTCAAAGTCAATAGACCTTGACTGAGGGGGCGGGGCCAAATAATCTCCATGGTAATGAGATGTGCCAATGCTAATACAACTGCATACCAAATATCATTGACCTACCACTAGTGGTTCACCATGAACTAGACCTAATCACAAACTAATACATTGTTGACGCCGCCGCCGCCGTCGCCGTCGCCGCCGCCGACGCCGGAAACAGCATACCTATGTCTCGCTTTTTGACTCCGTCAAGGCGAGACAAAAATCTAAATACACGCTTAGATTCAGCATATCAGAGAACCCCAAAAATTCTTTTTTTCTAAATAAAAAAAAAGTTGTATTTTGGACCCTTTAGACCTTAATGTGGACCAATTTGAAGACAGGCCTCAAAATTAAAAAAAATCTAAATACACAATTAGATTCAGCATATCAAGCAACACCAATAATTTAATTTTTAAAGAATTCAAACAAAGTTTAATTTTGGAGCCATTGGACCTTAATTTAATATGAATCATTTCAAAAATAGACCCTAAAATCCAAATATTTAATACCCAATTAGATTCAGCATATTAAAGACTCCCAAGAATTCAAGACTTTTGAATTAAACCCCATTGAAATTGCAAAAAAAAAATAAGCAATTTATACAAAGTATTGGTTTTGGCCCCTTTTAATTAAACCAATAGGGTCATAACCCCTAAAATCAATCACAAACTTTATTTTATGGTATAACACCTTGTGGCATATATATATATATATATACTTATACTTAAGTTATTGTCGAGAAATCAGAAAATCCTAGTTTTTTTGGCCTTTTGTTATTGAATGGTTTGGACCATGACCCCTACAATCAATCCAAACTTTCCTTTTAAAGTAAGGAACCTTGTAGTAAAATTTCATAGAAATCCAAACTCTAAAACACAAATTAGTGTCCTGAAACATTTTGTCTCTTTTTTGGTCCAACAGCTACAATAACCACAAAAATAAATCCGAACCTTCCTATGGTGGAATGGAACCTTGTGCTTAAATTTAATACAGATATATACAGTTATGTTCGTTATTGTCTGTGAACCAGATAAATAATTGTTTTTGTTAGGCCCTTTTTGGCCCCTAATTCCTAAACAGCTACCATAACCCCCCAAAATAAACCCCAACGTTCATATTGTGGTATGGAACCTTGTGCAAAAATTGAATAGAGATCCATACACTTATACTTTAAGTTATTGCCTGCAAACCAGAATAAAATGCTCCGCTGGGGCGCAGCTTGATACGACCGCAGAGGTCGAACCCTGAACAGTTGGGGCAAGTATGGACACAACATTCAAGCTTGATACAGCACTGAATTTGGATTGTAATTAAATATTTGACACAGCATAGGTTTCTGACACAGAATTAATGTGGTCTAAGAACTTAATTCTTTTTAATTTACCTATTCAAACCATATCATTATTATTTGCTTTTATATATAAATCAGAAATAACCAATTTAAAATGGAAAATTTTAAAGAAAAAAAAAAGGAAACCCCCCCCCCCAAATTTGTTGAACCCCCTTATGATTCATCACCCCAAACTCAATCCTAGCCTTCCCTTTGTGGTATGGTACCTTGCAGTACAATTTCAGAGAGATCCATACACTTGAACACAAGTTATTGTCTGGAAACTAGAAAAATGCTTGTTTTTTGGCCCCTTTTTGGCTCCAAATTCCTAAACGTTTAGGGCAATTACCCCCAAACTCAAACCTAGCTTTCCCTTTGTGATATGGAACCTTGCAGTACAATTTCATAAAGATCCATCGATTACACACAAGTTATTGTCCTGAAACTAGAAAAATGCTTGTTTTTTTGTTCCTTTATGGCCCCTAATTCCTAAAATTTTGAGGGAATTACCCCCAAAATCAATCCCAGCCTTCCCTTTGTGGTATGGTACCTTGCAGTACAATTTCAGAGAGATCCGTACACTTGAACACAAGTTATTGTCTGGAAACTAGAAAAATGCTTGTTTTTTTGTTCCTTTATGGCCCCTAATTCCTAAAATTTTGAGGGAATTACCCCGAAACTCAATCCCAGCCTTCCATTTGTGGTATGGTACCTTGCAGTACAATTTCAGAGAGATCCGTACACATGAACACAAGTTATTGTCTGGAAACTAGAAAAATGCTTGTTTTTTGGCCCCTTTTTGGCCCCAAATTCCTAAACGTTTAGGGCAATTACCCCCAAACTCAAACCTAGCTTTCCCTTTGTGATATGGAACCTTGCAGTACAATTTCATAAAGATCCATACACTTACACACAAGTTATTGTCCTGAAACTAGAAAAAATGCTTGTTTTTATGCCCCTTTTTTGGCCCCTAATTCCCAAAATTTGGAGGCAATTACCCCCAAAATCAATCCCAGCCTTCCCTTTGTGATATGGAACCTTGTGGTACAATGTCAGAGAGATCCATACACTTACAAACAAGTTATTGTCATGAAACTAGAAAAATGCTTGTTTTTTGGCCCCAAATTCCTAAAATTTGAAGGCAATTACCCCCAAAATCAATCCCAGCATTCCCTTTGTGATATGGAACCTTGTGGTACAATGTCAGAGAGATTGATACACTTACACACAAGTTATTGTCATGAAACTAGAAAAATGCTTGTTTTTTGCCCCTTTTTGGCCCCTAATTCCTAAAATTTGGAGGCAATTACCCCCAAAATCAATCCCAGCATTCCCTTTGTGATATGGAACCTTGTGGTACAATGTCAGAGAGATCCATACACTAACACACAAGTTATGTCTGGAAGTTACAAAAATGCTTATTTTTGGCCCCTTTTTGGCCCCTTATTCCTTTACTGTTGGTACCATAACCCCAAAAATCAATCCCCACCTTCCTTTTGTGGTATTGAACCTTATGGTAAAATTTCATAGAGATCCATTTACTTAAACTAAAGTTAGAGTGCGAAAACCAATGTGTCTTCGGACGACGATGACGCCGGACGACAACGACGACGACGACGCCAACGTCATACCAATATACGACCGCAAAATTTTTTTGCGGTCGTATAAAAATAGTTGTTTTCTGCCCCTTTTCGATCCCTAATTATTAAACGATATGGGCCATGACCCTCCAAAAATCATTGGTATGGAACCTTGTGGTAAAATTTCATAGAAATCTATACTCTTATACACCAATTATTGTCCTGAAACATGAAAAATGCTAGTTTTTGGCCCTTAATTCCTAAACAGCTACTACAATAACCCCCAAAATAAATCCCAACCTTCCTATTGTGGTATGGAACCTTGTGCTAAAATTTAATAGAGATCCATACACTTATACTCAAGTTATTGTCTGTAAACCTGACAAAAAATTGTTTTTATTAGACCCTTTTTGGCCCCTAATTCCTTAACAGCTGTTACAATAACCCCCACAATTAATCCCAACCTTCCTATTGTGGTGTGGAACCTTGTGCTAAAATATTGACCAAATAAATATCGCTTATACTCAAGTTATTGTCTTAAAACCAGACAAATAATTGTTTTGGCCCCTTTCTGGAACCTAATTACAAAACCGCTAAGACAATAACCCCCAAAATCACTCCCAACTCTCCTATTGTGGAATGGAACCTTGTACTTAAATTTCTTACACAACCATACACTTACACTAAAGTTATTGTCGGCGAACCAATTTATTTTCCATGAACCAATAAAACTGACATTGTTTGGCCCCTAATTACACAAGAGTGCACACGCTGAAATGTCTCGCCTTCTTTACTAATCATTGATATTATGTTGATAGTCCTAAATATAAAGCTTTATTACAACTATCACATAAACTTAACATTAACCAAGTAAACTAAAAATTGACCAATGAACCATGAAAATGAGGTCAAGGTCAGATGAACCATGCTAGGCAGGCATGTACAGCTAACAATTCTTCCATACAACAAATATAGTTGACCTATTGCTTATAGTTTAAGAAAAACAGACCAAAACACAAAAACTTAACACTGAGCAATGAACCTTGAAATTGAGGTCAAGGTCAAATAAAACCTGTGTGACTGCCATATAGATCATAAAATATTTCCATACACCAAATATAGTTGAACTATTGCATATAGTATTAGAAAAAAAGACCAAAACTCAAAAACTTAACTTTGACCACTGAACCATGAAAATGAGGTCAAAGTCAGATGACACCTGCCAGCTAGACATGTACACCTTACAATCATTCCATACACCAAATATAGTAGACCTATTGGATACAGTATAAGAAAAACAGAACAAAACACAAAGGCTTAACTATAACCACTGAACCATGAAAATGAGGTCAAGGTCAGATGACACCTGCCAGTTGGACATGTACACCTTACAGTCCTTCCATACACCGAATATACTAGACGTATTGCTTATAGTATCTGAGATATGGACTTGACCACCAAAACTTAACCTTGTTCACTGATCCATGAAATGAGGTAGAGGTCATGTGAAAACTGTCTGACGGGCACGAGGACCTTGCAAGGTACGCACATACCAAATATAGTTATCCTATTACTTATAATAAGAGAATTTGACATTACAAAAAATCTTAACTTTTTTTTCAAGTAGTCACTGAACCATTAAAATGAGGTCAAGGACATTGGACATGTGACTGACGGAAACTTCGTAACATGAGGCATCCATATACAAAGTATGAAGCATCCAGGTCTTCTACCTTCTAAAATATAAAGCTTTTAAGAAGTTAGCTAACGCCGCCGCCGCCGCCGCCGGATCACTATCCCTATGTCGAGCTTTCTGCGACAAAAGTCGCAGGCTCGACAAAAACCACAAGGACAACAGCTCCCAAAAACAATCCCAACCATCCTTTAGTGGTCTAACCTTGTGCTAAAATTTCATAGAGATCCATGAACTTATACTCAAGTTATTGTCTGCGAACCAAAATGTCTTCAGACACAGACAACACCATAACATGATACTACCTGCGGTAGTATAACAAGTGAAACTGCGAGCTACTGCTCACTGGTGATACCCCCGCCCAAATATTTCGGTAAACAGGAAGTTGTTGAGTGATGAATCTGAAAACGCATCACACGCACTACAAACCAGTAAAAGTCTGAAATGGCCTATATCTGTACTCGACTGTACTGATTTTTACTCGACCAGTCTGAATTGGTCTGAAATTTACTTGATAATACTCGACTGTAGTCTGAACCATACTTAACAGTCTGAACTTGTACTCGACCAGTACTTAATAATTTTATACGCTTCTGAACCATGATCCACCTAGTCTGAACCATGCTCGACCTAGTCTGAACCATACTCGACCTAGTCTGAACCATACTCGACCTAGTCTGAACCATACTCGACCAAGTCTCAACCAACCTAGACCTATTTTTTGTATCTATCTATTGTATTTCATCAATTTAGGAACTGTTTTTAACAACAGCTATTTCCCCTGGCTAGAAATTTGAACAACAATTTGAAATTAAAAATGTATTCAATATAGCATTGAAACCAAAATTTCACAATAAACATAATATAACTTCATCACCATATTCATCAACACTAATTTTATATACATACATATATATCACCTTTAAAATAAAAATAAAACAAGCTGATCAAATAATCTCAAAACTGAATTGTGACTAATATTTTCAATGTTATTCAAAATTTTTTGAATGTTTCAGATATATTTTATGGTTACTGGACAATTTTCACCATTAACTTAAGCCTCGTATAGATTTATGGTGTCACGTCTTGAGTTTAGTTAATAATGCAGTGAACATTTTTTTTATTAAAATATATATAAAATAGCATATAAAGCAAATTAATAAATTTAAAAAATGACACCTTTGTTTTGTTAAACCAAGAATTTAATATAATCATGATAATAGAACTTCCATAGTAATCCTGTGATAAACTTTTAAAAAAGGAAATGTGTTCCAAAGTTACAGTAAAAATTTATTTCAATTAAATTTAAATAATTTTTATCAAAATTAAAGACATGGCATACAAGAAGCACTTTAATAAGGTTTAATTGCCTCAGTATATGTGTGTTTTACAGGTGAAAAGAAAGCCCTATTTTTCTTAAACTCGTGTATTACTTATCTAGTGAATTCAAAAGGCCTTGCGATTTAAGTTTCACAGGATGTTGCAATTTTGAATGAATGTTATTTAGAATTTAATACTCTCTGACCAGGTGTGATCTTTTTCATGAGTTTGCCCCAATCAGGAGGTATTACTTTATACTTCACCACTAATGAGAAGAACAACTTTATTAATTTCTTCAATTTTTATCCCTTTTTGATATATATATTGTATATAATATATCCCAAATTATAATAATAGATATATATTTCTAAAATAAGGTTAAACAATTTCAGTGATTTTGTTGGCTGTTGTTACCTCATTAAAAAGATAATTATATAACTATTGTACTTTTTTTGTATGTAACCATGAAACCTATGTAGTTTTTATTTAGGAATTTAGGAAAATTAATTTAAAAAAAAAACACATGCCAAACAAGAAGCACCTTAATAAGGTTTAATTACCCTCAGTATAGGTGTGGTTTATAGGTAAAAAAGAAAATCTTTTTTTATCAAAACTCTAAAACTTTAAAATTAATACAATTAAATTATTATATAAGATAATTTGATTTAACTATCTCTATTCGATAAATCTGAGAATCATGTAAGAATGTAAAAATCTGTTTTTATAATATATCTTTATTTTATTGTGGCTGTTGTCATATCAGTTAAAAAGAAATTTATTTTAACAGTTAAAATTTAGAAAAAGTAGAGGTTATTTGGTCAAGTATGGTTCAGACTGGTCGAGTATTGTTCAGACCTTTGGTCGAGTATGGTTTAGACTGAAAAAATAGGTCGAGTACAGGTCGAGAATGGGTTAAGACTGTTTCGGACTGGTCGAGTAATAGTTCAGACTATTTTCAATGGCAAAGATAAGGGTCAAGTACAAATCAGTACAGTCGAGTATGGTTAAGACTGGGGTCGAGTAATGTCGAGTAAAATTCAGACCAATTCAGACTGGTCGAGTAAAAATCAGTACAGTTGAGTACAGATATAGGCCATTTTAGACTTTTACTGGTTTGTAGTGACGGTATAGCTGACTTATATAAACCCTGAAAACAAATTTCAGAAATCCTTGTATTGTAGTTCCTGAGAAAGATGCGACGAAAATTTTCAACTTTGCTATCATGTGTAAAATGATACAAGTGTTCAGTAAACAGGAAGTTGTTGATTGATGAATCTGAAAACGCATCACACGGTATAGCTGACTTATATAAACCCTGAAACCAAATTTCAGAAATCCTTGTATTGTAGTTCCTGAGAAAGATGCGACGAAAAATATTCATGGGACGGAAGGACAGACAGATGTAAAACAGTATACCCCCACTTTTTTAAAGCGGGGGTATAATAAGGAAAGAAAAGAAAAGAAACAAAATGTTATATTTCTCATTTTGACATCTGCCACCTGTCCTGACATTGCAAAACATTTATCGCCACCCTGACATCTTTAACAAGTCAAATATCGCTGCTCAGCTTCAGGGCCCTGGACGAACCAAATACATCCGCCTATTATAATGCCTCCTATACACCAAGTCTAATTTACGGCCCTGATCTTTTAAGTATTATATAACATTATCAGTTATTTTCCTTTTTAAAATCACTTCTTTTAGCACATGAATTTGTTAGAAAACTTTTTGTTATGGCATAGGCATACTATTTTTTCTAACTCATGTAAGGATCTTTTATTGATTTTTTTTTCATTTCTATATTCCATCATTTTCCACATCCAACTATAAAGTTTTTATTCTGTTGCCCAAAGAAAGATAATTTTTCAATACTTATGCACATTCTTACTTTATTTTAATATTACAAGGTGCACTTACTAACAACTTTTTTTTTATTATAATTTTTCAATTTAATGATTTTGATATGGATGGAAAGAAGAATCTTCAAAGGAAGATGTAGTATATTTTTTTTATTGAAGTTTAAATAAACATAATTTCCAGAAAGATGCATTGAAAATGCACTTTTTTCAACAACAAAATATTACGTAAATAATTTTTAACCGGATTTTCGAAGGAAAAATCGGTTGTTGAATTGGGGATGTACGGCGGGCGGCTGCCAAACAGTGTCCGTTCATTAACATGAAAACGCTTTGACGAAATTTAGATATGTTGTTTCCTGCGACTAAATGAAGGTCAAGTTCAATTTTCACGATTTTAGCTCTTCTTCTTCCATATACTGCCCACATTCAACTTTCTGAATATACTGGCAAATTTGGTTCCGCATAGTTAAAAACAGGCTAAAAGCAAAAGTTCATCTTTAGTTTGTAAGGTTGGTCATTTGAGATTTGAATGTCTCAAATGACTGTGCTGTGGAGATCTCCGGGGGAAGCTTGTTCCAGTCTTTGGTGGTGTTCACAAAGAAGGACCATTTCCTTCAGTCTTTGGTTGCTGTTTGTACCATGTATCCATTCTGTTGTGTGTGTCTGGATATTCTAGTTGGGTTTTTGGAGGTACACGTCTTTGTTGATGGCTACTTTGGCGTTGACGATCTTATACATCTTGCGAGCCTGGCCTTTCTGCGTCGTTCTTGGAGGCTTTTCCAACCCCCATTCGTTAATCATGTCCGTGACACTTGATCTGTTTCTGTGGCGCCTGGTGACGTATCACGCAGCCCTCCTTTGAACTTTTTCAATTTGGTCAATATGTTTTTGATGATATGGGTCCCATACTGTTGTGGCGTTCTAGTTTGGGCCTTACTAGAGTTTTGTATGATCGCTCTTTGTTGCTTTTAGAGCCGATGTGTAGGTTTCGGTGGAGGAAACCAAGGCTTCTGCTGGCTTTTCTGGTAATGTTGTTGATATGTTCTACCCAATCTAGTTCGCTTGTGATGGTGCAGCCCAGGTATTTAATTGACGTTTCATGTTGTTCTCATTGTTGAGTAATAGCCCTTTTCCAGAAGCCAAAAGTGGTACTTATGTGATTGAGTTATTTCCCTTTGAACAGAAATGGTTAATTATATATATAAAGTTTGATTACACTAACAGATAAGTTGTATATATTTTTAAAAGCCATTGTATTAATGATAAATTACATTTTTGATTTTTTTTTCTTTTATTTGGTAAATTGTTTGAAGAATTTTGTGGTAGTTTTTTTTTGTTATTCTGTAATCAGAATGTTATATATATATTTTTTTTTTGATGAAGTGAACTTTAAAAACTAAGCTTATATTGTCTATTAATAAACATAATTTATATTTAGATTTCTGATTTTGGGCCCAGTTTTCAAGTTGGTCCAAAATTAAACTGTTTGATTTCAACATAAATTGAATATATATAGGGTTCTTTGAAATGCTGAATCTAACCATGTTTAGTGGTTAAATCATATCTAATTTTATTGATTATAATCAGAAAATAGATATAACATCATATCTAATTTTAGAGAACTATTTGTATATCATTTATTCAGTTTGAGTTATTTCCCTTTGAACAGAAAATTAATAAGTATATGGATAAAATTAAACTGTGTTTCACCTTGCAATCATTCAAATATAGTTGACCTAGTGCTTAAAGTACTTGAAAACCAGACCAAAACACAATAAAATGATCCGCTGGGCGCAGCTTGATACGACCGCAGAGGTCGAACCCTGAACAGTTGGGGCAAGTATGGACACAACATTCAAGCTTGATACACACTGAATTTGGATTGTGATTAAATATTTGACACAGCATAGGTTTCTGACACAGAATGAATGTGGTCTAAGAACTTATAAATTATTAATTTACCTATTCAATCCATATCATTATTATTTGCTTTTACATATAAATCAGAAATAACCAATTTAAAATGGAAAATTTTATAGAAAAAAAAAGGAAAAAAAATCCCTCCCCCCAAATTTTTTGAACCCCCTTATGATTCATCACCCCCAAACTCAATCTAAGCCTTCCCTTTATGGTATGGTACCTTGCAGTACAATTTCAGAGAGATCCATACACTTGAACACAAGTAATTGTCTGGAAACTAGAAAAATGCTTTTTTTTTGCCCCTTTTTGGCCCCAAATTCCTAAACGATTTGGGCAATAACCCCCAAACTCAAACCCAGCTTTCCCTTTGTGATATGGAACCTTGTAGTACAATTTCATAAAGATCCATACACTTACACACAAGTTATTGCCCTGCAACTAGAAAAATGCTTGTTTTTTGCCCCTTTTTGGCCCCCAATTCCTAAAATTTTGAGGCAATTACTCCCAAAATCAATCCCAGCCTTCCCTTTGTGGTATGGTACCTTGTAGTACAATTTCAGAGAGATCCATACACTTGAACACAAGTTATTGTCTGGAAACTAGAAAAATAAAATTGAGAATGGAAATGGGGAATGTGTCAGAGACAACAACCCGACCATAGAACAGACAACAGCAGGTCACCAACAGGTCTTCAATGCAGCGAGAAATTCCCGCACCCGGAGGCGTCCTTCAGCTGGCCCCTAAACAAATATATATATTAGTTCAGTGATAATGAACACCATACTAAACTTATTTTTGGCCCTTTATTCCTGAACGTTTTAGGCAATTACCCCCAAACTCAATTCCAGCTTTCCCTTTGTGATATGGAACCTTGTAGTACAATTTCAGAAAGATCCATATACTTATACACAAGTTATTGTCATGAAACTAGACAAATGCTTGTTTTTTGCCCCTAATTCCTAAAATTTTGAGGCTATTACCCCCAAAATCAATCCCAGCATTCCTTTTGATATGGAACCTTGTAGTACAATTTCATAAAGATCCATACACTTACACACAAGTTATTGTCCTGAAACAAGAAAAATGCTTGATTTTTGCCCCTTTTTGGCCCCTAATTCCTAAAATTTTGAGGCAATTACCCCCAAAATCAATCCCAGCCTTCCCGTTGTGGTATGGTACCTTACAGTACAATTTCAGAGAGATCCATACACTTTGAACACAAGTTATTGTCATGAAACTAGAAAAATGCTTGTTTTTTGCCCCTTTTTTGGCCCCTAATTCTTAAATTTTGAGGCTATTACCCCCAAAATCAATCCCAGCATTCCCTTTTTGATATGGAACCTTATAGAACAATTTAAGAAAGATCCGCTGGGGCGCAGCTTGATACGACCGCAGAGGTCGAACCCTGAACAGTTGGGGCAAGTATGGACACAACATTCAAGCTTGATACAGCACTGAATTTGGATTGTAATTAAATATTTGACACAGCATAGGTTTATGACACAGAATGAAAGTTGTCTAAGAACTTAAAAATTTTTAATTTACCTTTTCAAACCATATCATTATTATTTGCTTTTATATATAAATCAGAAATAACTAATTTAAAATGGAAAATTTTATAGAAAAAAAAGGAAAAAAAAAATCCCCCCCCCCCCCAAATTTTTTGAACCCCCTTATGATTCATCACCCCCAAACTCAATCCCAGAGCGATCCATACACTTGAACACAAGTTATTGTCTGGAAACTAGAAAAATGCTCGTTTTTTGGCCCCAAATTCCTAAACATTTAGGGCAATTACCCCCAAACTCAAACCCAGCTTTCCCTTTATGATATGGAACCTTGCAGTATAATTTCATAACGATCCATACATTAACACACAAGTTATTGTCCTGAAACTAGAAAAATGCTTGTTTTTTTGCCCTTTTTGGCCCCTAATTCCTAACATTTTGAGGCAATTACCCCCAAAATCAATCCCAGCCTTCCCTTTGTGGTATGGTACCTTGCAGTACAATTTCAGAGAGATCCATACACTTGAACACAAGTTATTGTCTTGAAACTAGAAAAATGCTTATTTTTGGCCCCTTATTCCTAAACTTTTTGGGCAATTACCCCCAAACTCAATTCCAGCTTTCCCTTTGTGATACGGAACCTTGTAGTACAATTTCATAAAGATCCATACACTTACACACAAGTTATTGTCATGAAACTAGAAAAATGCTTGTTTTTTGCCCCTAATTCCTAAAATTTGGAGGCAATTACCCCCAAAATCAATCCCAGCATTCCCTTTGTGATATGGAACCTTGTGATACAATGTCAGAGAGATCCATACACTTACACACAAGTTATGTCTGGAAGTTACAAAAATGCTTATTTTTGGCCCCTAATTCCTCAACTGTTGGTACCATAACCCCCAAAATCAATCCCCACCTTCCTTTTGTGCTATTGAACCTTATGGTAAAATTTCATTGAGATCCATTCACTTAAACTAAAGTTAGAGTGCGAAAACTAATGTATCTTCGGACGACAACGACAACGTCATACCAATATACGACCACAAAAATTTTTTTGCGGTCGTATAAAAATGCTTATTTTTGGCCCCTAATTCCTTAACTGTTGGTACCAAAACCCTCAAAATCAATCCCAACCTTCCTTTTGTGGTATTGAACCTTATGGTTAAATTTCATAAAGATCCATTCACTTAAACTTAAGTTAAGAGTGCAAAAACCAATGTGTCTTCGGACGTCGACGACGACGCCAACGTCATACCAATATACGACCACAAAATTTTTTGGCGGTCGTATAAAAAACGAAAGGGAGCTCACGTCAATAGATATAAACAATTCACCAAAGTTTTATGCAAATTGGTTAAAGCATTTTTGAGTTTATGTCCGACATGTTGACGACGGATGGACAGACGGACAGAGGTATACCATGATACGTCCCATAAGTGGTTCCCAATAAACTGACCTAATCACAAACTGATACATGTCAACTAAGCAAAAAATTTAAAGTCAATAAACCATGACTGAAGGGGTGGGGCCAAATAATCTCCATGGAAATGAGATGTGCCAATGCAAATACAACTGCATATCAACTATCATTGACCTACCACTAGTGGTTCCCAATAACTGACCTAATCAAAAACTAATACTTCACCACCACTGGTTCAATAGGATTTCAGGTAATCAATAGGTCAGTAACTAATATGGCGTCACTCAGTGGCAATAAAGGCAATTGCTGTTAAAAACAAACCTAATGTGATATGAAAGATTTTGGCAAAACATCATTAAGCATTGTATTACAATGTACAACACAAATAAATTATAATATATATTCAGATATAGTCTTGCTTATCATCAAACTTGCATCATCATTGATGCAGGAAGCACATTTGTTTTATCTGACCAGTTTTATAATCCTTCTCCCCCTTCATGCCCTTCCCCCATCAGAAATCAGCCAAGAAATCTCAATCATTGAGCAATTTCATTCATGGAGTTTTCAAACCATGCTAGACCCTGCTTCTGGATACTTTACAGTAGATAAAAAAAAAATTGTGTACCTTTTATGCTTGCCAGTTTAAAAGTGACTAATTTGAGATGCAGTAAATCAGTGCATGAGCACTGCTTCCACTGAACATGTAAAATTGTGAAATTATTGAACATATTTTTTTTTCTACAATGCACCATGAGCAATTGATTGATTGTTGGTGCTTAACACCACTTTCAGCACATTTGGCTATATCAGCAGCCAGTTTTTTTGTAGGAAAAAGCCAGAGTGCCCAGAGAAAACCACGATATTCAGCTGGAAAACTAGCAATCCTGGCCAATCAAAGTCTGAATCAAACCCAACTGCAATGTGTGGGTTTTGAGCTCACAATCTCAGTGTTGACAGGCTAGTGATAACTGTAGATGAACTACCATCACCACTCCACCACTGTTCCATCAGCAATTGATCAAGTATATAAAATAAGAAAGTAAAAATAAATTAGGTAGGACAGATTGTTTTATTTAGCACAGTCTTTATTCAGCCTCTTCTTTACTTTTTAAGAATGCCGCCTTTTTCTGCTTGACTCTGTCTTTCCTCTGTGCACTTGCCATCTTGGATCGATTCCATCTGAAAGAATACAATAATAATAATGTATTTAATATTTGGATAAATGGGAAATAGTTAATGATCTTTGTCATGCATTAGGTTTAGCTTGACTCTTATTCGAATAGTTTTAATTTTTAAAACTTTTACACCTTTTTATCCCTTCGTTGTAATATTTGCATTATAACTTCATAGTTAATTTACAGTAACTTTTCTATGGAAATAAACCCAATGGTTTTTCGAGGAATACGTTTCTACTTATCTGCACTCAATGTGTGTTGAAGTGTTTGAGAGGTGGTGATATTTGACGAGGTCATTTTCATTGAAAGACTTTGTGTCGCTATAAACCAGTTTGTCATTGGGAATGTTTTGAGTTAACTACTGTATGTATTCATATTGGCTATGTTTAACTTACCTCTTCTTAGGAACCTCTTTAGATACTTTAGCTTTAGCTTCAGGATTGGATCTTATTGCAGCGTGACCTTTCTTGTACATAGTCTCTACCTATTATGGAAACATAATACTTATTAATGACAAGGAGAGAATCCATACCATCTATACTTTCTGCCTTTTTAATTACAAAGCTTTATGTGCCCATTCAGGTTCATTATCTACCTGTTAAAATCAAAGATCAATACGATATCAAAAGATATGGTTTTATCCCCTCCTTAACTTGGATAATAAAATGCTCCGCAGGGCGCAGCTTGATACGACCGCAGAGGTCGAACCCTGAACAGTTGGGGCAAGTATGGACACAACATTCAAGCTTGATACAGCTCTGAATTTGGATTGTGATTAAATATTTGACACAGCATAGGTTTCTGACACAGAATGAATGTGGTCTAAGAACTTAAAAATTTTAAATTGGACATTCACCTATTATGGTCCAATATCCAAAATCTAAATACATGGTTAGATTCAGCATATCAAAGAACCCCAAGAATTCAATTTTTGATGAAATCAAACAAAGTTTAATTTTGGACCCTTTTGACCTCAATGTGGACAAAGTTGATAACGGGGCCCAAAAATCAAAAATCTAAATACATGGTTAGATTCAGCATATCAAAGAACCCCATATATTCAATTTTTGTTGAAATCAAACAAAGTTTAATTTTGGACCCCCATTTGGACCAACTTGAAAACTGGGCCCATAATCAAAAATCTAAATACATGTTTAGATTCAGCATATCAAAGAACCCTAAAAATTCATTTTTTGTTAAAATCAAACTAAGTTTAATTTTGGACCCTTTGGACCTTAATGTAGACCAATTTGAAAACGGAACCAAAAATTAAGAATCTAAATACACGGTTAGATTCGGCATATCAAACAACCCCAATAATTCAATTTTTGATGAAATCAAACAAAGTTAAATTTTGGACCCTTTGGACCTCAATGTGGACCAATTAAAAAACGGGTCCCAAAATCCAAAAACTTAATACACAGTTAGATTCAGCATATTAAAGAACCCCAAGAATTCAAGAATAAAACCCCATTGAATTGATCAAGAAATAAGCAATTTATACAAAGTATCTTCTTTTGCACAATACTGTGCAATTGAATATTTCTTGCTATTGCGCAATACTGTACAATTGACAATTTCTTGCTATTGTGCAATATTGTACTATTGGATATTTCTTGCTATTGCGCAATACTGTGCAATTGAAGATTTCTTGCTATTGCGCAATACTGTGCAATTGAAGATTTCTTGCTATTGTGCAATACTGTGCTATTTAAAAAATTTCTTGCTATTGCACAATACTTATTATATAATAATTTACACATCCTTGGTATGACGTTGGCGTCGTCGTCTGGCGTCGTCCGAAGACACATTGGTTTTCGCACTCTAACTTTAGTTTAAGTGAATGGATCTCCATGAAATTTTACCATAAGGTTCAATACCACGAAAGGAAGGCTGGGATTGATTTTGGGGGTTATGGTACCAACAGTTAAGGAATAAGGGGCCAAAAAGGGGCCAAAAATAAGCATTTTTGTAACTTCCAGACAATTACTAGTGTGTAAGTGTTGGGATCTCTCTGACATTGTACCACAAGGTTCCATATCACAAAGGGAAGGCTGTAATTGATTTTGGGGGTAATTGCCTCAAAATTCAAGGGGCAAAAAACAAGCATTTTTCTAGTTTCATGACAATAACTTGTGTATAAGTGTTTGGATATTTCTGAAATTGTACTACAAGGTTCCATATCACAAAGGGAAAGCTGGAATTGAGTTTGGGGGTAATTGCCCGAAACGTTTAGGAATTGGGGGCCAAAAAGGGGCCAAAAATAAGCATTTTTCTAGTTTCCAGACAATAACTTGTGTTCAAGTGTATGGATCTCTCTGAAATTGTACTGCAAGGTACCATACCACAAAGGGAAGGCTGGGATTGAGTTTGGGGGTGATGAATCATAAGGGGGTTCAAAAAATTTGGGGGGGGGGGGGGGGGGGGGGGGGATTTTTTTTCTTTTCTTTTTTTTCCTTTTTTTTTTCTTTTAAATTTCTCCATTTTAAGTTGGTTATTTCTGATTTATATTTAAAAGCAAATAATAATGATATGGTAGGAGATACACACCAAACGACCAAAATTTTTTTAATTTTTGCGGTCGTATAAAAAGGGAAATGTATAACTGATACATTCACTGCATGATGGCATATTTACAGTATCCATTTTACCATCATGACCATTGTCATCTACCTTGTATAAGATACAGCACCCCTCCTGTTCTTACGTTACCAACATTTCTTTAATGTAGCTGACACATGCAGAAATATAAGGGACAATATGTCCTAGACGTTTCAATACAAAATTACTTTTCAGATTGTTACACAGTTAAAAAGAAAATGCAAGACACTTTCTCCAATCAATTTTTAAACACAAATGTATGAGTGTTAAGCATACGAAGCAAAAATTCACAAATAAAAAATAAATTAGTATTAAGCATTTGAAGTAAAATTTCACAAATAATTATCAAGGATAACCAGTTTCCCCTTCTAATTCTTCACCTGAACTTGACTAAAATTAACTTAATATAGACACAATATAGATAATTTCATAATATCAATTTTTTTTAATTATTAAAATCAAAAATATTTCAATAAACATTTAATCACTTTTTGAAACATGGCACTCAATTTTACGGTTACAAATTTAATCAAATACTTTTGTGAGAAGACTCACAATACATATTCATTATATGTGAATATATATCTAAAAAAGTTGCAATCCGATATTAAGTACTGGAAACCAATATGACTGACTGATAGCAATCAAACAGGTCACAAACTTATCATATACTCCTGCGAGATATATAAATCAACTGTGACTTATTCCAACGAAGAAGACCCTTTAAAAAAAGTATAAAGTCATTGTTATTGGCCTCAACAGCAAGGGATCTAACCTTGGAGTAAGATTTATGGAACCAGTCAAATAGCTGTCTCCATGAAAACAAATTCTGGAAAGTACACACTAAACATTTTTTTTACATATATCCAATTGAAAGTGATAATCTCAAATATGGCTACTTACAGTATCTGGTTTGACGCCATTTTTGATGAATTGAGAGAACTGTCTCTTGTAAGCATCATCATCTTCCTCCTCTAGTTGTTTCATGTAGTCTGAAACATGCTTGCCAAAAATGTGGTCCTTGTGGACATCAGCCTTGAATTCACTTCCATCATATCCAGGGAATCTCTTGTTGCTAGAATTATAATTTAAACCATACAGGGTTTCAAAATGAGATAGTGTTGCATGTTTCAACTGTTTTAAATATACTTTAACATTTTACAAGTGCAAAGTTCTTTTACATTAATTTCAGGAAACTGATAGTTGTTAAAAAGTCGGGTAAAAGCCATGTAATGTCACCTGAATCATGCTATGTAAAAAGAAAAATGATCTAAAACACCAACTTATTTCAACAACTCATTTTCATTCCATAATTGCTCGATACTTCAATCCCCCACCCCCCAAAAAAAACCAACAACCAACCATTATATTAATATTCAAATGCAATCTGACCAAATTTGGAATAGAAGTTGAAATTTTTATTGAAATAAATGGGGAAGTGTCCATGGGACACAGATGATGCCCCCCCCCCCCCCCACCCCTGCTTTCATATAATGTTATAAAGGGACATAACTCAAGAATAGTAAAAGTGATGCTACCCAAATTCGTACTTGATCTGTGTTTTGTGGTAATAAGCATTGTGTATAAGTTTCTTTAACATTTGGTTGAGGCAAACTAAAGTTAAGAATGGAAACCAATTTCGGGATGTACGGATGGACTGACACACAAACGGACAAGGGTAAAACTTAATGCCCCCTCCACTATGGCAGGGGCATAAAATATTGCAAGCCTGTATCTCTCACTCTGGTATTACATCAGGGTTTCCAAAAATAATTTGTGCAAGCTAAATATAATTTTGAATCCTTTGCTTTTGTGACTAAAGGCATTTATGCAAATCAAGATATAAACTGTTGACAAAGATATACTCTCCTGTGTAACAAGTAAACTTTAAAATCAAGACCTTAAACTACTTGGAAATATTTCAATATACCTGTGAGGGATATCAAGACCACCATCAACAGCACCCTTCATGGCTCCGAACACTCTGGCTCCAGTTGTGGTTCTGAAGAGACCAACATCTAAGTAACATCTAAAAGCACCTGGCTGGCCATCAACATCCTCATTGCTGAACTCGTCACCATCAATTTCTTTCTGACCTTGATAGATTTCATCAAGCTTCAGTTGCTTCAAAAGCTACAAGGAACAAAACTATCTTGAACATATTATTAAATAATTCAAATTGACCAAATACTCTTAAGGTATAAAACCACTAATTCATAGCCCCATTGCTTTCTATGTTAAATTCTGCAATTTCAAGCATAAATGGCTACTTCGTCTTAAGTTCAAATAAAGTGGCAGTTATTTCATGTCAAAACTGAACCTTATGCTGACTTGTGCTGAAAAAATCAACATATCTTTAATTGCATATTAGAGCGTACTGGTTCCCGGAAGTTTGATAGTACAAAAACAGGAACTTCTGATCTGAACAACAGGCCAAATGAGCCCTCCTATTAAAATTTCATATACTTCTTTATTATTCAAATAAAACTTTCAACAAGGGTTCTACAGTGATCCCAAGTCCCCAAGCTTTCATTTGATACTAAAACTACCCAAATTTTCCCACTATTGACCATTGGCTATGTGTAGGAACTATTTTGTTTAAAATATGTACTACTTTCTTGTATGTTCTTTCCGACCGGGCCTGAATTAGTGGTTCTATACCTTAAGAGCATGTATCACTCATCTTGATATATTCCAGTTCCCTATGGCCAATTGTCAATCCGATCAAATTTATTGAGTACTTCGGCCTAGTGTTAAAAATTTTCATTGCATGTCAAATATAATAGAGAATTACTCCTAGCTCCTGGCCCTGATTTCCACACAAATGCAGATGAGTCCATCAACTCTGTGCAGCAATTGGTCTTCTAAATGATTTTTCACAAGTATCTTATTATTTTTTCTACATGTCCTATGAAATAATGCACATGTTATTATGTCACAGTAAGAACAGATTGTTTCATGAAGTCATTTACGCGGATTGACTTTGAGATAACCAGTGCAACTCAAAAAACCAACTCCAGATTGGTATGTTACTGGTGACAGTTTGAAGGTGGTTTAATCAAAACCAAATGAGGATATTTTGTAGAGTACCTTTCATTCATCATTCCTGCCAAGTTTGATTAAGCTTGGCTAAGTAGGTTCAGAAAAATATATAAATGGGGAGTATGTCCTTGGGACACAGATGATACCCCGCTTGCATATAACGTTATATAGGGACATAACTCGAGAACAGTAAAAGTGACGCTACCCAAATTCATACTTATCTGAGTTTTGTGGTAATTACCATTGTGTATAAGATTCATAACATTTGGTTGAGTCAAACTTAAGTTTAGAGAACGAAAAAACTAAAAATTCAGAAATTTTTCCATTTGTAAAGGGGCACTACTCTAGAACAGTAAAAAGTGACACCAACAAAATTCAAACCAGATCTGTGTTTTGTAGTAATAAGCATTGTGTATAAGATTCATAACATTTGGTTGAGGCAAACTAAAGTTACAGAACGGAAATCAATTTCGGGATGTACAGACGGACAAGGGTAAAACTTAATGCCCCCTACTCTACGGTGGGGGCATAAAAACAAATTTCTGCCGGGTTTAACTGGGACTGGGAACCAACAATGCTGTCAAAGTATCATATTATTCGGCTATCATACACCAAGGCATCCAAAAATCATTTGAGCCAGCCAGACATTTTTTTTAATTCCGATTTTAATCCTGCAAGACTTAGTAACAAAAGTCAATCAAGCTAATAATTTGGGCATCACAACAATGATTCAGATTGACACAAGAGTGGACACACTGAAATGTCTCGCCTTCTTTACTAACCATTGATATTATGTTGATAGTCCTAAATGAAAGCTTTACTACAACTATTACATAAACTTAACATGATCCAAGAAAATGAAGTCAAGTCATATAAACCAAACAAGAAATACATGTACACCTTACAATCATTCAATACACTAAATATAGTTGACCTATTGCTTATAGTTTCTAAGAAACAGACTTAACCAAGAAAACTAAACATTGACCAATGAATCGTGAAAATGAGGTCAAAGTCAGATGAACCATGCCAGGCAGACATGAACAGCTTACAATCCTTCCATACAACAAATATAGCTGACCTATTGCTTATAGTTTAAGAAAAACAGACTGAAACACATAAACTTAACACTGAGCAATGAACTGTGAAAATGAGGTCAAGGTCAAATAAAACCTGCGAGACTGACATGTACATCATAGAATATTTCCATACACCAAATATAGTTGACTTATTGCATAATAGTATAAGAAAAAAGACCAAAACTCAAAAACTTAACTTTGACCACTGAACCATGAAAATGAGGTCAAAGTCAGATGACACCTGCCAGTTGGACATGTACACCTTACAATCATTCCATACACCAAATATAGTAAACCTATTGGATAAAGTATAAGAAAAACGGACCAAAACACAAAAACTTAACTATAACCACTAAACCATGAAAATGAGGTCAAGGTCAGATGACACCTGCCAGTTGGACATGTACACCTTACAATCATTCCATACACCAAATATAGTAGACCTATTGGATAAAGTATAAGAAAAACGGACCAAAACACAAAAACTTAACTATAACCACTGAACCATGAAAATGAGGTCAAGGTCAGATGACACCTGCCAGTTGGACATGTACACCTTACAATCATTCCATACACCAAATATAATAGACCTATTGCATACAGTATAAGAAAAACAGACCAAAACACAAAAACTTAACTATAACCACTGAACCATGAAAATGAGGTCAAGGTCAGATGACACCTGCCAGTTAGACATGTACACCTTACAATCATTCCATACACCAAATATAATAGACCTATTGCATACAGTATAAGAAAAACAGACCAAAACACAAAAACTTAACTATAACCACTGAACCATGAAAATGAGGTCAAGGTCAGATGACACCTGCCAGTTGGACATGTACACCTTACAGTCCTTTCATACACCAAATATACTAGACCTATTGCTTATAGTATCTGAGATATGGACTTGACCACCAAAACTTAACCTTGTTCACTGATCCATGAAATGAGGTCGAGGTCAAGTGAAAACTGTCTGACAGGCATGAGGACCTTGCAAGGTACGCACATACTAAATATAGTTATCCTATTACTTATAATAAGAGAGAATTTAACATTACAAATAATCTGAACTTTTTTTTCAAGTAGTCACTGAACCATGAAAATGAGGTCAAGGAAATTGGACATGTGACTGACGGAAACTTCGTAACATGAGGCATCCATATACAAAGTATGAAGCATCCAGGTCTTCCACCTTCTAAAATATAAAGCTTTTAAGAAGTTAGCTAACGCCGCCGCCGCCGTAGCCGCCGCCGGATCGCTATCCCTATGTCGAGCTTTCTGCGACAAAAGTCGCAGGCTCGACAATAAAAACGATATTAAACTTTTAGAATTTTTATCTAAATTTGATATTCTGATGTAAACTGTTACTTTGACAGTGCATCATTCAAAATGTGCAACATCAGCGTACTAACATCTGCTTTATACTATAATCTGTGTACATTTACGATGCACAATATGTTAAAATAGTTCATTCCATGTTATTTTCCCAAGAAAATACTTGAAATGAACATGTGATAAAGGTGAAATTAATATCTTTAGCATTTTTGAAGAATTCGGATGCATTATTTAATCGCACTCCTGCGCACAGGTGTACTAGTTCAAACAATGTGGTTCTATTGATTTTTCACTTAAAACCTTTTTTACAACCTTTTTAAATTATCATAAAATCTTATTTTAATATATATTTCTGATAGGCTAAATAATTTTTATCAAATTTACATCAGACAAAATCATTTTTACTTAATTTATTAGATGTAAATGAGTGTAATTTTAGAAAATAACTGGAACTAGACTGATCGATGTCCAGTACAAAATAACTGGTGGACAACTATTTAACCTTGATAGTAATGAGGGGGTATCAATTGGGCTTATTTTAAGATACTTATTCATCATGTCAATTTTATGACCAGCAACGTGTGGCTGGCAAAAGGTCAGGCCAAAAGGATTGCTATACTTCCAATTCTTTTTCTGAATTATGTTAAAATGGAAAACCTACGTTATATGTCTGTTTTGGGCTCACAACAACTGGACTGAAAATATAATTTATCTGACAATGCAACACTTTTGGAAGCCATGTTATATTCATGTATGTTTAAACCCTTTGGTTCTATTCATAGTAACAATCACAATTTCAATATGTAATTTGACAAAATCAACATATTTTAAAAACTATTTACTGTAAATAAAAGAGATGCCTAGTTTTCTATGATATAATATCTTGTTTTCTTGTTTCAAATTGTGGCAGAATCAGTTAGTGGAAAAATAAGTTTTTAGTCCAAGGGTAATTATATAAGGCCGAGAAAAAAAAAATCTGTGTTTCCGGTAACCCGACCGACCCTGTTTTTTTAGCCCCGACCCTAATTTTTTTATTGGATCTTCAAAAAAAAAAAAAAAATTGGTATCAACCGACCCTGTTTTTGACACAGGCTTCTGTTAATCGACATAATTATTTATCTAACTGCACAGAAAGCCAGTAAAACATTTTATTTATGTCAAAAGGTATTCCAAATAGGTTAAAATCCAAGAAATTTGCACAGCAGGTGCTTCAAAAACATTGCAAATGGCCGCACTTCCGGTATTTGAAACTAATTACGGACACGGACTTGGAAAAACCATAATAATTTTCTGGATTTCGTTTACAATGTCAAAAAAAAAAAAAAGAAATCCGACCTACCGACCCTATTTAACAAAATAATTTTACCGGAAACACAAGATTTTTTTTTTTTAGGCCTAAGAGTAAATGAACTTTAAATTAAAAATATTTGAGGTCATGGCATATATGTACAAGTGGAACACAAATATCAATAGATTATGTAATAAACTGCTTCGCCGAGCGCAGCAGGATACAACCACAGAGGTCCAACCCTGAACAGTTGGGTCAAAAATGGACACAATATTTAAGCTTGCTACAGGTCTGAATTTTGATTGTAATTAAATATTTGACACATTATAGGTTTCTGACACAGAATAACTAGAGTCAGTGAACTTGAATTGGTTGATGATTTGAATTTATATTCAATTGAAGATTTCTTGCTGTTGTGCAATACACTGTGCTGTTGCGCAATACTTAGTAAATCTGTTTTCAGACTATATACAAAGAATTAGCAAAATAAATTGACACCACCTATTTTTTTCTTTGGAAAATTGACAATTTCCTAAATCTTGAGGAAAAAAAATTGAACCCCCCCCCCTAAAAAAATAATATTTGGAGAATAGAAGAAAATTTGCGATCGTATAAAAATTAGTGGTGGACAAGTAAATATATAAACATATCATATCTCTACCATTCATACATAATTAGACAATACAACGAATGTTAATCCTTAATTTCATTTTTTAAATGTAAAAGACTCTTGAGACCTTATCATTTGATCAAATAAGGATGTATTCACTGCATTAAATGTTGTCACCAAGATCAACATGAGTATTAGTTCTACCTACTCTTCTGGCCAGCAAGAGTCCTGTACAGTATGCTGCTGCATAGTTAGTCAACCCAACCTTGACGCCATATCGAGGGAGCTCATGAGCATATGCTGCACATATAATGTAATCTCCCTCAATTCTTGCGTACGCTATCTGAAAAATAACAAGCACAAATGGTTATGAAAACCTCTACAATAATTGTGATACTTAATATACTTGACAATGTAAATATTTGCCACAATGCAGCTTCATGGATATGGTTCACTTACTGAGAAAAGATAAAAATATTGTTTTCAAATTTTCACTTATTTTTCAAAATCTAGGTCACAAAATAGTCATAAAAATTATATTGCTTACAAGACAATTTCCTATCTTATCTTTAAATTACAAACTTCTGTTGACCTTTTGCTATCAGCACCCATTTTAACAATAGTGCACAAGCTGAATTGTCCCGCCTGTTTTACTTATCATTGAATTTATGTTGAAAGTCTGTAATATGAAGGTTTTACTACAAGTATCACATAAACTAAACATTGTCCAATGAACCATAAAATTGAGGTCAAGGTCAGATGAGACCTGTCAGTCGGACTTGTACCCCTTACAATCATTCTGTACAACAAATATAGTTGACCTATTGCTTACAGTATCTGAGATACGGACTTGACCAAGTAACTTTAACCATGATCACTAATCCAGGAATAAGGTCGAGGTCAGGTGAAACCCACCTGATGGACACAGGGGTAGAAATAAGAAAAGAACATTGATTTGCCCTACCAATGCGGATGGCTTTGCTGTCCGTGGCAACGAGCGAAGTTGGTCGCGCTTAAGGCAGGGAGTCTGGGGTAAATGAAGCCAAATCCTGCATTCTAGACCTCTCCTGGCAGATGATTTCAAGTTTTCATACACACTTTTTTGAAACAAAAACTTTTACAAAAAAAAAGTGATAAAAAAATTTCAGATGTACATGTAGATATTGACCCAGTTGCCAAATTTCCTGTAAAAAATATGCATTCATTCTAAACAATGCAATTATAATTTATTTTGGCATTTTACATTTTACAGCAATACTATAAGATCTTGTTTCTACAGTAACATTGAATGATTTTGAAACCTTTAATTTCATAAAGAGTCAGCCTGTTGAAGACCTTGTGGTGACCTCTGAATGTTTGCTGCTGCTGTCGTTCCTAGTGAATAAGGTGCATCTGGCGTCTTTATTACTCTTTATTGTAACTAACTGACAAATTCAAACTTACAAAAGGGTAACTGTTCACTGCAGAAATGAGCACATTTAGTATGCTCAGCTGTAAAAGGTAAAGAATTTAAAATTTCTACTTTCATTTTTATATCAACCCAAAAGTCGTTTGTGTTCTGATTGGATCGTTGTATCAACTTCCTTTCATGATAAGAAGCGAAAATCCCGGAGCAGGTGTGACTGAACATTCTAAAACGCCAGCTCTCGTCGTCTTACGCATAGTAATTTACCAATAGAAGTATTCGGGGGAAACCAAGATGTTTACTATTTTCGGGCATGCGCACATGAAATAAATAAAGACAACGAAAATAGTAATATAATAATACACACACCTTGGAGAAATTAACGTCCGACATAGTTTGTGTCACAAACACAATATTTCAACTTGCCCAGCGGACAACTATGTGATGGGTTTCACTTGCCTCAGGCAAGCAGGATAGCGCTTATTTTCAAACCAAATATAGTTATTCTATTACTCATAATAATGAGTATTTCACTTAACAAAAATACTATTTTTTTTTCAAGCAGTCACTGAATCATGAAAATGAGGTCAAGGACAATGGACATATGATAGACAGAAACTTTGTAACATAAGGTATTTGCATACAAGGTCTTCTATCTTCTGAAATATAATTATAAAGCCTAAATAGTTTACGCCATCACTGCTGGATTGTAATACCTGTCTCGCATACTGCAACTTTCTTTGCAAGCGAGACAAAAACTAACAAAGATATTGCAAATCATATAAACATAAATTTTGCTGGCAAAATCTGGCAAGAAGCATAGGTAGCAAGACTACTAAGTACCATCACCATAATTCCAAGTTACTTGAAAATAAACTAATCCGGGACACAGAGATACGAGTGGCCTTTATATAATTTTGAAAGTAAAATGACACCACCTTATCATGTAAACTATGCAAAACATTCAGATTCGATGAAAGAATGACTAAATGTGCAGGACAAAATATTTTCTGCAGAAATGAGATATGCCAATGCTAATACAACCACATAGTAAATTTCTTTGACTTATCACAAGTGGTTCCCCTCAAACAGACCTAATCACAATTTTTAACATGTAAGCAGCCATATATAATCACCATGGAAAAGGGATGTGCTAATGGGACTGTATACCAAATATCCTCGACTTACCATAAGTTTTTCCCCTTCAACTGACCCAATCACAAATTGTCGATGTCACCCCTATATACAGCACACCCAAGTCTTGCTTTTGGGACTTTGGGAATTTTTTCAAGGTAAGAAAAATTGAATGGTAATAATTTTCAAACTCTATTGAAATATTGGTGATACAACCACCCTTTTTTTTAAGAAAAAAATTACATTAAGAAATGTAGCCATGAGGTTAATCACATAATTTATATTGCAATATAACAATTTACATTCAGCCACCATTTTCATATTGAACTGAAATATTGCATTGCCAACCTCATGAATATGAACCTTTCATAAAGATTTTTGTAAAATTTGTTGAGAAATACATGTATGAGAGCACTTGCAAGAAGATGATACCCTGCATTTCTATGCCCTGTTTTTCCGAAGCTTTGGACATGAGGGGTGAAAAAAGAATAGCTTTTAATATTAAGAACATCTTTGCCTGCCCAAATTGCAATCTGTTTGCCCCCCCCCCCCCCCTCTGAAGTAAAAAAGCTTATCAGCTGAAAATTAGATATAAACACCCATAAAATCTGAATAACTAGTTTCCTCTTACCTGACAGATGATATCCTTGTTGGTAAATCGAACAATCATTCTGTATTTTGGAGTGTTATATTTGTTTTTCTCTTGAATGATGAGGCGTTTCCTGGCATAGTAATCTGTCCTACCCTCTATAAAAAGATAGGAATAGAGTAATTATCTACATAATAACATAGTTCATGTACACAGGACAAGTATGCATTATACTTTAAATTCTAGGGAGAAACGATTTCTCCTTGAGAGCAGAAGAGGAAGTGATGGCATAACAAGTGGTCCTATCTCTGTTATCCCCTGGAATGTCATGGTTCAATTTCCTGGCAGGGTTCAACCAATAACTTTATACCTGATATTTGCTGCTTCTTTACTACACATGCAGTATCTAGACATTACAGGAGATTGGTACGGTGACAAGTCCTCCTGAGAACTGTTAATATGTGTACTACCTAGTACATTATAAACAAGCACAGCTTGCTGGTAAGTACAAGCAAGTTTCATATTCCTTCACATGTCATTCTCCGGAAAAAAAGGAATATTACTGCTGTGCTTTTACTTTTTTATATTACATTAAAATCAAATGTACCATTGTATTTGGAGGTCATGATAATTGATTTTGGTAAACAAAATTTGATGAATAACTGTAAATTTGAAGCAATAACTTAAAAATTTGATTCTTAGCACACACATTAATAACTTTGCCATACTACTTTTTTTTAGAAAATGTCTAATTTTCCCTTATTTGCAAAGAAATGCAAATGAGGTAGATCTTGCTGCTGATGACAAAAAAGCTAATATAGGTGATCAATGGGCAGGAAGCAGCCCACAAGTTGGCATTTGCCTGCCAAAAACAAAATCTAATGATTTTCTGTCCCATTTCGTTACCAGCAAGACCAGGGATGCAGATTGAAGATTGCATAGACACATGAACCACAAAAATACTAAGCTCTGAGAAAAACAATTCTGGATATGGCAGGGGTCATGCTACCAGGCGACTCTGGCGAAGATGTCCCTTTCCCTTCCGTCACTTCGCTTTGCCCGACTCTCAAAAGCGAAAACTAGTCGCCTGGTGGTTTACGATACTCTCTTTCAGTCGCTTTCGTCATCGGCAATATTCAATTTTTACCAAGTCGATGAAACAGCAATTTTTCAGTAAAAAGTAAAGAAATTCAAAGACATAAACGATTTATTTTCTTTAGAAAGGAGGTTAAAGCATTGATTTTAAAGTTGGTTGCATGTTATTTCATAAAAACAATTTTTTATCACTTCCAGTACTTGTTAGAGAGCGTACATCAAATCATTCTTATTTTCGGCAAAATAAGTTCGTTACTTCATTAGAACGCGATGAAATTTGCCTGAAGTAAATTTGTTATCCATGTATTGCATTAAAGACGTCATATTCCTTTCCAAATAGCGTGTCAAACATCTTTTATTTTTGTAAATTTTTCTTCTTCATCCGCCATTGAAATATTTGTACTAAACTACCGATCAGAACCAGACCAGCTATGACCGAAATCCCGATTCTTACGATAATGACTACTGAAGAATGAATGGCACAGCTGACAGAGGAATATTGATCCCAAAAAGAATAAACAGCTGCGCCATGAGCGCATGATACGCCCGTCGTCTTGTGTGTGAATTTTTATGCAATAAGCATAAATAGTTTCTGACATACGGTGACATGCGAAAACCACCTTTTTTTTTTACAAAAAACTCAATATCTCTAAAATAAAATTTTGAATCATCACCAAAAAGTATACAGATCTTAAGGTTAATATAACTAAGAAGTGTGTAAAGTTTTAAGCAATAATCATAAACTGTTTTTGAGATACGGCGCGACATGTGAAAAACCCCTCCCCCTTTTTTAACAAAATACTCAATATCTCTAAAATAAAATTTTGAATCATCACCAAAAAGTATACAGATCTTAAGATTAATATAACTAAGAAGTGTGTAAAGTTTTAAGCAATAATCATAAATTGTTTTTGAGATACGGTGCGACATGTGAAAAAAAACACACACCTGTTTTATTAACTAAGTCCCGTAACTCAAAAAGTTTTAATCTTATTTTCACCAAAAAGTATACAGATCGTTTGACCATCATAAGAAACAACTATGTTAAGTTTCATGAAATTTGGATAAGTCATTCTCAAGTTACGGTGCGACATGTTTACGCCGGACAGACAAACAGACGTACGGACGCCGGACATTTGTATACCATAATATGTCCCGTCAAAAATTTGACGGGCGTATAAAAACCAAACATTGTAGCGCCGCGATCGAACGAGCACTTCTCTCTCAAATCTCACCACTTCTCCCTCTCATTTTCAAAAAGAGAAGTCACTTCTCCCTATGATTCTGAAGTAGTGTGAGCCCTGTATGGTAGTCTTAAGGAGGCCAATTAAACCAAAATTCCTGACTATATAGATATTTTCTTATTTCTGGCTTCACCAGGACCTGCAACTAGAAGAATTCATTCCCAAAGCGTATTAAAATCATAAACATGTTCAGTAGTTATATTCCAGTGGGTTTATGTTGTTTTTGGAAGTTTGAGATCTATATGTTGTGTTGACCAGCAAGAATAAAGAGCTGAGCCATGAGCGCATGATATGCTGTCTATTTTTCAAAGAATAAAGTTCCAAAACTCCTCAATGTCATATCAGAAATTTATAAAAAACTATTAGTGTGTGAAAACTGGAAAATCCCCCTTTTTTTATGAATTAAATCCCATACTTCGGAAAAGTAAAATCTAAAATTTATAAAAATCGAAAGGGAGCTTACATTAATAGATATTAACAATTCACCAAAGTTTCACCAAAACTGCTCAAAGCATTTTAGAGTTATAGTCCGAAAACTGGAAAATCCCCATATTTTAATAAATAAAACCCCACAACTCGGAAACATAAAATCTAAAATTTATAAAAATCAAAAGGGAGCTCGTGTCAATAGATATAAACAATTTACCAAAGTTTCATGCAAACTGGTTTAAGCGTATTGGTGTTATTGTCAGACATGATGATGACGGACAGACCAACAACGGTATCCCATAATACGTCTCATAAACGGGCTTATAAAAAGGAAGTCAACCCAAAAACGGTATTTTTTCTCCAAATTTTCAAAGTTTGAAATTGGGTTTAAAATGCAGAGTTTCTTTTATCTAGGATGTAAACAATAAATTGCCCTAAGTTGAGGGATTTGATTTTTGATTTTTGGTGTTTTAACGCCACTTTTAAGCACCACTTTTGGGCTATTTCGTGGCCGCCAGTTTTTAATGGTGGAGGAAGCCGGAGTGCCCTGAGAAAACCACTGACCTTCAATTGGAAAACTGACGATCCTAGTCAATTAAGATTGGAGTCCAGTGCACCTGCACAAGCGGGGTTCGAACTCACAACCTCAGTGTTGACTGGCTAGTGATTACAGTAGTAACTACTTAGACCACTCGGCCACCGAGGCCCCCTAAGTTGAGGGAACATGCCTTAATTTTGAAATCAATATTGAACAGCTAACATCTGGAAATATGCCAAGCCATTGGTGCAAAAAAAGCTAGTTTTTTAGGTAGAGGCCACTACATTACGACCTTGTGAATAGCGTTACAACTCTTGCCTCTCTCTCAAGTAGACAATTCTGCCAAAGGGCTCAGTTCTACCACTATCTCAACTGTTACACTTACCTTGCCTCCTCCTATACTTTACTTGAAACCTTTTAAAGTATGCTTTATTTTTCACTACTTTCACAAACCCCTGAAAATATAAAATATTGAGATTTTAATAGTGCATATTTCTTTCTCATCTCATTTAAATATTGCTATTGTCAGGTCATTCAATATGTCAAAAGGCAAAAACAAATGCTATGGGGACTAATAAAATATTAACACAATTGACAGTATACCCATTTCAAATTCAAATATTTTATTCGACAAAGCACAATATATATGACACCGCCTAATCTAAGTGTACAACATGACAAATTGTGTAAATAGAACATAATACTGAAAACACGAGTGATTTCAAGTATTTCAATTACATGTATATACTGTATTTTCTTTTTTACTATAGACAGCTCCGAAGGCTGTGAGACAGTCACACAAACCCTACTTGACAGTTTGAGTTCCGAGGAAGAGGATTATGGTGACTACATACAGTGAATTTGAATATGATGAATGAGACTAAGAATTACCAGATAATATTGTGGACCAAGGCTTCCAAAACGGTCATATATTCCGGACATTTGTATAATGTCCGGTAAAAGTCCGGCTGGGCAAAGCATGAAATGGTCATCTACTTTTTAGTTTTCAAGGCTTTCTTAAGAGACGGTCATTTTAACATAATTCGCGATCTTTTTGACCCAACCTTTATGCCACACATTTCCGGTCATAAAGTGACATGATCATTAAGTACTATCAAAACAACCCCTACTTTAATACCTTCTCATTTTAATCAAGGCTAATTAGTTGTCGAACAGCTGAAATTTACCTGTTCAGGTGACAGGTAAACTATTTTGAACCAGACATTAATCGATCTATTCAAAGTTATTTTCTTACATGTCAGCGGTTTGCATCTAATTAATTTAGTCAAAAAGATTTAAATAATCAGAAATACGTTTACAAATATGATTTGATGAAAAAATTAAAAAGGTGAAAATGAAAAATCGTCATTAACCACGTTGTTTGAACCAGAGACATGTCTCTGTTTGAACTAGTACACGTGTGCGCAGGTGTTAAATTTAATTATGCATCCTAATTTCTTCAAAAAATGCTTAAATTGTCATTGTTACCTTTATGTCACTTTTATTTCAAATATTTTCTTGAAGAAATAACGTAGAAAGAGCTACTAACACTCATTCATGCTTTGCAAACGTACACGGAATTTACGTATCCGTCTCTGGTCCATGTTTAACCATTGTCAAGATAACATCCGGTGATTTAAAAACAAAAGTAAAGTTTTTGACAACGTTATTTTGCACAAATAAAGAGTCTAAGGCAGATATAAGAACGCTGATGTTGCACACCTCGAAAGATGCACTGCCAATTTAACAGTTTACGTCAGAACTTCGAATTTGAATCAAAGAAAGTTTAATATTGTTTTTTTTTTTAATGTCAATCATTTGGATGCCCAACTCGGCAACTGATTACCATAATTGCCTTTTGTTTATTTAGTCTTAAGGGATTAAAATCGGGATAATATATAAAATGTCCGGCTGGCTAAAAATAATTTTGGAAGCCCTGTTGTGGACAGCATGATATCATTTGGCATATAGAAATTGAAATTAAGAACGTTAATAAAAACATTTGAAAATACACTGATTTGAATACCTGTAACCTACTGCCAGAACAATGATGATGATGGATGGCTGCTTAACGTCCAGCGGCAAATTAATATGCATATTCAGGACGAAAACATGTTAATGTAATATTAATATTTACCCTGCTTTGTACTAGAATGACACACTGAGCCGAATTTTTTAACGCGCTAGTTCACAAGGTAAAAGTCCACAGGAAGACTAGTCACCTTACCCGGACTCCGAGCCGACCAGTCTTTGCTCTGACTCTTTAATGCCGCATGCTTAGGGGAGAAAGCTGCAAATACCAATTTTAAAGTCTCTGTTTTGACTCTGCTCGGGGTTCAAACCCACAACCTCCCACTGTTGAGGCGAACATACTACAACGAGACCAACGAGGCAGTACTCAGGGAAGGACCATTTAACTCTGATGGGAGTTATATTTTTTTGTTTTTGGCTTAACCATAACTCCCAGAGTATGATCAGGGAGGATCATTCCCGATCCGATGGTATTTTATTATAAAACCGGATATGGGTAGGCGTAGCCTATAAATGGCATTTGACTATTTGTACCCGCATGCGGGTACGCGCAGATACTGTATTATGACGTGTGACAACTATTGAGATAGCAAGATTTATAAAATGTCAGTTTACGGTTTAAACCTAAAATTTGGCAACTATTCATGGGTCACAATTGAAGAATTTTGCAGTAATGTTTTGTGGGCTGTTTTCTTCGAGTCATTTTTCTTCACTTGGGATAATTTTGAGACATTACCGCCTTCATGGCCTTGGTATCCCCGTTTCACCAACAATGTATCAAAATAAGAGTTTCTGAATGTGTCTATCACTATCTAAGCATATCACATGGGAACTGGTACTTGACCAATAGTCATTTTAATTGTTTTTCCAACTGCTTCGCAACATAAACGTGTTCGACGTACACGTGCAGTCTGTACAGTCTAGGCGAAAGTTAGTTTATAATCTGCAAAAATCAGAAGATTACATTATCATCGGGTTGATGTGCGACTTCAAAATGAAAGTATGGACGTTTAATTTTTAATTTGTGATACTGCCATTTTTCAATTCTCACCATTTTTAGGGATATCTAGGATTTATTTTCCTAGTTTCCAGATAGCTTCGGTTTTAGGGCCTTCTACAGCCGGAAAAGGAAGTACTCAAAGATTTCACTAAAGACCTGAACGCGGAGAATAGACATAATAACTTTTTTACTTTTCAATGGATCTTCAAATACCCTTACCTTAACGAAGAAATTAAAACTCCTGAATTCTACGGTTAGCTATTCAAACTTCAGGGGGGGTTCTAGGATACTTGAAAGCGGGAGCGTAGAAACAAATCTTTCGCCGAGTCGAGCGAGGCGAAAAAAAATTTGGACTTTTTTTTTGCTTAAAAACATAAAATAATTGTGAAATGCACTAATGTAACGGTTCCTGACTTGGAGCATGTATATTTTATAGTTTTGTTTTTTTTTAAAAGGGGGGGGGGGGGGGTACGCCCATTACGCCCTCACCTGGACCCGCCCCGAACTTGAATAATCTTTTTATATTTCAGTCAATTGATATCCTTCAAAATTACGAGTTACTAGTTACAGTCGGCAGTCGGCAGAAATTCACAGTTTTTTTTAAAATATTGTATTAACAGGAACACCGTTTTACAGAAATAATCTTTTAACAGAGAAAAGTTATGTTTGGCATCAAAGACTCGGAATTGAATTCCTCTTCCAAATAAAGAGAACAAATCTGAAATTCACAGTTTACCGTCTTTTAATCTTTTAAAAAGATAGAATTAAAAGCTAGAATTTACATTTAAACTGGACATTAATGTTTTATTTTGCTTTTCTGTATCAAGAAGACAAGAACATATGCCAATTGAAACAAACACATCGATACTCTGACCAGTGATTTGGAAGGTCTCCTTCTTGCTCTAAATGTGAACTTTTCCACTCTTTTTACTACACTTCCACACAATCTTATCAAACGAAAGTTTTCCTATTTAATTAAATGGTCGTTTTCTCTAACGAGAATGGTAAATATGCTAGAAATACTAACTGGAGGTGTGATGAGATGATTAAAGCTGTAAATCTTCTCCTGGACAACATGTATATACGTATTGGCGATACTGCAATTTATCGACAGTTTTTAGGTATTCCTATGGGCACCAATTGTGCCCCTTTAATAACAGACTTGATCCTGTACTGTTATGAACCACAGTTTATGGCCAAACTCAGTATAAAGACCCGTCTAAATTCCATTTAATTGATAAATTCAACCACACCTACCGTTTTCTTGGTGATATTTTTTCGTTAAATAATCAAGAGTTCTCTAAATATACTACCGAAATTTACCAAAAAGGAACTTACTTTAAATAAATCAAATATTAACAGCAATAATTGTCCTTTCCTAAATTTAGATATTTCCGATTAACACGAGATCTCCGAAACTCTATAAAGATTTTCGACAAAAGGGAAAATTTTTCTTTCCCTTTTGTTTATTTTCCAATTTTGGACGGTGATGTTCCTTTGACACCGTCTTACGGTGTTTTTATATCCCAACTCGTTCGTTATGCCCGTGTCTGTAGTGACGTTTTGGATTTGAACGAGCATTATCTATGTATTATTAAGTCAGGGATTTCGTTACTACAAATTACTCGATACAAAGATTCTTACGGTGATCATTAAATTGTTGTTTACCGAGCTCGAAAATTTAGATACGATCCGTGTAAACTTATCAATCCTTATAATTATACTAAAAGGTTACCAATTCAACACTGTAATTAGGTCTTTGAATTTTGTTTTTATTGGTATAAATATTGATTTTGTTATAAGTAAATTTAAACCATAATAATTTCTATTTTCATACGCATATGCACTTTCGCGGTACTTCAATCTGTCGATACCTATATTTTGGCATTGCACAAGGTCATGTTTTCTCTGACAGTCAATGACGTCTTTAAACTAAATCCATTGGATGTTAGATGTGTACTGTTTGATATTCAGAACTAGTCTTTCTATGTTGTGATGTTACACTATTGTAGGTAGGGTGAAGGTTGGCGCCTATTAAAACGTTGAAACCCGCTGCATTTGTTTGCACCTGTCCTAAGTCAAGAACCTGATGTTCAGTGGTTGTCGTTTGTTGATGTGGTTCATAATTGTTTCTCGTTTCTCGTTCTTTATATAGATTAGACCGTTGGTTTTCCTGTTTGAATGGTTTTACACTAGTCATTTTAAGGGCCCTTTATAGCTTGCTGCTCGGTGTGAGCCAAGGCAACTTGTTGGAGGTCGTACTTTGACCTATAATGGTTTACTTTTACAAATTGTGACTTGGATGGAGAGTTGTCTCCTTGGCACTCATACCACATCTTCTTATATCTATTAGATACATGCTTTTTTATTATTTATTATTGGCTTTGTACTTGCTGTCAGTAACTGCGAGTACTGTCAGATCTGTACTTTGTGTCTTTTTTGTTGTTAGGGATGTATAAATTCCCTGCCACGTCCGGTCTGTGTTTTTCTTAGATGTTTTTCTGCTTTGTATCGATCTGATGAGTTAAGCACTTTTCAACTGATTTTTATAATTTGTTCTTATGTTGTGCCGTAACTCCACTGTCCCAGGTTAGGGTAGGGTTGAGCTCACAAACATGTTTAACCTTGCCAAATTCTTTATAGAAAATGAAAGGATATGGAGTAAATGTACATGGGACAAAATCGCACACAATACATTGAAAACATAGAAATTTGTCAATGAACAGGGCTTTTATTGCATTTCCAAAGTCAGGAGCCTGTTGTTCAGTGGTTCTCATTGTTGGTTGATGTCCGTCATATTTTTTTTTCGCAAATTGTTTTGTAATAAATTAGGTCGTTAGTTTTCCCAGTCGAATTATTTCATATTTTTCATGTCGTGGCCTTAAATAACCGTCTATACAGTATGGGTTTTCTCATTGTTGAAGGTCGTACGGTTGCCTTTAACTGCTTACATCCACTTCATTTGAACTTTGGTGGATAGTTGTGAACTGTTGTCTCATTGACAATCATACCACATCTCCTTATTTTTTATATTTATGTCACTTAAAATCAACCACTTACACAGTATTGAAGCTGGAACCAATATATATATATATATATATATATATATATATATATATATATATATATTATGTTACCGGTACCACAGAAGATAAGTCAATTCTCACTGCTGCATATATATATAGATAGAATTTATTTGATCAAATATCAACATAAAAACATTACAAAAGTAGTATAGCAGACATGTAAACATAGTAAAATAACAAAATCTTAAAACAATTGTTGATACCTAATCAGGAAGATATTAACAGTCTGCATGATTTGTTTATTGAATAAAATGGCAGGTGTTGGAAACTGGTAACTGCATGGTCTTCAACAGTAGAAAAAAAAACAGTGATTTTTTTTCTTCAAATCTATATAAATGATGTATTTGTAAACACTTCTGAAAATACAGATCACGCATGAATACTTATATGCATATATATGTATTTAAAAAAAAATCAACCATGTATAATATTCGTATTTTCTTAATCAATCTAATTAAAATTTGCGTCTCCACACTTGCTCCTCATTTTCGTTCGCTTGTTTATATGCCGCGCTTGGCATTTAAACAACCGAACGGAAATGAGGAGCAAGTGCGGATAACTAACTTTAATTAGATTGTTTGTAAATGAAATAAAAGTTTGACAGTTAAGCGATCAACTGTAATTCACGCTTTAAATTGTGCCCAATCTAATTAAAATATAGATCTCTGATTTCGTTATACTACATATTAGATTGAATTGTGCCAGGTGACCATTATTGTGTTATCCCATGTTAGCACCCCTTTTTATTCTTTTAATTGGATTATCAATCAACCTAATTACATGTCATTACATAAAGTTTTCAGGACCATTCAGGTCTTTTTACTTCCCCATATGCCCGTTCCAGTCCAAGTTACAGTATCAGATCACATATTGTTACTTAATGTTATTTGTTTTCTTATGTTTTTTTATGTATTGGTCTCTGCTGTTTATCATTTGTCATGTTGTAAATATGTTTTCGTTGCTATAGCATATATAATACTTTTCTGCAACAAAGTACTTATATTCATATCAAAATGATGTTGGTTTTAATTTCTATTTCATACATGTAATATATCAGTGTTAATCTCTAACAAAATTTAAAGGAAAGTGACTATAGTCAATTGAAAAAATAAAAAAAAATGTTATTTAAGTTCGAATCATAAATCTTCCCGTAAAATGTCAGGTCTTTTATTTCCCCGTTTCAATATGTCAAAGTTTCGGCATAGAAAAACTACACATTTTCATTTTTATAAAACAATTTTTTTGGGGTACTTATAAATTGACTACAAAAATCAGATTTTATTTAGAAAAATAAAAAATAGGTTGAAAATCTTTTTAACTCATTCGAATCTTTTTATTTTCCCTATTAGATTGAAGTTTTGGCATATTTAAAACTGGGCTAAATGATAAACGCCCGTTTAAATCTGGTAGACAGCAACAATCATTACGTAATATTATACACCTAATAAGGGAGTATGGGACTTGTATGTGTTAAAACCCATTTTGCTGGTTTTCAGATTTCCCCCGTTCGTTTTGATGCTTGAAATGGAATGAAAATATTGCTTATCGCAAACATTTTATTGACAAGAATTCTGAAGATTGTTTTGGTCGCCAATCGGCGAAAAACGCGAATTTTAGAATTATTTAAATCAATGTGAAGTTTATGAAACTACTGTGAAAACATAGAAATTGATTATAATTTTATCTAATAGCATATTTCATCACAACAAACATCGAACGTTTCAAAAGAAGCAATTTCTATTGAACATCCAATATATTTGTTGAGTTGCATGTTTCGGCCTGTTTTGTAAATGTCAACAATGACAATACCCGCCATGTGTTTTATGAATAAACAGAAATATACAAATTAAATGTAAGAACTTCTTCGCTAAGTTTAGATAAGAAGAATATAATGGATAACTTTGAACCACAAGCACTGTTGATGCACAACGTGCATGACCTTCGCAGGCGTCTGTTGGAAACAGAGAGAAACTTGAAGAAGCTTTCAAAAATTGAAAATCGAGAAAAAAATAGATTTGAGTAAGTGAACATAATGTAAATAATTGGTAAACTTTTAATACCAGTTTGTTTTGAATCTTTTATTAACAAAATTTCAGTTGGAAGACCTGGTACATGGACATGATGGAGATGCAGCATAGTCTCGCAGTCAATTAAAATAAAATCCCAATTAAGCAGGGCCTAATCGGTATCGGGTCCGTTCGCGCCCAATACACGTTTGCACCCTACACGTTTGCCCCCTAGGTCCGTTCGCACCCAATTTTTATTCAAATTCAAGTTGAATTATTAGATATTTTTTTTATAGACAATAGACAATTGTCTATCATGTCTATGTATATACCAAAAAATATATATTTTCCTGAATAAAAATTGCGGAATTATTATATGAATGTTTTTTTTTTTATCAATTTGATGATTAATTAATAAATGTTAATTATGTACAAATGTATGATTACTGCTAATTGGTATTTATACACAGCTAAATTTGGTATTATTGTTGTGTGTTTGAAAGTCATGATTGTTGTTTTAACTTGCTTTGATGTAAATACTGCAATGTATTTAGCTTGGTATGAGTAAAACATTGAAGATTTTAAAAGAAAAACACGAAAGATAATTGATTTTGACAGCTTGATCTCACTTTATTTTGAAACAATGAACATTTTTTTTTATCACAACACAAACCAAAACATAATTTAAGATTTATTTAGCACAAAAAAAAATACAACGTGAGAATCTCACTTTATTTTGAAACAATGAAAACATAAATTTATAGCATTAATACACTAACCAAAAGATGATTAAGATTTATTCAACACAAAAAACAAACGTGAGAATCTCACTTTATTTAGAAACAATGAATTTTTTTTTTTATAGCAATACACTCACCAAAACATGATTAAGATTTATTCAACACAAAAAAATGTTGTCAGAATCTCACTTTATTTTGAAACAATGAAAAAAAAATATTTACAGCAATACACTTACCAAAACTCGATTACAAAATTATTAAACACAAAACCAATAAAAAGGGTGCGAACGGACTTTGGGTGCGAATGTGTAGGGTGCGAAAGTGAAAGGGGGCGAACGTGAATGGGCGTGAACGTGGTTTTGGGCGAACGAACCCGGATTCGCCTAATCTTGGATTATGGAGCAAAAGAAATGGCTTCTTATTCCATGAGATAGAAGGAAGAAGTGATCAACTTCTTGGAGAAGTGAAATTCAATAACCTTCAATGCCTTGTGTTTTTGTGATTTCTATGACATATACAATAAAGAAATTGTTTTATATGTATGCAATAAAAGATATACCTGTAGTGTTTTTACATGATTAATGTATAGATTGAAAACTCTTGAAGGGGCATTAGCTACAATTTAGAAAAAAAATGAGAATACAATTCCTTATGTGTCGGAAGTATTATTAAAAGCGAAATTTTGAAATAATACTTTGTTTTTAAGCAATCAGTTTGGCCCAAAGGGGTAGGCCCGGTAAGACCCCTTTTTGGCCCCAAAATATAGCACTTTTACAGATTTGTTGAAATGTAAACTTTTAGCTCTTTATTGGAAAGTAGAATACTTTTGTTCCATACACATGGCCTGTTTTTGACAATACAATGCACATGCATCAGGTAAGAGCATCATAAATTCATGCAAAATTACTGAAATCTTCACAATTGTAGTATTTGTGCTAATTTTAAGACGGTTTTTGTCTGAAATGGAAGTGGCCACTTTTGTGTTCAGTCTAAATATTTCAACATATGTTGTATTTGATAATAATACTTAACATATAAAAATGTTAAGACTGAACATGAATGTGTCCACTTTCATGTTAGACAAAAACATCTGAAAAGTGACGTTTTATGGCATATTTGATAGATTTTTCATATTTAAGCTTGAATTTGAGCGTCTTTTATGACCAAATCAGTTCAAATCTTTAACATAAACTAATTAAATCGACTGAAGTAGACACTTAAGTGTTTACAAAATGTCAAAAATCCCTAATCAGATGTACTTCGTAAACTATTTGTATAAAGCTTTATATTTCAGAAGGTAGTAGACCTGGATGCTTCATATCTTGTATGCAGATACCTTATGTTACAAAGTTTCCGTCAATCGTATGTCCATTGTCCTTGACCTCATTTTCATGGTTCAGTGACTGCTTGGAAAAAAATTTGAGTTTTTTTGTCATATGAGTTTCTCACTTATTATGAGTAATAGGATAACTATACTGTACACACAGAGAGGACATGTTCTCATACTCCTAACAATGATTCTGGTGTAACACAGTGTCACACTGTGAAACACGGATTTCTCTCCCAAAATACTCCCAGTACTTACTCCCATCTGGGAGGATTTTATGACTTGTTGATTGCAGGTAAAAGTAATAAAAATCAACACAGCATGACTGTATGGTCTGACATTGACATGTAATTACAGGTCAACTATTCTAATTACAATGTACTTCATCCTATTTGAAATATTTTCCTTAAAGTTTTATTTCTGAAATAAATGAAAAGGTACTGAAATGAAATTTTAAATTTTTTATACAAAATATATATTGATATTTGTTTTCATTTATCTTGTAAGATTGGAAAATTATTAACTTTCTTACATAATCAAGAACGGATAGTTGATATTTATAAGTTTTATTTGTAGTCAGATTAAAAAAATATTTAATGATAAAAACAAATAATAAATAAAGTAAAGAAATTGAATATATATATATTTCTTCCTTTAATTTTCATTCAAATTTTAGAAAAAGATTGAATAAATTCTGTTTAACATTTCTTAATTTCATATAATTATAATCACCTTATATAAACATATGATATTTTAATATTTTCTATCCAAATTTGATGTACTTAAAATGTTACAAATGTGACTGTCATTTAATGACAGTAAACACAAAAAATGTTTATTGTAGTCAACAACTACTGGCACACTTCAAAGGTAATTATGGCAATAAAAGTCATGGTGTTGGGAGAAACGACACCAAGGTAATAAACAATTAAGGGATTAAATGGAGGAATTACACCAAGTTTCTCCCAATTTCCTTCCAAGATTAAGAGAGAGTTGCTGGAGTTCTTAGGTGTGACACCAAGTTTTTACACAGTCATGAGTGTTTGGAGTATGAGAATCAGTACTCTCTGTGTGTACTGTATTTGGTATATGGGTTCCTTGCCATGTCTGCATGTCTGTCAGACAGAGTTCACCTGACCTTGACCTCATTTAATGGATCAGTGATCAAGGTTAAAGTTACATGATTTGGTCCGTTTCTCATATACTATAAGCAGTAGGTCAACTATATTTGGTGTATGGAACGATTGTAACGGGTACATGTCAGTCAGGCAGGTTTCATCTGACCATGACCTCATTTTCATGGTTCATTGGTCAATGTTAAGTTTGTGTTTTGGTCTGTTTTTCAAGTACTATAAGCAAGAGGTCAAGTATATTTGGTGAATGGAATGATTATAAGGTGTACAAGTCTGTCTGGCAGGTATCATCGGACCTTGACCTCATTTTCATGGTTCATTGGTCAATGTTAAGTTTTTGTGTTTTTGTCTGTGTTTCAAGTACTATAAGCAATAGGTGAACTATATTTGGTGTATGGAAAGATTGTAAGGTTTACATGTCTGTCTGGCAGGTATCATCTGGCCTTGACCTTATTTTCATGGTTCATTGGTCAATGTTAAGTTTTTGTGCTTTGGTCTGTTTTTTAAGTGCATACATACTATATGCAATAGGTCAACTATATTTTGTGTATGGAGTGATTGAAGGTATACATGTCTGTCTGGCAGGTATCATCTGATCTTGACCTCATTTTCATGGTTCATTGGTCAATGTTAAGTTTTTGTGCTTTGGTCTGTTTATCAATTACCATAAGCAATAGATCAACTATATTTTTGGTATGGAATGCTTGTAAGGTGAACATGTCTGTCTGGCAGGTATCATCTGACCTTGACCTCATTTTCATGGTTCATTGGTCAATGTTAAGTTTTTGTGATTTGGTCTGTTTTTCAATTACCATAAGCAATAATAGGGTCAACTATATTTGGTGTATGGAATAATTGTAAGGTGTACATGTCTGTCTGACAAGATTTATCTGACCTTGACCTCATTGTCGTGGATCTTTAAAAATGTTAAGTTTATGTGATACTTGTAGTAAGGCCATTATCTTCAAGACTTGAAGTTGAACATAAAATCAATGGTCAGTAAAGCAGGCGAGACATTTCAGCATGTGAACTCTTTTCTTTTAATAAGTAGATTATGTCTTTTGATCTTTTTTGAACTGTGATATAACAGATTAATCAATTTTTAAATCATCATTACCGAATTTTAGATTATTTTGTAGGTCGGTTCAAACCCATTCATTTTCTATGATTCAGTATGGATTCAAAATCAAATTAGTTGAACTATATAGTAAATAAAGATACATCTACAAAATAAACCCAGAATGTAAACTTTTGTCTGTTTCTGAAATATGAAGAATATATGTTCAACATTTAACACAACTTTACATTAATTTGGGTCCATTTGTTAATAAGTTGGTAGTAGTTTGTGTTGGTGCGAGTTTTGCAAATGTATGAGTTTACTGCGGAAAGAGTTGCTTGTGGTGATACGAGTTTACTGTGATACTAGTTGCTTGTGGTGGTATGAGTTTACTGTGATACTAGTTGCTTGTGGTGGTACGAGTTTACTGTGATACTAGTTGCTTGTGGTGGTATGAGTTTACTGTTATACTAGATGCTATTATAAAAATGATTAAATAACCATAAATTTCCCCAATATTTGTAAGGTCAGCTTTTTTCATATGATCTACGTATGGGGGGTTTCAAACTTGAATCTGCATAACATCATTCAAAAAGTTGTGGATTTTATATTTGTTTCTTTTTTAGTGAGGATGATGATGTTGAAAGTATTAGTACAATAACCAGTCACCCAGACAGACTGTTTCCACTGACCATGGAGGAGCTACTTCAGTACCCAGATAATAGACCAGATGACAGAGACAGTATAGCGTCTGGATTAGCTACACTGCCTGAATCTTCTTATGCTGGCTTTGAAAGAGTCAATCCTGTATCCAGTACTCCTAGTAAACCCAAAGTATGTAGTTATGAAGATAAGGTCAAAAGTAAGGACCCAACATAGTTTTCATGAAGGGTTGCATCAAGCATTTTCCACACTTTCAGCCTGTTTGATCAGCTAAGACTCTCACATTTAGTACTGAGCACCTGATGTCTTTCGAAAGTGATCTCTTTTAAAGTTTTCAGTTAATTTAAACCAAACCAAGCTAGCTGCAAGCATGCTTAAAGTGTCTTGTTTTAAAACTTTTTATCAATGATAAGGTCTTCCTGAAGGGGCATTAGCTATGAGATATATAAAAAAATACAAAGATGATTTTTTTTTTGTTCAGTCCTCAATAAATAACCTAAGAACCATTGCTTATGAATTATTCACTTGCAATTGAATAATTCAACCTCATTGAATCCGTATTCATGTGACCTTCAATTTGACCCCTTAGCTGGAGATGGGTTACACATGTATTCAGCTATTAAAGGAAAGGAATGTCAACATTGAAAGTGAAACAAGGATGAACCATTTGGTTGACTGATTTGATCCACAAAAAAATTCATTCGTATTCAGGTAAAAACGATGATAAACATACTTTTTAACTACAATATGAATCAAACAGACCTAGAAAAATCCAATTACATGTGGTCGCTATCTATTTATATTTGTATTTATGTTTATATCAGGTTATTTGACTGTCGGCAGTCTTTGGAGGTCATCTTGATGGTTAATCAGATGACATCTAGACAAAAATAGACATAAAAAAATACACTATTGTTTCAGAAAAAGGGTGAAGGTTTGGTACCATTAAAACGTTTAAACCCGCTGCATTTGTTTGCACCTGTCCTAAATCAGGAATCTGATGTTCAGTAGTTGTCGTTTGTTGATGTGGTTCATAAGTGTTTCTCGTTTCTCGTTTTTTTATATAGATTAGACCGTTGGTTTTCCCGTTTGAATAATTTTTGGGGCCCTTTATAGCTTACTGTTCGGTGTGAGCCAAGGCTCCGTGTTGAAGACCGTACTGTGACCTATAATGGTTTACTTTTATAAATTTTGACTTGGATGGAGAGTTGTCTCATTGGCACTCATACCACATCTTCTTATATCTATGAAATGCTGATACATATTATCGAGACCATGCATTGTTAATTGATTATTCTAGACTTTTTGTAATTTGGATATATACATTTTAGAATGTTGTTAATCAAATATGAGAATTTGAGTCAAATCGGTGAACATGAATTTGACAGCTAATGCCCCTTTAAACCAACACGACCATAATACCTGTACAGAATAGAAAACTAAGGTTGAATTATATGTCAATCATTTCTCCTGCTTTTATTTAGCCTTTAAAAACCTACAAAGCTAGAATCAATCTTTTAATGGTTCCATTTCAGCTTTTGACTATAAAATTTTAAAATATTAACATTTGAAGAGGTAGCTTTCAGTGAATATTTTACTGAGGTAGAGAAGATCATTTCAACAAAAATGACTTGTTTACTCTGACTACTTGCTGTAAATTTTCTATTTACAATTACCAGATACATACAGTAACTAAATCAATTAAAATGGAATTCAACCTGATATAGTTTTCAGGAAATTCTAAAATTCATTAATCCATCATTGTGTATAGGCTTTTCCAGATAAAGTTTTATGGGAAGATGAGATATAATCAAATTTGTATAAATGTTTGGGTTGAATAATTAAAAAAAAAGTAAATTCTCTGAATTTCTTCTTAATTTCCAAGGAAGGTATGTTTAAAAGAAACATGCTGTCAAAAACCACACCCCTAACCCCTCCATTTCAATTAATTTTAAGGAAACCAAAAGACGGATGCATTGGGGGCTTCTTTGTACAAAATAAGAAAATCTATGAAATTTAGAAAGATAATTTTGTCTTTAGTATACATCTAAAGATGACAGACTCAGCTACAGCTTAATTGAGGGTCACCAAAAGGTCAACAATGAGTCAGCAGAAGTAAGAAATGTGAAAGAGGCTAACAGGAAGTTACTGTTACAGAATCAGAAACTATTAGTGGAGACAGAAAAATGTAGCCGTGAATTACTTGGTGCTAAATCAAAGGTTAGAAGGGATAATGTTTTTTGTTGTTGCTAAAACATGAATATCAAAGCATTTACTTCATAAATAAGGTTCATTCTTATTAAAACAAGTTGCTTTCTTTAAAAAAAGAAAAGCAATACGTGAACCTAAGACCGCTGACTGGTCACCAAAGGATTGTTGCTGAATGTTTGTTTCCATTTGAATTGAAATAATTGACTGTGAAAAGAAGAAGATAATGATGAAGTTAAACAACCTTTATTAAAACTATGTAATAGTGTGTACATTCTTGTACATCTCAGTTGAAAATAATGTTGGATAGTTGTGAATAGAAATGTGTATATATACAGAACTATTTGAATATACATTTTAAAGATCAACTATTTCATTTGTTACTTGGGATTGTACATCATTTTTTTCATAAACCTATTGCAAATCCCAGTTTCTACTAACTGGATGTATAATGCAAATTGCAAAAACCAATTACAATATAAATTTAAGCAGTCAGTTAGCTTTATAATCTGGAAGCATTTATTTTATCTATCATATCTTTATTGAGTTTCCTTCATATTATCAACTCGTTATTGAATTTTTCTGTACTCATGGTAGATATTGTATAGATAAATTTTCCATGTGAAGTGAAACCCTGTGGCATGCAACTTTTAAGAATGTTTCGTATATATTTCTTGAGACTAACACACCAGCTTCATTTGGACCTCTTATATAGAGACTTATTTTGGTCTCAAAAAACATCTTAAATTTTAAGGATCATATCCTGATTTTCTTAAATCAATCCAAATATTCTACAGAGAAACTTGGTTTTGAAGAATATCTTATTTTTCAGAAGTTTTATGAATACATAAACATACTCTCAAAAGAACCAATTTATATAAAAAGACATGTAGATATGAAAAGATACCAGGATTAACATGTTGTACGCCAGACGTGAGTTAAGTCTTCAAAGAATCATCAGTGACGCTCTAATGAAAAATGTGTAAAAAAAAAACCAAACATACCGGGTAGTACGAAGTAGGTAAAAAATCCTTGGCATTTCGAAAATGTCAAAATTTATAAAAGGACAATTACTCAAAAAAAGAAAGCAAAAGAGAAACAGCTAGAGGTCAGAATACAGTTTTTAAGCAATGATGATCGTGCTTGAAACCACATGTCAAGCTCTTACTACCACGTCCTGAATTTAGATCAGAAAAGGGAAAATTCGCACTCGCAAGTGAAATTAACATTTATGCCTGAACATGATATTTTTGCGCAAGAAATAGTAAATAGAAAGCATATGCACTGATACTCTGGATACGAATACGCATTTGCGTCATCACATATATTAATCTTATAGTTGAATTCGGATGTCAAACTACCTACCTCAAGTGTTTTGACTCCGGATTCATTGACATTTTATCCGTAATTTTTGCGAATGGAAACCGATAATGTGCGTATGAAGAGGGTGTATAATGTGAATGAATCAAGACGTGTAGTATAGCTGTTCAAGACAATGAATACAATTTTCAATACCGTATCATAGTACAAATATTAAGATGCTATAAGGTTGAACTAATAAAAGAAAGAAAAAGAAAAAAAAAATTGAAATTTTATAATCAACATACATTCCTGTTTGTGAACTTTTTTCCTGAAAATAGCTTGAATATAATATCAATAAACATAAATGTCAAGTATTTACTGACAGATATTTTATTTATCAAATGAATCTTTTTTTTAAAGATTATGAATATATTGCTATACAAAATATAAGCAGTGACTTGTAAATCCCTACTAAAACAGTATAAAATAATTGACATTATGATAGTAATTAATTTTGTTATGATTATTGTAAACATTAATTACGTTTTTTGTGAGTTGAAATGATTTAAAATCCTTGTGAATTGAAACCATGCAAGTATTTTTTCATTCACGACCTTTTAAAATTTAGATATTTAGCTAATTTTGAGTACGCATCCCTGCTCATTGGTGCTCATACGTTACAAATAATTTTCATAAATGTAATGACTGATCAAACATGTAAGACATAATTCACGTATACAGTTACAATTTTGATTATATTCTATAATTATTAGGAATAAATTCAGTCTCTGTTTAACCTTAACAATGAATATTCTCTTAGTCTGGTAGTATTTATTAATGAAATTATATATATTTTTTTACAGAAAAATCCTTTTGTTTGATTATCTTTCTGCTCTCCAATCACTGTGTAACCGACCTTAGAAAAATATTTTTACAGAAATATCGTTTTCCTAATTTTCTTCATGCTTTCCGACATTTTCTCATGCTATGATTGAAATACTAAAGCTCAAATGTTAAACGTGCAGAACTAATCAGTTTATTCTGGGTCATTTTATGTCAATAAACTATTTCCAGGTTTATTAATACTACACACACAACGAGAAGAGGGGCCGTCTCAAAGCATGAATTATATAATTGCGTTATCATTATACTTGATATTTAATAATCATTCAATTATTAAAAACACATATGTTTTGTGAAAAGGCAAATAGGTTCTAATAGTTAAATGATTTTTTGACTGCAACTTAGTCTTTATTGTTTTACTTTCCAATTTACTTTGATTGTTAATGTCACTTGGTAGCCTAGCCATAGAGGGACCATATCAAAGACGTAGATAACTACCTGTATAAATGATCGAAAACTTTCGAGAGGTTCCGAGAAATAATTCCGACTTCCGGCCTAGAGATATCCAGTGGCCCATAGACACATCCAAAGCTCGCCAATATATAAGCGTGAAACCCCCTCAGGGGGTTCACGCAAAAAATTTTTTTTTGTTGATTTAAGATATATTAGAAAAGTAAATGGACAGAAAATCACAAAACAAAAGTTTACAAATTTAAAGCTAATAATGCAAAAAGTCGCAAAAGCCACAATTTTTATTTAGAAATAAAAAGGTGATATACAGAAAGTCGCAGCTCATATGGTTTGATACATTTTAACAGGGACATTATAAACAGCCATGTTCTATAAGATTACAGGGACAAACCGAACAAAAACTCATTTCATAATTTACACGTAAGGAACAAAATGTGATATTTCGTTTTCATTAGGATTGTACAAACTACAAAAAGTCATTTTCTTTCAGTTTTTAGCTCACCTGGCCCGAAGGGCCAAGTGAGCTTTTCTCATCACTTGGCGTCCGTCGTCCGTCGTCCGTCGTCGTCCGGCGTCGTCCGTCGTCAACCCTCGTCGGCGTTAACTTTTTACATTTTGAACTTCTTCTAGAGAACCACTGAATGGATGAAACCAAACATGGCATGAATGTTCCTTATGAGGTGCTGACCAAGTGTTGTTACTTTGTAGCCGATCCATCATCCAAGATGGCCGCCAGTGGGGGGACTTAGTTTAACATAGGACCCTATGGGAAATGCATACAAATGACTTCTTTTAGAGAACCACTGAATGGAATGAAACCAAACATGGCATGAATGTTCCTTATGAGGTGCTCACCAAGTGTTGTTACTTTGTTGCCAATCCATCATCCAAGATGGCCGCCAGCCGGGGACTTAGTTTAACATAGGACCCTATGGGAAATGCATACAAATGACTTCTTTTAGAGAACCACTGAATGGAAAAAAAACAAACATGGCATGAATGTTCCTTATGAGGTGCTGACCATGTGTTGTTACTTTGTAGCCGATCCATCATCCAAGATGGCCGCCATCTGGGAACTTAGTTTAACATAGGACCCTATGGGAAATACATACAAATGTCTTCTTTTAGAGAACCACTGAATGGAATGAAACCAAACATGGCATGAATGTTCCTTATGAGGTGCTGACCAAGTGTTGTTACTTTGCAGTCGGTCCATCATCCAAGATGGCCGACAGCAGGGGACTTAGTTTAACAAAGGACCTATGGGAAATACATACAAATGTCTTCTTTTAGCGAACCACTGAATGGAATGAAACCAAACATGGCATGAATGTTCCTTATGAGGTACTGACCAAGTGTTGTTACTTTGCAGTCGGTCCATCATCCAAGATGGCCGACAGCAGGGGACTTAGTTTAACAAAGGACCTAATAATTGGGAAATACATACAAATGTCATCTTTTAGAGAACCACTGAATGGAATGAAACCAAACATGGCATGAATCTTCCTTATGAGATGCTGACCAAGTGTTGTTACTTTGTAGCCGATCCATCATCCAAGATGGCCGACAGCGGGGGACTTAGTTTAACATAGGACCCTATGGGAAATACATACAATTGTCTTCTTTTAGAGAACCACTGAATGGAATTGAACCAAACATGGCATGAATGTTCCTTATGAGTTGCTGACCAAGTGTTGTTACTTTGCAGTCGATCCATCATCCAAGATGGCCGCTAGGGTGGGGGGGGGGGGGGGCTTAGTTTAACATAGGACCCTATGGGAAATACATACAAATGTCTTCTTTTAGAGTACCACTGAATGGAATGAAACCAAACATGGCATGAATGTTCCTTATGAAGTGCTCGACAAGTGTTGCTACTTTGTTGCCGATTTACTGTTCAAGATGGCCACCAGGATATTTTATTAAATAACGGGACCAATATTAATCAAAATTTGGCCTCAATCACTATTTGGGTATCTGTTATGATTTTTATCTATCTTTACATGATTTCTAAAACCAAAGTAGAGTCAGGTGAGCGACACAGGCTCTTGAGAGCCTCTAGTTTAATGTATTATAATATACTTTGCAGTTGAGACAACAGATTGCCTTTCTGTTTACCAAAGCTATATAGCAGAGCTGTTTTAACCAAACATTTTTCAATGATGAATTGGAAACTGTTTGGTCCTCCATTCAAAGTCCATTGTTTTTGTTCCTATTTAGAAGGGAGACTAATTTCTTGTCCTTAAGATCTTAGATCTCAACCCACTACACACACAGTGGTGCATGTGGTTGTCCCATGTCAGAAGCCTCTTCATTTGTTGTCTTTTGTTATATCTTAATTTTAATGCCCCGCCTATGATAGTAGTAGGGGCATTATTTTTTCTGGTCTCTGCTTCCATTCGTTCGTTCGTCTGCCTGTCCCACTTCAGGTTAAAGTTTTTTGTCATGGTAGTTTTTGATGAAGTTGAAGTCCAATCAACTTGAAAATTAGTACACATGTTCCCTATGATATGATCTTTCTAATTTTAATGCCAAATCAGAGTTTTGACCCCAATTTCACGGTCCACCGAACAAAGAAAATGATAGTGCAAGTGGGGCATCCATGTACTATGGACACATTCTTGTCATTTTGTTATTTAGTCTCTGTTAAATTTATTCAAAACTCTTCTAGATTCAGTGTGATTTATTGCTTGACATACTACATGTATATAGCCACTTGTCTATTGTTAATAATCATATTTTGACCTTGATTTATATTATGATTTTTTTTGGCTATTGGAAGTATTCCCTGTTTCCATTTATTCATATGCTGCAACTAGACAGTCTATGTCATTATTTGTTAATTTTCAACTTCTGCTGTATGTTTTTATCTTCTGTGAAGTTCAAGGAGTAAATTTTTTTTTAAACAAAACTGATAAATTTGCTTTAATACCAGATGGAAAATTAAATATTTTGCTTCAAACTCTCTCATATGGAATTTGAAATCAGAAATTGCAACAAAAATATAGATGTTGTGAATTATCTTGTCCTTTAAAGGTGCAGGAGCTAAGCAAGGAGTTAAATGACTTCAGAGAACAAGTTCCAGATTTGGAGGATAGAATTACAGGACTGCAAGCTGAAACAGAATCACAGGATGCTGCTCTTAGGTAGGTTATATTGGTAACAATAGTTTAATATGATTTAGCAAACGATAGTTTCTACAGCATCCATCTAAGTCAGATGGATATGCTTGTAATTTTCTAGAGTTAGTGTTCAATAATGAGCCAACAAACTTTAATTGGTGTTTTAAGGGCTATTCCATTAAAATGTATGTGGGAGGGTAGGAAGGGAAGTTTAATTATTGAATGTGGGTCATGGGTCTTTTTTCAGTATGCGTCTATTACCATTATGCAAAATTATCTAAAAAATGGTTCTTGGTTGTAGGGATATTGTGAAAGTCCCTTCCTACCCTCTCACATACATTTTAATGGAATAACCCTAAGGGGGTACCCAACACTCTGACTAAAATAGATTTGACTTGTCTAATTTTCATAGAATTTTGACCAAATATTTACTTTCACCTGTTGACAAAAAAAACTAAAATTTCAAGAAATTTGAACCACACAATTTACAGGAATAATTTCATTGGATATATAGCCCAGTTTGACAAACACTAATTTAGATCATTGATAAGCTTGATTTTTCTTTACTAATAGTTTGTGATTAAAACACTCAGCTGATTTTTAAGAGTTAACTCCCTAAGATGTTCTGTACCCACTTAAGTTTTGTCTTTTAATTTAAAAAAAAAAGACTGTGTTATGGGTTATTATTTTCTTTAATATTGTTGTAATAATATAATATTTTTTAAAGCATTTCATCCACTTCACTTAGTAACAGCCATAGTATGTTTTATAGAATCATATTGTTTAAATAACTGCTGTGTAGAATATCCAAAATTGAATGCTTGTCAGTGAGATAAGACATACTGTACATAAACCTTTCAGTTGTACATACATGTTAAGCATATTGCCTTGCAGTAATGAAAATAAAATATGAACACACATTTTTTAACTCTTGAGATAAGTTTCTTCTTTTGGAATTTATTTTGTAAATGATGAAGATACCCTTATATAAAATTTCTATCAAGCAGAACTAATTGACCCTTTTATTAACTGATGAATCTTAATAGATGCTTAAAATTGGTAGCTGCTATAAGCTAAATGGCACATAAAATATAAAACTATGTTTATTTTTAAGACATTTTATACAAATATTTGACTGAATTTCATTCTGAGTTGTATTTTCTTGTATTAATTTCAAACCAATGAAATGACCAGTTGACCCATTAAAGGAGAATATATAGATTGTGAGAGCATCAGCCATATACATGTATACTCTTAAACAGACATTTCCAAGTTAGTCATTTTTGGTAGTACATTGTAATGTGTTGCCAAAGAACAGGAGTTTTTATAAACTAAATTGTAGAAGCTTTGAACGTAAAAAGAAGATTGTATACAGAATTAAGATGAAACTAATGTTTTAAAAAGAATCCTATCTTGAAAAGAAAATTCCATAGCTGATTCACTACAGTACACAAATGTACATGATTGAAATTATTTTAATTATAACAAGTTTGACAGAAATTATTGAAAATGTTTTTGTTTTAGAGATGCTGAGGAGAGGTATGACAGGAGCCAAAAACAACTCGATGAAAACAAACAAAGCATTAAAGACTTAGAAAATCATATTGAAGAATTCAGATCAGATTTATCTGATGAAAGAAAAAAGAGAAAGGGGTAATTAATTATTGAAATCTAGTCAGTATGTTAAAAGTAAAATATTTTAATTCATATCCATGTAAAGGAAATATCGACAATTAAAAAGTCTGTTATTAATTGTTGGGTTGTTGATTTTCTAATGCTTAGAAAGCTGGGGGAAATAAGAGAAAATGTATCCTTTTGCTGTGTCATCTTTTGGGTAGACACAAAGTGAAATCTAAGTTGCCTTGCATTTTTTCAGCTTCTTCTTTTAAAATAATTTGTCCTGATAGTATGCAGTCAGTCCTAAAGCAATTGTTAAATGTGGAATTCTTCTGTAGAAATTCCAATAAGGAACATATTTGACATTATTTTAGAAATTACTGGTTTAATTACTTAAATTGTTTTAAATTTGAAATGAATCATTTGTATATTTATTCCTCAGTTTTTTTTCCAGTGGAAGTACTAGTCATGTCATGAGATATAGACAGTAGTTTGCTTATGTTCAAATTTCATAAATCCATTTTGATTATACAAATCAAAAGAAATAAATTTGTTTACTTAGCAGACAAACATAAAGATTAAGAATAATTGAATTCTGGGTAATTGGTTATGTTAGACTCATATTTGGGGTAGACTTTCCTGTCAGACTTTAACAGATAATTTGAGAAGAAAATTTCTGTAAAAACAAAAAAAATATAAAAAGGTATTCCAGCAGAATTTGTTTTATTTAGTTATCTTTTCAGAACTTAAATCATTTAATTTCATTTACAGTGCTGAAAATCAGAGAGATGAAGCTTTACAAAACCTGTTAGAATCACAAGAGATGCTGGAAGATTATCAGAAAAAGACAAAAGAAAAGATTAAAAAGGTATATTAGAATATAATTTTTCATATTTTGAACAAATGTTATTTTTTTAAATGTATTTCCAGAATAAATATGTTACAGATTTTATTTTTCAAATTATTTTTTATATCTTTATTAATACTCGGAAACAGAACATGTGTAACATGAGTATAACATACAAATCAATTATAAAAACAATTTGAATGAGTTAAAAGCATTATAATTTTGAATTATTATTACTTATGTATTCTGGATCCTTTGCACTTTTTATGCTAATTTTTAAATGAAAATTATTTTCCTGAGAAAAAAAAATCACCTTGAAACTTTTGAATAATATATCAGTTTCAGAACAGAATGACAGAATTATGACATTTAGATATGAAAAACATGTACCAATACTATGTAAAATCTAAATGAGTCTAGTATATATTGTGAAGAAAACAAGATTATTCTTATTCTTGATATTATCAGAATAGAAGTGTCAAACATTTGAAGATCATGTAACATCATAACTTAATTTCAACCAAGCATGCAACTGCTGTGCTTGAAAAAAATCATTTTACATTTTAGGGGGAAAAAGTCTTGGTGAAATTTCAGCATGAATAATCCAGAAGGTTGAAAATTTATTTTAACAGATAAAAAACAGCATTAAAAATTGTGATTTCATAAAATTCCAGTTAACCAAACATGTAGCATTCTATCAAAATCTGATAGCCTATCATGAAAAGCTGAAGTATTGAATATGATGAAATATCAAATATTTTACTCCTAATTTCAGATGGAAGAAAACGAGGATTATCTACGAGACAGTCTTGCTCATGGGAACAGGGAACGTGAAGAACTACTTGAAAAACTTTCCCTATTACAGTCTAAAGTGAGAAATCAACATGATGATATCAGGTACAGTGTTTCCACAGGATGTCAATCTGCCAGTAAAAACTTGTAACCAATGGGCCAATATATACTGCTCATAATGGCAAACATATTATAAGAAGTAGTGAAATTGTGTAATGTTCTGAATTTTTAAATGCGAAAAAAGCAAGTAAATCCTATCAATTTTGAAATATCTGTTTTATTGTATGGTCCAGTATAACTGAGTTTGGATAAGTTTGCTTACAGTTCCAAATGTCAAATGAAATAATTGACCAACTCTGCAGGACATACATAGCTACAAAAATACCTCCTGTGGACTATTGACCAACTCTGCAGGACATACATAGCTACAAACATACCTCCCAAGGACTATTGACCAACTCTGCAGGACATACATAGCTACAAACATACCTCACATGGACTATTGACCAACTCTGCAGGACATACATAGCTACAAACACAATGAAACATACCTCCCATGGACTATTGACCAACTCTGCAGGACATACATAGGTACAAACATACCTCCCATGGACTATTGACCAACTCTGCAGGACATACATAGCTACAAACATACCTCACATGGACTATTGACCAACTCTGCAGGACATACATAGGTACAAACATACCTCACATGGACTATTGACCAACTCTGCAGGACATACATAGGTACAAACATACCTCCCATGGACTATTGACCAACTCTGCAGGACATACATAGCTACAAACATACCTCCCAAGGACTATTGACCAACTCTGCAGGACATACATAGCTACAAACATACCTCCCAAGGACTATTGACCAACTCTGCAGGACATACATAGCTACAAACATACCTCCCAAGGACTATTGACCAACTCTGCAGGACATACATAGCTACAAACATACCTCCCAAGGACTATTGACCAACTCTGCAGGACATACATAGCTACAAACATACCTCCCAAGGACTATTGACCAACTCTGCAGGACATACATAGCTACAAACATACCTCCCAAGGACTATTGACCAACTCTGCAGGACATACATAGCTACAAACATACCTCCCAAGGACTATTGACCAACTCTGCAGGACATACATAGCTACAAACATACCTCCCAAGGACTATTGACCAACTCTGCAGGACATACATAGCTACAAACATACCTCCCAAGGACTATTGACCAACTCTGCAGGACATACATAGCTACAAACATACCTCCCAAGGACTATTGACCAACTCTGCAGGACATACATAGCTACAAACATACCTCACATGGACTATTCTTACTATTTACACATCTATTCAAATCTGTAGTTTAAATCATTCTTAAAATTTTTATGAAAAATTGCAGACACAAGGTTTTGACACAATATGGTCAATAGTTATAATTTGTCACCCTAGTTATAATTCCTTTATGATGCTGAAAAAAGCCATACCTCTATAATGTTATTTGCTGGTTGTCTACTGAGCATATAATGAGACACCATGGTGCATGTGTTAGTCTATTCACACTTTGTACAATTATTGAAATTGTTATAATTGAAATACAGGCAAGAAGTATCTCTTGAGTCTACAGTTTGTGGTTAAAAATTTATTTTACATGGGTATTTCAGTCCAGAAATGACTATAAATTCAGAAAAATACAAATTTGTTGACATGGTTTGATATTATTTGACATTTTTATTTTTAGACAATATCAGAGTGAAGAAAGGGTAGAAATGGAAACAAAGAATCATTTAGAACAACAAAATATGGACCTGAAATCACAACTAGCTAAGGTTACAGCTAAACATAGTATGTTATTATTTTTAACAGGAAGTACTTTCAATATAAATGGTCATAGCTTCAGTAACATGCTGCTTGTAGTTGAAATTAAAAAAAAAATTTTGGGAAAATAACCAGAAATTTAGTATGAAACTGTCATCTTAAACAAAATTGAAAAAAGCTATTCAGTACAGTTTTCAAGTCTTTAATTACTATGGGTTCCCAAGTTTACATCATATATATGTATGAGTTGAAAAGTTATGCTTATGCATTAACAAACATTTCTTAATTTTCATGGCAATTTTGTAGTCCTGCCTTAAGTGAATATAAAAAAAAGACTGGAAAAAAACCTGCTTGAAATTTTATGTATCTATTGTTTGTTATTGCATAAAGCATTCTTGGATCTTCTTTTCATTTAGTTTGAAAATAAGTATGGTAGTTGCATCAATGTATATATGTTCAAATACAAACTGATGTCTTGTTGTATCCAACAGTTTAACTGCCTTGGTCAGCTGATTTTAATTTTGTACCAATGATTTTATAATGTTTATTTTAAGATAAATCTGACAATGAGTTAATGATGATGGAGAGTATTAGAAAAGAAAACACACGACTGAAGTCACAAGTAAACAGACAACAAGAACAGTTAAATACCTGTACACAGGAGATAGAAGAAAGTAGAACCATGCTGGTCCAGCTAGAACAACTAGCTTCTCAAGTTCAACAGGATCAAAGCAGAGGCAGTGTTAGTATAAATTGATAGTTTTCTGTGTGGGGTCAAACATTATATACATTAAAACTTTGTATTTATGCATTAGTCAATAAACCTTAGGTGTTATTAAATATGGTGGGACTTTTTTCATCTAGATAATTATGAACTTATATATAAAAAATTAACTGAAAATTATTTGGAATATAAATGCATTGATCATATGGAATATTTGTCAGTAGCATATTATTTTTCATGCATGTACAATTTAGTCTCTTACTTTACAAATAATTGCTTTATGTATAAATGGTTTGTTCAGTTATTACAAGATACTTTGTTTTTCTGTTTTTTTTCCCCAGGTTTTTATGCTGAAAATACAATATAAGAATATTCAGCAGACTAAACCATTAAAAAATACAAAATTATATAACAGTTATTTTGATACTCAATTTTATTATACATTCTTTATAGAGAGGTGCAAGTTTCAATGACAGTGGTGTATGTAGTGTGAGACAGGATCAAGGGGCCTCTGGTGGCTTTTATAAGTCTACACAGATTGAAATTGATACCTTTACCACAGAACAAATTTCCCCAAGGGGAGGAGCTAGAGCTATCTTACAGGATCTCAGGTAGCTTTTATTACAAGTTTTAATAGTGCAACAAACAGGAAGAAGCTCTAACTGAATAACAGAATCTCAGTTACGACAAACTTCCCCAAGGGGAGGAGCTAGAGCCATCTTACAGGATCTCAGGTAGCTTTTATTACAAGTTTTAATAGTGCAACAAACAGGAAGAAGCTCTAACTGAATAACATGATCTCAGTTGCGACAAACTTCCCCAAGGGGAGGAGCTAGAGCTATCTTACAGGATCTCAGGTAGCTTTTATTACAAGTTTTAATAGTGCAAAAAACAGGAAGAAGCCCTTACTGAATAACAGGATCTCAGTTACGACAAACTTCCCCAAGGGGAGGAGCTAGAGCTATCTTACAGGATCTCAGGTAGCTTTTATTACAAGTTTTAATAGTGCAAAAAACAGGAAGAAACTCTAACTGAATAACAGGATCTCAGTTACGACAAACTTCCCCAAGGGGAGGAGCTAGAGCTATCTTACAGGATCTCAGGTAGCTTTTATTACAAGTTTTAATAGTCCAAAAAACAGGAAGAAGCTCTAACTGAATAACAGGATCTCAGTTACGACAAACTTCCCCAAGGGGAGGAGCTAGAGCTATCTCACAAGATCTCAGGTAGCTTTTATTACAAGTTTAAATAGTGCAACAAACAGTAAGTAGCTCAAATGTATAAGATGATCTCAGTTATGACAAACTTTAATTCTACAACAAACTTTTTAAAGGAAAATAGTCAAACTGTCTTACGGAATATTAGGAAGACATTTTTGACAACTTTGATAAACTGCTCAAGGGGAGAAGTTCAAACTTTTTTATAGTATCTTAGGAAGCTATCCTTTATGACAAGCTTTATGCTACAACAAACCTGGTGAGGCGGAGCTGTTTTACAGTACTTTCATGTAGCTTTTTAATGACAATGATGAAAACTGCAACGACCTTCTCCAAGGAGGAGGTGACTATTTTATTGTATTTGGTAGTTTCCATTGAGAAATCTATGTCTGTTATAGGGTTTGCATGTTATTTGACATACATGATATTATATATTATACATCATTATAACTTATTTGAGTTTGGTTAGTATTTTAATAGATTTTGCAATATGTTAAAGTTTTAAACATGATATGCTAAGCTTTTTAGTGAAAATCAGTTTGTCCATCTTGCAAGAGCTCTCAAGCCTTCATTTTTTCGTGTATTTTTCCAAAAATGTTATGAAAGGTATCAATATGGACAATACTTAAATTTAATTTCAAAGATTGGACGGTACTCATTACAAATTGTTTTTGAATGTATTGCTCTTTGAAATATAAAGTACATTGGAAATTGTCTGCTGAAATCTTTTTAAGTTCTATAAATCTTCAAAATTAGATCTTTAAAAATGATAATTTCATATGTGGTAGCTGAATTTATTAAATATTGTTCTCATTGTTATATTGACAATTTTTATTCACCTGCCGTTAATATAATTAAAGAAGACATATAATACATTGGTGGTGATTCAAAATTTTTTTAACATTTTATGTACCTTTGAAATATAAATATTGTGAAAAATTGTGTTTGTAAGTGTTGGTATGCCTAAGTTTCTGTCAAAGCAGGTATTGATGAAATTATTATTAACCATTTATACTGGCAATATCTCAGTCAAATTGAAAAAGGTTACTGATGGAAAATATTAAGAGAGCTGTTGCTGTTGAAATATAAATTATATGGCAAATTGTCTTGTCTTTGTTGGTTAAATAATTCAATGTCCTTGGCAACATCCTAAAGATAAAAAGTTAAAAAGTTAGCAGTCTGTTATATGGAAATGTTTATTTTATAACTTAATATCACTTATAATAATTATGTAATATATAATTAAAGAAGAAATATAATATATTTGAATTTTAAGGATGCAGTTAGCTATGAAAGATGCAGAAATCCAGAGTTTACAGGCCAATCTTCAGTCAAAGGAAGCCAGTAGTCAGACTGTTGTCATAGAAAGCCTCAAGTCAGATCTTACATCTCTCATTGATAATAATAAAAAAGGTTGGTATATAAATGTTAAACATTTTGTATCAGAAAGATTTTATTTATCTTTTGATGAGGAGGAAAGCACTAATATCCCCCTATATAAACATGCACTTGCATCATTAACCACTATCAACATTGTTGTTCTGCTGGACTTCAAGGTTCAGTATCCTCAAAAAAAGTTTGAGCACATGATTTGATCCTATAATTTAATTCCATAATAACATCAAGTGACAATGTCTACCTCTCACAACTAATACACATTGTCACTATGCCACTAAGAGGAAAGACTGGTGACAGTAGTGATTAAGGTGTGCCAAAATATCGGATCACATTATGCTGGTGGGAATAATAGAAATATGAATTTATTTTTCAGGACTTAGTAGGGCACAAGAGATGGAATCAGCCATTAGTTGTTTAGAAGCTGACAAATCCAAGTTAGTAAGCCAGTTAGCCGAGGCCAAACGAGATCTGACTGATAGAGAAACCCAGAATACTTCATTAGAAACCAGAATCAATCAGCGTAATACTCAGCTAATAGAACTCCAGGAACAAATTAATCAAAAGTGTATGGAAATAACAACCATTGAACGTGAGGTAAGACTATGGTACTTATGCTAGGTGATAAATTGTAAGATTTACAATGTAATCAAATATTCAGGTAAGCTTTTGTTAGCTATAAAATAGACTAAAGAAATAACAACCATTGAACATGAGGTAAGACTATGGTACCTATGCTAGGTGATAAATTGTAAGATTTACAATGTATTCTAATATGACGTGCTTCTTTCGCTTTGTAAACAACACCGTGATAAAATTCTCGATATATCTATACTTAGCGCAGACTCCGAGATGTACATAATAATGGCTGTTAAAATATACCTCCCACGTAAATCCACATGTATCGTAACCTATGTGCAAACGCTATGTCGATTTCGCTGTGTTAAAAATTACAATTAAAAAAAAACTACAGAACCTTTATTCTTATTCTGAGGCATATCAAAAAGAACTAATGCATTAGAGATCGGAAAAATGTACAAAATCAAAATAAATTAAAATTCCGCGAAATTCCTTGAATGTTTTTGGCGCATTAATGTCATTTCAAAACATGATGTCATACGAATGAAAACGACAAAGCTGAAGTGTTTTCCGCTGCGTTTACCTTCTTAACTCGGATAATATTGCATTAAAATAAAATTTGAGGTAGGTGTTATTTTTTTTCTATTCTATTGCATTATTCGCACATTTACTGATTTCAGCAAGTCAACATGGCGGCTCCTTGCTTACAAAATGTCAACAGTGAATTTGACGGTAGCTTACGAGAAAAAAATGTAAATTAAAAATGGCAAATGTTGGGTTTGAGAATTAAAAGAATCAATCACATTTTTTCTAGCGGTTATTTAAGAAATGATTCATGCAAGCTACAGATTTATTAGATTTTTTTTACATTTATCTAACAGTGGGTAAAAAAGAACAGCCACACACACGGCATACCCACCCTCGCTTCAGTTTTTCAATGACAGTATTTGTCCTATTAGAATCGAAATAATTCATGGAAGCCATAGATTTGTTGTAAATTTACACATGGCCTGGGCCGTGATATTCGTTAATTTTATCCGTCGCTAACGCTCAGGATAAAATTTGAATATCACGGCCCAGGCCATGTGTAAATTTCCAACAAATCTATGGCTTCCATGAATTATTTCTTAAATCAAATATTCTGATTCAGGTAAGCTCTGTTAGCTATATGACAGAAAAAGAAATAACAGTTAATCCTTGTAAGATATATAAGTACAGGGAGATGGTATGTTAGATCAAGTTGTGTCACCTATGAAAAAACAGATTTCATCATCATCTCAATAACCACCTAGTTTGTAAAACTGGAAACCTAGAACATTTACCATTTTAATGTAAATACACCTCTTAGGAAAGACTACATCTAAAACACCAACAATGACCATTAAATTTGTGCAGTAAAAATTTGAAATTTTACTCCTCAAGAATGACCATCAAATAAGTTTGTAGTTTTAATCAAACCATAAGTATAAATTTTGGTCAAGTGATCAAGTGATAACAAAAAAACTGTACTTGAACAGATGTAACATAACATAAAAGATACTGACTAAGTAAATGTATAATTGCCTTTCGTGAACAACTTATGTAAACATGTATGGGAAATAGGTCAGCAACCTGTCAATAGAGGGTCACTGTGTCCTACACTTCAGATTAAGTTTCAGTTCTGAGTTCATGCCTTGGCAGCTATATATGTAACAGGATCATCTTAAATTTTGTTAATATGCATTCATGGGAGTTGGTCAGTATAGCGGAAAAGAAAGGTTACTGTGACTTACATTCAGGCATTTATTGACTTTGTTAAAATTTTAACTTCATACTTTAAATCTCAGAAACTAAGTAATTAGATCATTTTAACTAGTGCATGTGCATATGCATTTTGGGAAAAAGTAAGTTTTTCAGCAAAGTAGGTCACTTAGTTTCATTTCATGCTTCATTGACTTTATCTATTTTGAAGATGGTTTCATATCTTGTTAACTACTAGTTATAGGAATTTGTATAGAGATGTTTGTAAGAGATGAAGTCAGCATTAAATAAAAGTATGTCCTTATTACTTAGATATCACACTTGTTAATTGATATTTGCTAAGTTTTGCTTCCAAGTTCATTTCTTTTTACTTACAAGTAAGAGGATCCTATCAACCTGTGTGGAGATGCATCTGTCACTCTTTTAATTCTATTTTCCATGATTTCTGTCATTAAATTATTTAAGCATATTGCAAAGGTTAAGCAAACTTGTAATCATAGTTAACTTATGTTTTATCATCCTACTGATTATTTGTCACCAATCTTAGTTGAATGGTTGAAGTTGTCTTGGTTTTTATATATATGTGGACCTTTTTATTTCAGTCAAGAAGAAAAACTTCACAGATGGCAAATCTTGAACAACAGCTGGATCAGAAGATGACAGAATTTTCTACAACTGTAGCTCGCATGAAACAGCTTGAGGAAGAAGTGGTTTCTAAAGAGGATGAGGCTAATCGCTATCAGAAAGAGTTACATGAGAAAAATCAAGCTTTACAGAAAGTGAGGACTTCAACTGATCAGAACCAACAACTTCAAAGAGAACAATTTCAGGAATATGAAAAACAAATAGATATTGTAAGTTTAATTTGAATTATTTGTAGTAAAATGGTATTCTTTTATTTTGAGAAGAAAAAAAAAACAGGAATGATTATGTGGAGAAAAAAACACATCATATTTAGGTTACTAATATATTGTGTGTATCATTCATATCATTCATTTCTATTGTTTTATTAAAGTTTTAGAAACAATAGGAACTTTTTCTGTTATGTATTGCTGTAAATTGTAAAGATTTTATTTTGCAGATTCAAAACGAAATGGATAAAGCCAGCAGTGAGCTGAAGAACAAAGAAAGAGAAACAACACATTTAAGGAGAGACCTTGAACATGCTAATTCGCATATAAAAAGCATAGAACAATCATTAAAGACTACTAGAGAGGTGAAGTAACATGCTTTGCTCACATTGATTTATAAAACATAGAATTATACTATATATATTTCAACATCTAAAGCAGTTTTCTAATTTTGGTATGAATAATTATTATAAACCTTAAATTTAATCTTCTTGTAATGAGTTAAGCCTTGCTCAAATTTGAAATGATCATGTTGTTCAGAGAAGAAGATCTTTTACAAATTCCTGTGTAAAATGAAAATGACTTCAAAACACTTCAATTTGTTTAAAGATTTACATTCATCAAGAATGCTCAGAGCCCAGAATCAAAAGAAAAAAACATTTGTATGTCCCCACCGCAACAGAAGGGGTATTAAGTGTTACCCTTGTCCGTCTGTCCGTCCTTGCATCCCAAAATTGATTTCCTTTCTCTATCTTTAGTTAGCCTCAACCAAATGTTATGAAACTTATACACAATGCATATTACCACAAAACACAGATCAAATTCAAATTTGGGTTGCGTTACTTTTGCTGTTCTTGAGTTATCTCCCTTTATAAAGTTATATGCAAGTGGCGGCATCATCTATGGACACATTCTCCATTTATTTTTTAATACATGGGGAGTTGTACAATCTAAAGAGACTAATAAGGAATAGCTACAACTGTCAAAGGACATATTTGTTTGAGGTTGGAACTGTTTTAAAAGTAAACAATTATTTTTAGAATTTATCAACCTTAAAGAGGTAAAACATGGCAATTGTTGAAGCACTGACTACTAGGTTGAATATGTCTCAGAGTTCACCTGAAGTTTTTTTTACCTAGTTGTAATAAAAGGGAAGTATAATATTTCAGATTTGTGGCTGTGTTACAACTTTTTTTCATGATTAAAAACAATCAGTTACAAATACTTTACAAAAGAAAGACACATAAATACAGAAGGAGTTATATATGAAGAAAAAGTGACCCAGAAAAGACTTTGCATGTAGCCAAAGGACCAAATGTGACAATTATGTTCTTCAGGACAGTTATACTAAGTCATGTTGTGGTTCTGATGTTTTCTGAGCATGTCTAGATGAAGGCTTTCATGATTGAACATTTTCAAAAATATTTGTTTGTTTTTTGACAAGTGCCAAAGCATATTATGTATCAACTGAAACCAAATATGACAGTGGTTCCTTCTGTGATGCTGTATTTTATACATATTTATTGTATTTCAGGAGTTAAATGTCAAGTCTAAGCAAAACAGAGAGGCTCTGTCACAACTTGATGTACAACAAACAGAGGCAACATCCCAGATAAAACAGATGGAGACAGCACTGCTGGTCTGCAGAGAAGAAATCAAATCTTATATTGAAGCATTAGAGGATTCTAAGGAAAGATTTGATAGAGAACTCCAATACAAAGAAGATAGGGTTTGTTGATGATATGGCATTTAACAGTTTCTTTAATACTTTACTAGATGGTGACTTTATGGAATCATTAAGGTCATAAAAACAATTTACAAATTACAAATTAGTAGATGTGAATTTTTGTTATTTGATTTCAAGTTTTTTTATATGAAACTAATGAAATTAAATATAGAAAATTAAAATTATGAATTTATTTTATTTAGTCTAATAACCATTTTAGGGGATCTTTCTTAAATATTTAATGACATTCATTAAGTTTTATTCTTTGAACAAGACTAGAACCCATTGTTGTCCCCTTTGCAACACTGTGCAGGGGACACAGAAATCCCGAGCCATCTGTCTGTCTGTCTGTCTGTCCAGTCTTGTATGCCCTCTCATGTGTACAATTCTTGGCATATTTTCATGAAATTTATTTCATCAATGCCTGGGACAAGTTTGCAAATCATTACCCTAAAAACTATTATTAATGGAGTTATGCCCCTTGAAAATATAAATTACATGGAAAATTGCAAGGTAAGTGCTCTCTTGTAGGATTGTTATGAAATTTATATGGAAGGTTTATATCAGCAAAATTTAGGATGAGTTTGAAAATCAATGCTGATCAATTATTTTTACATGAGTTATGTCCCTTAGAAATGTAAATTTTATAGAAAATTGGATTATAATGACTGTCAAGTCTGCAACTCTAGTCAGATATTAATGAAATGTATATCAATGATTTATATCAGCAATGTCTCTGACAAGTTTGAAAATCAGTGCAGAATAACTATTTTTAAAGAGTTATGCCCCTTGGAAATATTAATTATATGAAAATTACATTGTAAATGGTTTTTGTGTTAGAATTTCATCAAGATATAATATGCATTCCAAATTGTTTCCATTTGTCAATTTTGTGGTTTATATTTAGTTTTTGTTTAAAAAAAAAGGTTTTTTTTTTTTTTTTTATAGAACATCTGTTTTTGCTAGGATTTCATTGTATTAATTGCTGGTGTCGAAATTTATGAAAATTAACACCCAATAAACATGAATTGTTTTGAATGCATCAGATTCTGTGCCTCAACCAAAGAATATGCAAGCAGGGCCCTTGCAGACATGTGAGTTTTCTTGTTTACATTTCTTTTTCTTATTTTGTACACCTAACCTTTAAAATATCTTTGTTGTAATTGATTTTAGTTACGGGAATTGGAAAGGCAGTTGAAACATGCTAGAAAACTTCATGATCAAAAACATCAAGAGAACCTAGATTTTGAGAAAACATTATATGAACACCAAACAATGTTACAACATAGCACATGCCGTATTACTGAGTTAGAAGATAGTCAGACTGAGTTACAACAACAGGTATTTTCAATTTTGTTTGCTTTAAATTGGCTTGACAATAAATTAATATATTGATTCATTAAGTGAAAACTGCACATTCTAAAAAAACTTGTATCTATAGCAGCTATTTAGAATTTAACATGATATTTGTGTTTTTATTTGTAAGTTCTATCTCTGCATTTACTGTGATAAAATATTTCTCTACTCAAGACAGTTAAATTTTTAAAATATTTAATATTTAACTGTCAAGAGTGGAGAAATATTGTATTACACTGGATTTAGTGGTGGAATCTGTTTTTCTAATGAATTTTAAACAATATATAGACAAACTTTGTCTTCTTTTTTCAATAATCAACAGAAGATGTGTTCTTTCTATGTGATTTCATTAGGCCTACTTGCCTTTTTTCATGACATCATTATAGAAAATGTGCCATCATAATTGAATAGTGAGCAATGAAGAACTGAAATTAAACGAATCACATGCTGATTATAAATAATAATCAAGCTGTCTGGGGGATCATAAATATATATACACTCTACTCTCGTTATCTCGAATACATTTAAGTCCAAATTCTGGATAACTCAAACAGAGTGTTTGGACCCTCAACAGTAATTAGTATACATATTTATTCCTTATATCTCAAATTTTCACTTGATTCCAATTAATTTCTTTGGTCCCAAGCGATTGGACGTAACGAGAGTCGACTGTATATGATAAAAAGATAACATCTGTATGATATGTACGGTTTATTAATATTGGTGGATTTGCTTGGCTTACTACTAAAGAAGAAAGTTTTTGCTTTTATGGAATTACAAATATATTTTATATATAAATATATATAGGTTATCATTAGTTGATACATATTTCTTAAAAATTTCTTTCCTTGAAGGTTATTTTATGTCTTTCTATCAGGTTTCAACTTATGAACACCTGACATTGACAGAGAAAGCACAGTTCATGACAGAACTACAGTCATTAGAGAGAAAACTTAAACAAGCTTGTATTGACCTGGAGGAAAGGACTAACACGATCACAAAATTAACAGATGCACTTAGGTACAGGATGTTATTGTGAATAGTATAAATCAGTATTATTTATACCACCAGTTTTTGTCGAGCTGCGACTTTTGTCAAAGAAAGCTCGACAAAGGGATAGTGATCCAGCGGCGGCGGCAGCGGTGGCGTTAGCTAACTTCTTAAAAGCTTTATATTTTAGAAGGTGGAAAACCTGGATGCTTCATACTTTGTATATAGATGCCTTATGTTACGAAGTTTCTGTCTGTCACATGTCCATTGTCCTTGACCTCATTTTCATGGTTCAATGACTACTTGAAAAAAAAGTTAAGATTTTTTATAATGTTAATTTCTCTATTATTATGAGTAATAGGATAACTATATTTGGTATGTGCGTACCTATCAAGGTCCTCATGCCCGTCAGACAGTTTTCACTTGACCTCGACCTCATTTCATGGATCAGTGAACAAGGTTAAGTTTTGGTGGTCAAGTCCATATCTCAGATACTATAAGCAATAGGTATAGTATATTTGGTGTATGGAAGGATTGTAAGGTGCACATGTCCAACTGGCAGGTGTCATCTGACCTTGACCTCATTTTCATGGTTCAGTGTTTAAAGTTAAGTTTTTGTGTTTTGGTCCGTTTTTCTTATACTTTATGCAATAGGTCTACTATATTTGGTGTATGGAATGATTGTAAGGTGTACATGTCCAACTGGCAGGTGTCATCTGACCTTGACCTCATTTTCATGGTTCAGTGGTCAAAGTTAAGTTTTTTAGTTTTGGTCCTTTTTTCTTATACTATATGCAATAGGTAAACTATATTTGTTGTATGGAAATATTTTAGGATGTACATGTCTGTCTCGCAGGTTTTATCTGACCTTGACCGGATTTTCATTGCTCAGTGTTAAAATTTGGTGTTTTGGTACATTTTTGTTCAACTATAAGCAATAGGTCACCTATATTTGGTGTATGGAATGTTTATAAGGTGTTTATGTCTGTCCGCCAGGTATCATATGACCTTAACCCCTTTTATATGGCTCATTGGTCAATATTAAGTTTTAATGCTGAACTTTGTTTCTTAGAAAATATAAGCAATAGGTCAACTATATTTGGTGTATGGAATGATTGTAAGGCGTATCTGTCTGCCTGGCAGGGTTCATATGACCTTGACCTTATTTACATGGTTCATAGGTCAATGTTAGTTTTTTTCATTCTTTACTGCCATCTTTAATCACAATAATCAATATCAATGGTATATCACTAAGTTATTTCACTCTTAACCACAGTTATTTCAGCATATCTTCATATAGCGGATAATAACTTATACAATTAGAAGTATGAAGACACTATGATAGTTGTCTTCAGCAGGCCTGGAAGCAGCTTTAGCGTTCATACAGGCATCAGCAGCAGCCACATTATCTCATTATTTACAGCTTAATATTTATAATGTATTTCTGATAGCATTTACTTTCAACATAACTTCAATTAGAAATACACGACAGGCGAGACATTTCTGTGTGTCCACTCTTGTATAAGAGTTAGGGCTATATTGCAATCACCTTGTCCATCTGTTTGTTTGTCTGTTCATCCAAAAATATGTCAATGGATAAAAATAATATTAAAAACTTCTTTATATTTGGCAGCAGTTTGACCGTGATGACTTGTAACGTGAGCACTTTTCAGATCTGTCAAACAACAACTTTTTAAGTGCAATAGTCTACTGGTCTGTGATATTTAATGTTTGGAATGTGGTTTCTTTATTTTTAATGCAATAGTCTACTGGTCTGTGAGATTTAATGTTTGGAATGTGATTTCTTTATTTCTAATGCAATAATCTACTGGTGTGTGAGATTTAATGTTTGGAATGTGATTTCTTTAGTTCTAGTGCAATAGTCTACTGGTCTGTGAGATTTAAAGTTTGGAATGTGATTTCTTTTTTTTAGTGCAATAGTCTACTGGCCTGTGAGATTTAATGTTTGGGATGTGATATCTTTATTTTTAATGCAATAGTCTACTGGTGTGTGAGATTTAATGTTTGGAATGTGATTTCTTTATTTTAAGTGCAATAGTCTACTGGTCTGTGATATTTAATGTTTGGAATGTGGTTTCTTTATTTTTAAATGCAATAGTCTACTGGTCTGTGAGATTTAATGTTTGGAATGTGTTTGGAATGTGATTTCTTTATTTCTAGTGCAATAGTCTACTGGTCTGTGAGATTTACTGTTTGGAATGTGATTTCTTTATTTCTAATGCAATAATCTACTGGTCTGTGAGATTTAATGTTTGGAATGTGTTTGGAATGTGATTTCTTTATTTCTAGCTATAGTCTACTGGTCTGTGAGATTTACTGTTTGGAATGTGATTTCTTTTTTTAGTGCATTAGTCTACTGGCCTGTGAGATTTAATGTTTGGAATGTGATTTCTTTATATTTAATGCAATGTTCTACTGGTGTGTGAGATTTAATGTTTGGAATGTGATTTCTTTATTTTAAGTGCAATAGTCTACTGGTCTGTGAAATTTAATGTTTGGAATGTGGTTTCTTTATTTTTAATGCAATAGTGTACTGGTCTGTGAGATTTAATGTTTGGAGTGTGATTTCTTTATTTCTTATGCAATAGTCTACTGGTCTGTGGGATTTAAAGTTTGGAATGTGATTTCTTTATTTTTAGTGCAATAGTCTACTGGTCTGTGAGATTTAATGTTTGGAATATGATTTCTTTATTTGTAGTGCAAAAGTCTACTGGTCTGTGAGATTTAATGTTTGGAATGTAATTTCTTTATTTCTAATGCAATAGTCGACTGGTCTGTGAGATTTAATATTTGGAATGTGATTTCTTTATATCTTATGCAATAGTCTACTGGTCTGTGAGATTTTTAAAAAATGTTTGGAATGTATTTGGAATGTGATTTCTTTATTTGTAGTGCAAACAGTCTAGTGGTCTGTGAGATTTATTGTTTGGAATGTGATTTCTTTATTTCTAATGCAATAGTCTACTAGTTTGTTGTTATGGACCATTGTTTTAAAATTAAATTTTTAGATAATGTTATGGACCATTGTTTTAAAATTAAATTTTTAGATAATCTCTTTACTTTCTTACTGTAAGTTTCCAATACTTTACTGACTTTTGTTCCAATGTCACAAACAGTTTCCAAGAAATATTGTCCATCAAATACTGAGACGTGGGTATGACAGATTCCATGCTGTTTGAATGGGAACTATCACTTTCAATACAATTCACCTTTAATAGTATTTTTACTGTACAGAAAAAAAGATATTAATCTCCAAAATCTGTTTATTATCCATGTAGTGTTTGAGACAAATTTATTGATGTTAAGGTAGATGGGGTGTCTAAATTATAATCCATAGAATTTTTTAATAATTTGCCAAAATGTAGTTTATATCAAGCTTTTTAAAAAAAAATGATAAAAAGAATGGGTCACGGGGCTTATTTTCACGCTACAGGTTGTTCAAAATTAACAGATTTTGTATAGATTATGCATGGAAAACCCAATTTTCTGCCATAAAACGAAAACTACACCATAGAATTTTGAGATAAAATATGAGAAGATAGCTTTAATAGTATACTTTCAGATAAGAAAAAGAAAAAATGGGGTCACCGGACCCGTTTTCTTGCTACATGATAAAATAGATAAATTCCTAACACATTCTATTGTAAAAGTACCTTCATCTGAATTATCTGCCCTTACATTTGAGTTGCCTCCCCTTATGTGGCAAAGTTGGAAAAAATTGAATCAAACAAAAGTTTTCTGTTTTTTGTAAAATACAACCATAAATATGATAAAACATGTCATTTTCTATATTGAAATGAAAATTCTTACACATGAATTACCTACTACTCTCAAAATTTGCACATTCTATTAAAGATCTAGACCGATTGTTTTCAGGTATTTAAAATCCAAGATGGAGGAAGACACCCTATCTACCTTAACATAAAATTTTAAACTACTATATTTGATTGATTCAGAGAGTAAGGTTGGAGAACTGGTGGGTTCAAAAAGTCATAAAATTGGCTGATTCATTGAATTATGGTTGAGTCAAGTGAAGAATATTTCATGCATATTCAGAACAAAATTCTTCAATGAAAATGTTTCCTTATATATTTAGATCATATATGAATATATCACCAAAAGGAGCAGTATGCTTTATACATGTACTGCAAATAGGGAATTGTACATGTATTCATGAATATCAAATATACACATTTGACAACATTAATTTATCCATACTTCCTGTGAATTGTTATTTTTTAATTGTTTCAGTAATGAAAAAAAATGTGTTATATGTTTAATACAGAAATTTAGAGGAAGAGAAAGGTCATATGAATTCTGAAATCAACATGTTAGAGCAACAGCTACAAGATGAACAGGAAAACAGTGATAAGAAGTCCTCTAGGATGAATAAACTAGAGAAGGATACAAGAGATCTAAGGGTACAGCTGGAACAAAAACTGGAGATGAGTAAGTTATAAGGCTGTTGTGACAGGAGGAAGTGGAAAAACTAATATATACATTTTATACTTTATAGGTACCTTGAAGGTCTGCAGTCCATGTCACAATAAATCTTAATCAATGACAATTCAGGATACTTTTGATCTAATTTAAATTGATATATGTTTTGGCAATCTTCAGAAATATTGTCCTAAAGAGTAAGAAGTTAAAACTTTTTCTGAAAGTTGCAAAGTAAAAGACATATATTTTGTTCATTGTTGGAAGACTTAAAAAAATATATTTAATTGATAAAAGATATTCTTCAGTCTATTTTTTTTAATTTGAATATGGTATTGCCAGTTTCAGCTGTTTCAAGGGATTTATATTTGTAAAATTTTCGGAATATGTAAAATTTGGATTATTTGGGTAACTATGATTATTTTTCAGTAAGTGATTATGAAGATCAGATTCAGCAGAGAGAACAAGATATGGACCAACAAACTCAACTTGTTGCTGAACTTGACAGTGAAGTCAAAAGACTACAGGTTAGATTACAATTTAAAACACCAGATTGTTGTTTCTTGGCTACATTTCAATAACTTAAAGGTTAAGATCACATTTGATTTATAATGTAGATTTATTGTTTTGAGTTTTAAAACCATTTACAAAAAGGCAATTGCTACACATAAAAAAAATTCTAGGGGAGACTCCCCAGAAAGTCATTCACTAATGGCTGTTGTCAGTGCATTGTCATTAGATATGAGTACAGGGGGACACTTATTTTTACATTACGTACGCAGCTGTATTTCATTGGTGAAGTGACATAGGGCTATGATGCAGTACATTAACAATATATTTACGATTTGATTGATACAGTACTGAAACATGATAAGATATCTCTTTCTCTTTACAAAATAATATGATACAATATAACAGAAAATCTTTGTAAAGGAATAATTCATAGAAATATGTTGAAATATTTTCTAACAATGCAAGTCATAATATTAATGGTATAGGTTTTGAACCCTATGTGTTAATGTATTGAATCTTTCATGTGTAAATACGTTTTTTACATATATTAAGTTGTATTAAAATTAATGATTCAATTGTTTATATCTATTATCATATACTGTTAGATAACACAAAGCCAGGCCCAGTGTGAATCTGATGATACCAGTAAACATTTACAAAAAGTGTTATATGAAAGTAAAGCCAAGGAAGAAATGATTGAAGATCTCAAAGATTCACTCAGGTATTAACTTTAATACAAGTTAAGGTAGATAGGGTGTCTTCCTCCATCTTGGATTTGGAAATACCAGAAAACAAGGTCTAGATCTTTAATAGAATGTGCAAATTTTGAGAGTAGTAGGAAATTCATGTGTAAGAACTTTCACTTCAATATAGAAAATGACATGTTTTATCATATTTATGGTTGTATTTTACAAAAAACAGAAAACTTTTGTTTGATTAAATTTTTTTCAACTTTGCCACATAAGGGGAGGCAACTCAAATGCAAGGGCAGATAATTCAGATGAGGGTACTTTTACAATAGAATGTGTTAGGAATTTACCTATTTTACTATGTAGCAAGAAATCGGGTCCGGTGATCCCATTTTTTCTTTTTCTTAACTGAAAGCATACTATTAAAGTTATCTTCTCATATGTTATCTCAAAATTCTATGGTGTAGTTTTCGCTTTATTGCAGAAAATTGGGTTTTCCATGCATAATCTATACAAAATCTGTCAATTTTGAACACCGTGTAGCGTGAAAATAAGCCCCGTGACCCATTCTTTTTATTATTTTTTTTTAAAAAGCATGATATAAACTACATTTTGGCAAACTATTAAAAAAATCTATGGATTATAATTTAGACACCCCATCTACCTTAAGGTTCTAATCATGGGAAAAGACGGGGTTAAAAAATGTCAATAGATAAACAATCTAGAACTTATTGATAACAATTTTAGGACAAGGTTTTAGTTGGTCACATTATATTGCTATATGAAAAGGTCAATTCGGAAGCTATGCAAGATAGGTAACTTTTTAATCACTCACAGTTGTTTATTTATGTATAAGAAGGAAAATTCCTGTGTAAATTTTATTTGTTCCACATTATATTTGTTACTGGTGTTATTTGGCTGTTTTGATTCATTTAATTTCTTATCAGAAAAACTCAGGAAGAGTTGAACGAAAAGAGACATGCTGTCCAAGAATTAACAGAAACATTAGATGAGAGACAGCTAGAATTACAACAGAGAGTAGCTCAGGTATTTTATTAATACTTTAATGGGTCTTTCACTTGTTGTACACAGTAACACAGTGACTAATGCCTTTAGATAAAAAGTTATCTGTTAGACTAAACTGTAGGATTACAAAGTTGACCTGCTTAAAACAGATAAGCTCTTCCATATATAGGTTGCATTTCTGTAAATATAGACAATGCAATTTCCCATAGGAACTCCCTTTGCAGCTAAACTTATGTAGCAATACACAGTTTGGTTTCACATTTTGGCCCCTGTGGATTTTTTCAAATATGAAAGTTATTGTGCAATAAAATTCATTTTTAGACAGCTGAGTACTAATTTAGCCTTCAAAGGTGGTTTATAAGAACATCAAGAATATTTTTTTCATGTTTTATTGGCTATTTTCTGTTTGACTGTCCATATTTTCATAGCTAGACCGGCCGTAGGTCCAGAAATTAATGTAATGTTTACAAACACTTTTTTTCTACACGAAGTTTTTGACACAATTTTACAAAAAAAAATGAGATGAAAGACATATGATTTTTATTTGATTTCCTGATAGATATATGTAAACAGTTTCAGAAAAGGTATCACTCAAAGGGATTGAAGTTCTACTTCTGGCCCAATTTTTGGGAGATATGAGACATTTTTCCCCCCTTTTTGCAATATTTTATAGCAAATAAATGCAGATAGTTGCCATGGATACACCAAAAAGAAACTATATTTTACCATTTTAACTACTAGATATCAAATCTATGGAAGATACTGATTACATACATATGCACATATATGACTGAAACAGTAAGCTTAATTTGCAAGAAAGCAAGGGAAAGGGGATGGTAAAATTTATGAGAGTAAATTTTAATATTTTTTCCTAACTGTTTATTGCTACCTTATACTAAAATTCTGTACTATCCCTACCTTCACTTTGGGCCTACTTCAGAATTCAATTTTCACCGCAACCATGTGTTTTTATAAAATACATGGTTAGATTCAGCATATCAAAGAACATATACTCTACAGAAACATATCAGCATAACTGCAACAAAGTTATATACAACCAAAACAAATGGGAAAATATACTCTACAGAAACATATCAGCATAACTGTAACAAAGGTTTATACAACCAAAACAAATGGGAAAATATACTCTACAGAAACATATCAGCATAACTGCAACAAAGGTATATACAACAAAAACAAATGGGAAAATATACTCTACACACACATATCAGCATAACTGCAACAAAGGTATATATAACAAAAACAAATGGGAAATATACTCTACAGAAACATATCAGCATAACTGCAACAAAGGTATATATGACAAAAACAAATGGGAAAATATACTCTACAGAAACATATCAGCATAACTGCAACAAAGGTTTATACAACAAAAACAAATGGAAAAAATATACTCTACAGAAACATATCAGCATAACTGCAACAAAGGTATATACAACAAAAACAAATGGGAAAATATACTCTACACACACATATCAGCATAACTGCAACAAAGGTATATATAACAAAAACAAATGGGAAATATACTCTACAGAAACATATCAGCATAACTGCAACAAAGGTATATATGACAAAAACAAATGGGAAAATATACTCTACAGAAACATATCAGCATAACTGCAACAAAGGTTTATACAACAAAAACAAATGGAAAAAATATACTCTACAGAAACATATCAGCATAACTGCAACAAAGATTTATACAACAAAAACAAATGGAAAAAATATACTCTACAGAAACATATCAGCATAACTGCAACAAAGGTTTATACAACCAAAACAAATGGAAAAAATATACTCTACAGAAACATATCAGCATAACTGCAACAAAGGTTTATACAACAAAAACAAATGGAAAAAATATACTCTACAGAAACATATCAGCATAACTGCAACAAAGGTTTATACAACCAAAACAAATGGAAAAAATATACTCTACAAACACATATCAGCATAACTGCAACAAAGGTATATACAACAAAAACAAATGGGAAAATATACTCTACAAACACATATCAGCATAACTGTAACAAAGGTATATACAACCAAAACAAATGGGAAAATATACTCTACAGAAACATATCAGCATAACTGCAACAAAGGTATATATAACAAAAACAAATGGGAAAATATACTCTACAGAAACATATCAGCATAACTGCAACAAAGGTATATACAACAAAAACAAATGGGAAAATATACTCTACAAACACATATCAGCATAACTGCAACAAAGGTATATACAACAAAAACAAATGGGAAAATATACTCTACAGAAACATATCAGCATAACTGCAACAAAGGTTTATACAACAAAAACAAATGGGAAAATATACTCTACAGAAACATATCAGCATAACTGCAACAAAGGTATATACAACCAAAACAAATGGGAAAATATACTCTACAGAAACATATCAGCATAACTGCAACAAAGTTATATACAACCAAAACAAATGGGAAAATATACTCTACAGAAACATATCAGCATAACTGCAACAAAGTTATATACAACCAAAACAAATGGGAAAATATACTCTACAGAAACATATCAGCATAACTGTAACAAAGGTTTATACAACCAAAACAAATGGGAAAATATACTCTACAGAAACATATCAGCATAACTGCAACAAAGGTTTATACAACAAAAACAAATGGGAAAATATACTCTACAAACACATATCAGCATAACTGCAACAAAGGTATATACAACAAAAACAAATGGGAAAATATACTCTACACACACATATCAGCATAACTGCAACAAAGGTATATACAACAAAAACAAATGGGAAAATATACTCTACACACACATATCAGCATAACTGCAACAAAGGTATATATAACAAAAACAAATGGGAAATATACTCTACAGAAACATATCAGCATAACTGCAACAAAGGTATATATGACAAAAACAAATGGGAAAATATACTCTACAGAAACATATCAGCATAACTGCAACAAAGGTTTATACAACCAAAACAAATGGGAAAATATACTCTACAGAAACATATCAGCATAACTGCAACAAAGGTTTATACAACAAAAACAAATGGGAAAATATACTCTACAGAAACATATCAGCATAACTGCAACAAAGGTTTATACAACCAAAACAAATGGAAAAAATATACTCTACAGAAACATATCAGCATAACTGCAACAAAGGTTTATACAACCAAAACAAATGGAAAAAATATACTCTACAGAAACATATCAGCATAACTGCAACAAAGGTATATACAACAAAAACAAATGGGAAAATATACTCTACAAACACATATCAGCATAACTGCAACAAAGGTATATATGACAAAAACAAATTGGAAAATATACTCTACACACACATATCAGCTTTAATATCATAATTGAAACTTGTACTTAGTTTTGAATGAAATTTAGAAAGGTTTGAAATTTTGCATGCTAACAGGAACTTGAGGAGTTATAAGATACATTAAAAGCTATCATAATGTAATTAAATTTCATGAAGGAACTCACACATTTAATGTAGTTTTATGATTTTTTTGTTATTCCTTGTTGCCTGTAACCTGTTTTGTAACTTACAGTATGATGAAACGGTAATGTTGTATATTGTTGTGTAACTAGTTGCTAGTACCTGTGTTTTTTCAGTGATTGGGAATCCTTATTATTAGTTGTAGTGTTGAGCATTGTCATTTTCACCCTGTAAATAAATTGTTCACTGATATATGACATAAAAAGGTCTTTTATGATACTGCTAAAGTTTAAAATATTCAACAACAAAAAATCATGTTATTGCAATATTAACTAATATTTCAATTTTTATTCCCTGTCTGGTCTATGTGTCCGTCTATATATTAGTCCCATATCAGATTAAAGTTTTGGTCACCCCAACTTGAAACTAGGTACATATGTTCATTTTGATGTGAACTTTTAAGAATTTATGCCACGTAATGATTTTTGTTCATATTTTCTAGGTCTTTGAACATGGAAATGTAATAGTGCAAGTGGGGATGGTTTTCCCATAGAAACATATTCTTGTTTTTTATACAATAATTTGTCAGTATAAGCAATATCCAGTATGTAAATAGTTGATGTCAACAATTGTATCGATCAGTTGCATAATTGTAGGAAGAGACATAACTGATTTGTAGAAAAAGTAGTCCATGCGTGATTTTGTTTAGTGCCAGAAATCATTATACACCTTTCCAAGGTCTTGATATAGAGCCAGCTGCTGTGATTTATAATAAGGGGGTTTATATCACATTAAAATTTCTAATAATTTTTAAAAGTTCTGAATTATTAAGAATTGAATTTTCAAAAATAATTTGGAAAAAGTAATTTTTCCCTTATATATGCATCATCATTAATGTGATGTGAACATGTGAATTTACCTTTGTTTGTCTCTAAATAGGTACCTAGCTGCATATTATGAAAATTAAAATTTTTAGTCCACTTTTCAAAATTTTATAATCTTATACTTTCATTACGTTTTACTGTGGTATTCTAGCCTCATATAAATATTTTTGGATTGGTTGGAAGGATTTCATGTCTGGCTGACATATATCTTAAGGCCTAAACTTCATATCCATGCACCATTTTGCAGGTCATTAACTGGTCATGACTGGTCAGGTCTACATTATTCATATATGGATTGTTAGCATCGAGTATATGTCTATCTGACATATATCATATGACCGTGACCTCATGTCTATGCTGATTTAAGGATAATGTCTGATCCCTAGAAACTATTCATGATTAGGTAAACAAAAATTTTGGTATGTGGATTGGATGACAGGACTATATGTCTGGCTGACCTATATCATAGGTTAAAATTTAAGGATGAGGTGAGTTCCTCAAAGACTATATATACATAACTTTTTCACAATATTTAGATTGTTGTTTTGTTTTGAAGGGATATTCATCTGTTTGACCCATGATGCATGACCTTAACTTCATTTAATGCTCCAGTGGTCAAGTATTAAATTTTTGTTTAGGTCTGTTTCTCAGAAAACATACATAATATATTGATTGAAATATTTTGTATGAAGTACCTTGTATGTGAATGAAGTTGCAATGAACTGGTGTATTTGACAAGCTTCATTTGATATGGCAGTAAGTTTCTGAGTTCATTTCTCTTTATAATAATTCACATAGTGCAGGAGGCAAGAGAACACTTAATGACAGATAAATGACAATTGGGTCACCTTGACCTACATCTTCAATAATATTTCATGATTTGCTTCATGTTTCAGGAAAAATGATGGTAAACTAAAGATATTTCAATATTATCTTTTTTTGTATTTTTCATATAATAAAGAATAAGCCATATTTTTATTGCTTACAGGTGGCGAGACTTGATCAAACAATCAAAGAACACCATAATGAAATGGAACAAAGGATTCAAAAATTAGATTCTACTTTACGCAAGTATGAAGCTGAAATTCAAGAAAGAACTGTACAGGTTGGTAACCAATGCAAGGAACACAATAATGAATTAGTTTGAATTAGAATCAAATAAAATTGAGAATGGAAATTGGGAATGTGTCAAAGAGACAACAACCCGACCAAAGAGCAGAAAACAGCCGAAGGCAACCAATGGGTCTTCAATACAGTGAGAAAATCCCACACCCCAAGGCAGGTTTCAGCGGGCCCCTAAACAAAAATGTGTACTAGTTCAATAAAAATGGACGTCACACTAAACTCCAAAATATATAAATAAACTAAAATTAAAAAACATACAAGACTAACAAAGGCCAGAGGCTCCTGACTTGGGACAGGCACAAAAATGTGGCAAGGTTAAACATGTTTTGTGAGATCTCAACCCTCCCCCTATACCTCTAGCCAATGTAGAATAAAAAAAGTCTCCTGTATGATTGTGTTATTAACTGGTTGCTTCTGTATTGCCCATGGTATATATTTGATGTTAGTGTGCTGTAGTATCCCCTGTGAGTCATGGGTCAATATAGCTGATTGAGAATCTATACCAGGGCCATCATGAAACAACATGCAAATAATAAGTATGTAACGTTGCTCTGAACTTTCAACTCCAATGTCATTTACAACATTTCTTCATGCCATCTGGATTTAGATTTCAGACCTGGATGACAGATTACAAGAAACACAGTTACAACTGAAAGAAACCAAGATGTTATATCATCAGACTGACACATTGGCTCAGAAACAGCAGATAGAGTTACAGTCTAAAACTGCAAAGCTAGATGAACTTGAGAAGGTCAGTATAAAAACTAAATGATTGTCCAATATCAAGTAAAACTGGGTACAGTGTCAAATTTAGTGTAGAACATCAAGCTCTACCAACAGCTGATATTCATCAAAAATGTCAGACAATTCCTTATTGGATTTGTTGCCTGTTGATGGTTTTGATGATCTTTTGATAATTTGGGATATTATTTTGAAAAATATAGAGATAGAGAGAAACTTTAAACAGGAAAATTGAATATAATGTCTCCAAAGTCATTTCAGAGGTCATTAATATTGTTATGACTGCTTAGGGTAAGGGATTTTATATGGGATTTGTTGGGGAAGTTGGAAGTAAGGTTTCTAAATGAAAATTTTTGTATCCCTTTTTACTTAAATAAATAAGTGAACATGGCATTGATGAAACAAAAGGATTTATTGCCCTTGGTTTCACTTGAACACACTCAAAAAACTGTATATTTTCTTTCTATTTATTGACGTACTTACATTCAGAAGGTGATTTACAATTATTTACTCCCCAGCTGACAGATAGACAAAGATTACAGATTGATGAATTGAAAGATGAAAATGTAGAAATTACACAGGAGTTGAGATTAACAAGGTAGCATTATTATTTGGATGATAAGGTAGAAAGGGTATTTATCTGTACATTAATGGAAAAATTATGTCATCTTCCTAAAAATTAATAATAATAGCATCAGAAGGAATAGACAACTTGTTTAGCATTAGGAATATTTGTTATTGGTTTTAGCAAAGAATATGTCAATATTAAGAAAACAACATTCCTACTATGTTGGTTTTGAGGATATGAAGTTTTTTCTTGATCATAGCAGACTGAGACTCAGAGTCAGAAATAATCCTGTCCTTGGTTTTATACAGATCCACCTGTTTTTATAAAATGCAAAAAATAAAAAATAAGAGAATAACTAGTAAAGTGCAATATAAAACAAATTGTTGTGATCCTGGTAGTTACGGTGGATCATCAGTATATTTTTCATCAGATAGAATTTTCTTATTTTTTGCCAAAATGTAGATTTTATCATGCTTTTTTAGCTCACCGTTCCGAAGGAACTGTGAGCTTTAGCCATCACTTGGCGTCCGTCGTCGTCCGTCTGGTGTTAACTATTTCAAACATCTTCTTCTCAGAAACTACTGAAACAATTCCAACCAAACTTAAGCTGAATGATCCTTAGGGTATCCAGCAAGGCTTCCAAAACGGTCATATATTCCGGACATTTGTATAATGTCCGGTAAAAGTCCGGCTGGGCAAAGCATGAAACGGTCATCTACTTTTTAGTTTTCAAGGCTTTCTTAAGAGACAACCTTTTTTAACATAATTCGCGATCTTTTTGACCCAACCTTTTGCCTTTAACAGCCACACATTTCCGGTCATAAAAGTGACATGATGATTAATTACTATCAAAACAACCCCTACTTCAATACTTTCTGATTTTAATCAAGGCTAATTAGTTGTTGGACAGCTGAAATCTACTTGTTCAGGTGACAGGTAAACTATTTCCAGTACTGGACATCGTATAAATTGATCGGTCTATTCCAAGTTAATTTCTAACATTTCAGCGGTTTCTATCTAATTGATTTAGTCCAAAAGGATGAAATTATAAGAAATACGTTTATAAACATGATTTGATGAAAAATTTAAAAAGGTTTTAAATGAAAAATCGTAAGAACTACGTTGTATGAACTAGAACATGTGTGCGCATGTGCGCAGTAGGGAAATTTAATTATGCATCCTACATTTCATAAAAAATGATAAAAATTATCGTTGATACCTGTATCTAACGTTCATTTCAAGTATTTTGTTGAAGAAATAAAGTGGAAAGAGCTTCTTCACTCAGTCGTGCTTTGTAAACGTACACGGATTTTACGTATCCGTTTCTGGTCCATGTTTTACCATTGTCAGGTCAACATCCGGTATCAGGAAAATGTGATTTTAAAAACGAAAGTAAAGTTTTTGACAACGTAATTTTGCACAAATAAAGAGTCTATGGCAGTTATGAGCACGCTGATGTGCACACTTCGAATTATGCACTGCCAATTTAACAGTTTACGCCCGAACATCAAATTCACATCAAAGTAAAGTTTAATATCGTTTTTTTTTTAATCTAATGCCAATCATTGGGATGGCTATCTGATTACCCTAATTGCCTTTTGTGACTTAGTCTTAAGGGATTAAAATCGGGATGAGATATAAAATGTCCGGCTGGCTCAAATATTTTTTGGAAGCCCTGGTATCCAGAATAAAGTTTGTGTTTTATTTTCTGTTTCGTCAAAAAACATGGCCGCTATGGCTAAAACTAGAACATAGGGGTAAAATGCAGTTTTTGGCTTATAACTTAAAAAACCAAAGCAGTTAGAGCAAATCTGACATTTGGTAAAAGTGTTCATTAGGTAAAGTTCTCTCAGCCCTGAAATTTTCAGATGAATCTAATAACCTATTGTTGGGTTGCTGCCACTAAATATTGGTAATTTTAAGGACATTTTGCAGTTTTTATATGACCGCAAAAAAATTTTGTGGTCGTATATTGGTATGACGTTGGCGTCGTCGTCGTCGTCCGGCATCGTCGTCCGAATACATATTGGTTTTCGCACTCTAACTTTAGTTTAAGTGAATGGATCTTTTTGAAATTTGACCATAAGGTTAAATACCACAAAAGGAAGTTTGGGATTGATTTTGGGGGTTATGGTACCAACAGTTAAGGAATTAGGGGCCAAAAAGGGGCCAAAAATGAGCATTTTCTAGTTTCCAGACAATAACTGTGGAACGGTGTATGGATCTCTCTGAAATTATACTACAAGTTTCCATACCACAAAGGGATGGTTAGGATTTGCTTTGGGGGGTTATGGCTCAAACCGTTTAGGAATTAGGGGCAAAAAAGGGGGAAAAACAAGGTTGTCCTGGTTAATGGACAAATACTTTAGTACAAAACATAATTTAAAGCAGTGTAAGGGAGATAAATCAAATACATCATTGAAATTATCTCCCTTACACTGCTTTTAAATTATGTATAAAGTAATGGTTAATGAACAATAAAGATAATCTAAAACAGTGTAAGGGAGGTAATCCAAATACGTTTTGGTTACTTCCCTTACACTGCTTTTAAATTATGTTTAAAGAAATGCATATTTATAAAGGAAGACCAGTAAAAATATCTGCAAATGTTTTCATCTTTTTTTTTTACAAAAAAATCCATATGAAAGATTTGACACTATATTTTTATTAATTCTATTATAAAATAGATTAAGTTAGCACTATGGTAAATTTAAATGGGTAATTATGGTTGCCAACTCCATTGGAAATTTGAATTGAGATTATGACCATATCTTGAGGGAAAGAATTTTTTGGGGGGAAAAAGGGGGGGGGGATAAAAAGAAATTGTGGGGGGCCAATTTTTTCTCATTTCAGATTTCAGAAATTAAAAAGAATTATTCTTCAAATATTATTTTTTTTTCAAATTTCAAATATTGAAAAATTTCAAGAAGTAATCTTTAATTGCACAGTATGGCGCATTAGATTTGTAAAATCTTTGATCACATTTATTTATTTGTTATGCCGAATCTAACAGTGTATTTAGATTTTTAATTTTGGGTCCAGTTTTCAAATTGGTCTACATTAATGTCCAAAGGTCCAAAATTAAACTTTGTTTGATTTTAGCAAAAATTGAATATATGAGGTTCTTTGATATGCTGAATCTAAACATGTATTTAGATTTTTGATTTTTGGCCCAGTTTTCAAGTTGGTCCAAATTGGGGTCCAAAATTAAACTTTGTTTGATTTCAACAAAAATTGAATATATGGGGTTCTTTGATATGCTGAATCTAACCATGTATTTAGATTTTTTATTTGTGGACCCCGTTATCTAATTGGTTCATATTGAGGTCAAAAGGGTCCAAAATTAAACTTTGTTTGATTTCATCTAAAATTGAATTATTGGGGTTCTTTGATATTCCAAATCTAACCGTGTATTTAGGTTTTTAATTTTGGGTCCTGTTTTTTAGATTGGTCTACATTGAGGTCCAAAGGGTCCAAATTAAACTTAGTTTGATTTTAACAAAAATTGAATTCTTGGGGTTCTTTGATTTGCTGAATCTAAACATGTGTTTAGATTTTTGATTATGGGCCCAGTTTTCAAGTTGGTCCAAGATAGGGTCCAGTATTTAAACTTTGTTTGATTTCAACAAAAATTGAATATATAGGGTTCTTTGATATGCTGAATCTAAACATGTATTTAGATTTTTGATTATGGGCTCAGTTTTCAAGTTGGTCCAAATTGGGGTCCAAAATTAAACTTTGTTTGATTTCAACAAAAATTGAATATATGAGGTTCTTTGATATGCTGAATCTAACCATGTATTTAGATTTTTTTATTTGTAGGCCCCGCTATCAAATTGGTTCATATTGAGGTCAAAAGGGTCCAAAATTAAACTTTGTTTGATTTCATCGAAAATTGAATTATTGGGGTTCTTTGATATGCCAAATCTAACCGTGTTTTTAGATTTTTAATTTGGGTCCCGTTTTTTAAATTGGTCTTCATTGAGGTCCAAAGGGTCCAAAATTAAACTTAGTTTGATTTTAACAAAAATTGAATTCTTGGGGTTCTTTGATATGCTGAATCTAAACATGTGTTTAGATTTTTGATTATGGGCCCAGTTTTCAAGTTGGTCCAAGTTGGGGTCCAAAATTATACTTTTTTTGATTTCAACAAAAATTGAATATATGGGGTTCTTTGTTATGCTGAATCTAACCATGAATTTAGATTTTTTATTTGTGGGCCCCGCTATCAAATTGGTTCATATTGAGGTCAAAAGGGTCCAAAATTAAACTTTGTTTGATTTCATCAAAAATTGAATTATTGGGGTTCTTTGATATTCCAAATCTAACCGTATATTTAGATTTTTAATTTTAAGTCCCGTTTTTTAAATTGGTCTACATTAAGGTCCAAAGGGTCCAAAATTAAACTTAGTTTGATTTTAGCAAAAATTGAATTATTGGGGTTCTTTGATATGCTGAATCTAAACATGTGTTTAGATTTTTGATTATGGGCCCAGTTTTCAAGTTTGTCCAAGTTGGGGTCCAAAATTAAACTTTGTTTGATTTCAACAAAAATTGAATATATGGGGTTCTTTGATATGCTGAATCTAACCATGTATTTTGATTTTGGACATTGGACCATAATAGGTAAATTAAAAAAATTCAAGTTCTTAGACCACATTCTTTCTGTGTCAGAAACCTATGCTGTGTCAAATATTTAATAACAATCCAAATTCTGAGCTGTATCAAGCTTGAATGTTGTGTCCATACTTGCCCCAACTGTTCAGGGTTCGACCTCTGCGGTCGTATCAAGCTGCGCCCCAGCGAAGCATTTTATTGGTTATTATCTTGAATAGTATTAATGATAAAGATAAACTGTAAACAGCAAATATGTTCAGCAAAGTAAGATCTACAAATAAGTTTTATATGACCAAAGTTGTCAATTGACCCCTTTAAGAGTTATTGCCCTTTAAGGACAATTTTACACAATTTGTTTATCATGTTTTCTAACTTTAAAAAATCTTTTCCTCTGAAACCACTGAACCAATTCCAACCAAACTTAAGCTGAATGATCCTTAGGGTATCTAGAATAAAGTTTTTGTTTTATTTTCTGTTTAGTCAAAAAACATGGCCACCATGGCTAAAAATAGAATATAGGGGTAAAATGCAGTTTTTGGCTTATATCTAAAAAAACCAAAGGAGTTAGAACAAATCTGACAGGGGTAAAAGTGCTCATTATTGTCGAGCCTGCGACTTTTGTCGCAGAAAGCTCGACATAGGGATAGTGATCCAGCGGCGGCGGCATAAGCTAACTTCTTAAAAGCTTTATATTTTAGAAGGTGGCAGACCTGGATGCTTCATACTTTGTATATAGATGCCTCATGTTACGAAGTTTCCGTCAGTCACATGTCCAATGTCCTTGACCTCATTTTAATGGTTCAGTGACAACTTGAAAAAAAAGTTCAGATTTTTTGGAATGTTAAATTCTCTCTTATTATAAGTAATAGGATAACTATATTTGGTATGTGCGTACCTTGCAAGGTCCTCATGCCTGTCAGACAGTTTTCACTTGACCTCGACCTCATTTCATGGATCAGTGAACAAGGTTAAGTTTTCGTGGTCAAGTCCATATCTGAGATACTATAAGCAATAGGTCTACTATATTTGGTGTATGTAATGATAGTAAGGTGTACATGTCCAACTGGCAGGTGTCATCTGACCTTGACCTCATTTTCATGGTTCAGTGGTCATAGTTTAGTTTTTGTGTTTTGGTCTGTTTTTCTTATACTGTATGCAATAGGTCAACTGTATTTGGTGTATGGAAATATTTTACAATGTTCATGTCAGTCTGGCAAGTTTTATTTGACCTTGACCTCATTTTCACGGTTCATTGCTCAATGTTAAGTTTTTGTGTTTTGGTCTGTTTTTCTAATACTGTATGCAGTAGGTCAACTATATTTGGTGTATGGAAATATTTTACGATGGACATGTCAGTCTGGCATGTTTTATTTGACCTTGACCTCATTTTCAAGGTTCATTGCTAAATGTTAAGCTTTTGTATTTTGGTCTGTTTTCCTAATACTGTATGCAGTAGGGCAACTATATTTGGTGTATGGAAATATTTAATGATATACATGTCAGTCTGGCAGGTTTTATTTGACCTTGACCTCATTTTCATGGTTCATTGCTTATGTTAAGTTTTTGTGTTTTGGTCTGTTTTTATTACACTTTAAGCAATAGGTCAACTATATTTGGTGTATGGAATGATTGTAAGGTGGAGATGTCTGTCTGGCAGGTATCATCTGACCTTCACCTCATTTTCATGGTTCAATGGTCAATGTTCAGTTTTCCTGGTTAACTTTTTTTCTTAGATACCTTAAGCAATAGGTCAACTATATTTGGAATGATTTTAATGTGTACATGTCTGTCTGGCAGGGTTCAAATGACCTTGACTTCATTTTCATGGTTTATTGGTCAATATAGAATTTCCATGGTTAAGTCTGTTTCTTTTATACTATAAGCAATAGGTCATCTATATTCTGTGTATGGAGGGATTGTATTAAAGGTGTACATGTATTTCCGGCTTGGTTTATCTGACCTTGACCTCATTTTCTTGGATCATAAATGTTAATGTGATACTTGTAGTAAAACTTTATATGTAGGACTATCAACATTAAATCAATGGTCAGTATAGTAGGCGAGACATTTCAGCGTGTGCACTCTTGTTATCTTTATACGGAGACAAACCATACTGATTATATCATCTATGTATACATCATTTATCTACCCTGTTTCTAGGTGTCTGTTATCAATATTATCTTTATACAGAGAGCAGTTACAGCAACAACATGGAGAGTTTATGGCTACTAGACGTATGCTATCACAGACAAACAGAGAGAATGAGAAAATTACAAGAGAGTATGAGGAACTAGTAAACAAGCAACAGGTAATGTAACTGTCAACTATATTTAGTTGTTTGATTTATTTCAAGGTGCACATATCTGTTTTACAAGTTTCATGTGACTTCTACATGTTACTGGTCAACATTTATTTATTGTAATGAGGTAAGCTTTAGGTATTATTAGTATATGTTTCAGGTTATATTATATGCATATATGCCTGTCTGACTCACTGAAGCTAGACCTCATTTTCAAGGTTACTTGAACCATGTTAAGTTTTCATAATTATAGGTCTGTTTCTCAGTACCTATTAGTAGTATGTTAGCTATTGGTTGTCTGAACTCACTAGGAGGTATAAATGTCCTCATTTCATGGTTCATTGAACAGCATTAAAATTATTAAGTAGGTCAGTTTTTCAGTTTCTATAAGTAATAGATCAACTATATTTGATCCATATAATCTTAGTAATATGTGTATGCTTGACAGTGGGATAACAGTAGCTTGACGTCATTTCCTTGTTTAGGGAACCTATTAACATTATTATAGTCATATATGTGTGCAATGCCTCCTTATACAACTTGACCTTGATTTTAAAGATTTCTCATAGAATACCAAAATATTATCCTTTTATTTTTACTTCTTTTCCGATTAAGTATGCAATTAATTTCAGGTAGGTGCTAATAGTATATAAGGTTAATGATGAAATTTATATTGATAGTCAAGAGAGACAGATACTGTGAGACTTGCAGAGGAGCTAGGTGCAGCAAGAGCCAGAGAGAAACAAAGTCAAGCCAAAATCTCTTCAGAGGTAGACCAGATGAATGGAGAAATTAATCAACTTAAAGCAAGACATCAAGAGGAGGTAACTTCAAAATAAAATAAAAAAGAAATTACCAGATTGGTGGAATTTATATAAATTATTTCAAGATAGGTTGCTGAGGGTGTAAGGGCTATTCCAGGAAAAAATGTATGTGAGGTTTGACATTGCTTGATATTTTATTCTGTGCGCTAATTAGGTGGAAGCAAATGCAATTATGTATCAAATGCAAAAAAAAAATTATGGATGGTGGGGTATTAAAACATTTTACATGACTATTAACATCCCATAAATTTCTGAATATTCTTTATGAATTGTTGAATCCTTATTATTTTTTGGAGGGGGATTTCAAACTTTTCATTGATTATAAAGAGTGATATACATGAGTTTGTCAATCAATGTTCTTTCAATACCTAGTATATTAATTTAAACAATGGAGTTAGGGAATGGTAACTAACCAAATACGAAGGATTCTTTATGTGCAATTCAAGTAGTCTTTTCCCCTCTTATTTTGGACTTGTCAGACAAATATGACCTGTTCTATGGTGTCATTACATAATAGTGATCAATAGTCATGCATAATATTAAAAGTTAGCTAGACTTGTTTAATATTGTGTTGGGGAATTAAAGGAGGGCTGTTTCAAAGTGTTTAACAGTCAATCAAACGAAAGTTTGTATTATAATGATTTTTTTCTTGTGTTTACTACAGCTTGATAACCTCCATGATGAAATGAAAGATTTGAAAAAAGATAAGGAAAGAATTAAGAAAGAATTGATGGAAAAGGAGAGTCAAATTAAAGACTTAGAAATTCATTATCAGGAACAATTTGAAAAACTTCAAGATCAGTTGGAGGAAATAAATAAAGAAATGGAGGCAAAGAAAAAAGTAGTAAATGCTGCTAATGAATCGTTGATACTGAAGGTAAAACTCAAGTTTACAAATAGTGTAAATTAAGCTTATCCACTGATACTGAAGGTAAAACTCAAGTAAACGTAAGCTTATCTGTTGAAATGTAAGCTTATCCACTGATACTGAAGGTAAAACTCAAGTAAACGTAAGCTTATCTGTTGAAATGTAAGCTTATCCACTGATGCTGAAGGTAAAACTCAAGTAAACATAAGCTTATCTATTGAAGCGTTAGCCTATCCAATGAAATAAAGGCTTGTATAATGAAATTCAAATAGTGTAATTCTATTGAAATCCAAATAGTGTAATTCAAGTGAAATTCAAATAGTATAATTTTAGTGAAATTCAAATGATTGTTTTTAGTTAATATTTAAAGTGAAAAAAAAGATGTCAGTTTACCTACTTCAATTTACATGAAGCTTTTCAATTGAATTTTGAATGCATTAATGTTTGTCCACTGAAATTCAGATGATTAATCAATATCTTGTTGAGAACAATAAGATTGAAGTGATATAGATGTGAATCCTGCTTTGCAGTGCAATGAGATATTAAATGTGCTAGCTCATTAGTTAGATGTACCATACTGATATTGTGCTTATCAAATATTAAAAATTGTTTTGGTACAAAGGTAACACCATGATTTAAGTAAACATTTTATAGCAGACTATATGGTATGGGTTTTGCTCATTGTTGAAGGCCGTACAGTGACCTATAATTTCTTAAAAATGCTTAATTGTGACTGTTGAATAGTTGTCTCATTGGCAATCATATCAAATCTTTTATTATAATCATTTATATGCCATTTTTTTTATCTGTTTTATTATTTATCATATTTAGCATACATACATTCAATAATACAATACCCATTGCAATTTCCATCAGAATTTATTTAAGACACATACCTCTATAGTTTCATTATTGTAAATAACATGTACTTTAATATTAGTTTATGAAAAAGAAATGTTTAATTCACTGCAGGATTCTGAAATAGCAAGACTTCATGCTCGTATCTCTGGTTTTGAGAGATCCATGACTTCATTTAGAGCCATAGAATGTTTTAATCAAACCTGTGTTGGAAACGAGTCAATGTATCAGAGTTCTGGAGTAGATATTGTTAATCGGCCACTATCTGGAGAAAATGGCCTAGTTCAAGGTGACAATACACAGAACAGTGCAGAATTTTTACGGACTTATTCTGACTTCATTCCGTCAAAAGATGGCCCCTCATCACTTCATTCATTTAATAATCGTCTAATAGAAAATGGACATTTTCAAAGAGATGATAAAAGTGTTGACAATATTCCTCACATGATTTTGCCTGATAGTAGTGATGAAAACTTTCACCAGAGTGGTAAAAGTGGTGGACACTTAGGGAACCTCTCTGATGTTGAATTATTTAGTGCTCATCAAGGTCTTCAGCATAGTGCTTTAATCTCTCATCAGAACCAAAAGACTACATCCAAACATGTCATGAAGAAAGGGAAAGTTCAGAAAACTGGAAGATCATCAGATCATTTACCTGGGGAACATATTATAGGTTGGTGTTATAGACAGTTACAATTTAATAACAGTTATAATGGAGGAAGAAAGGAGTAATCATTTCAAGTTGTTACAGTTTTACCTTGCATCTATTTCATAATTTTTACACTAAAGGTTTTGAAAAAAAGATGAAATTATAGAGCTGGAAAATTTTGAATATAAAAGGAAGTGATTTTTTTCAGTTGAAACGCTTCCCTGCTAAATTTTAATTTTTGTTATTGCTGAAATTGTAGTGATGTGTTGCAGTAATAATATAGGGTTATAGTATGAACATTGGTGAATAGTTCCGAGTAGATTCCACACTGCAGAAGCTAGCACGTTTAATATATATTCTATGGAATAATATTCACCACTATTCATGCAGTAACCTTTTTATTGTATAGCATAGCTTGAAATACTGTTTAAACATATTTTTTGCCATACAATAATCAGTATTATTGTGGAAATGAAAATAAATATTTTACAGTAAGCACTAACTTTATATAACAAATAGCATCAATTATTAAGTAATGATACTAACAAATCTTAAGGTCTTCATTCATTAAATTAGATTAAACTTAAAGAGTGCACTTTTCCTAGGAATTTTGTGTCATAAATTGCTGCACTTCTACTCTTCTTTACTGTTTTCAAGGATCAGGCAAACAGAAAATTTGCAAAAAACATTAAAACATTATATGTATCTTTATATATTGGTTTACTCGTTGTTCGTTTAACTTATATTACATATAAACAAGACATTGATAAATATTAACTATGCTCATAGCTTATATTACATATAAACTAGACATTGATAAATATTAACTATGCTCATAGCTTATATTACATATAAACAAGACATTGATAAATATTAACTATGCTCATATATATATAGCTTATATTACATATAAACAAGACATTGATAAATATTAACTATGCTCATAGCTTATATTACATATAAACAAGACATTGATAAATATTAACTATGCTCATAGCTTATATTACATATAAACTAGACATTGATAAATATTAACTATGCTCATAGCTTGCATATACTATAAAATGTGTATAGATAAATATTTAACAGTAGTATGATTTTATATTTATTGAACAGATCCAGAAACAGCAGTAGGGAAGTACCAAACAGATCCTATTGTTTACAGTGACCAAGAATCACCAGAAAAAGGGTTAGTTATTTCACAGCTTTGTGTTGTAAAACTTTGTTAGTGTGTCCAAAAAATGAAGGTACAAAATAAAAAGTTGAAGGTGACACTTAAAAGTAAATGGCTGTGTTTTTGTAATTATGGGGGCAGCAGGCTGGACATGAGAAACATTTTTCATATTCCTATTTACACAGTCAGAGCCATAGAATGTTAACATATCATTTAAGGCCCCTTTTTTTGGCAGACAAACTTAGCTAGAGAGATATCAGTTACAGTAGTAACACTAGTCAGACTTGCCCTCAGAATGTAACAAACAAATTCTTTTTGACAATTTGAGCACCCCTAGAGGCAGTGCTGTACAAAAGGCCCCAAAATGTATAAACAATTATAAAAATAAATTGCTTCGCTGAGCGCAGCTGGATACGACCGCAGATGTCCAACCCTGAAAAGTTGGGCCAAAATGGACACAATATTCACGCTTGATACAGGTCTGAATTTGGATTGTAATTAAAATTTTGACACATAATAGGTTTCTGACACAGAATAATTGTAGTCAAAGAACTTCAAATTGGTTATATGATTTGAATTTATATTCAATTTGTTGCTTTTGTGCAATACACTATGCTGTTGTGAATTGACCCCCCTACCAAAAAAAAAATTATTTTACCCCGGTTTTTTGCTTTTGTGCAATACACTATGCTGTTGAATATTAACCCCCCAAAAAAAATATTTGAAGAAATTTTCTTTTAATTTTTGAAATCTGAAATGAGAAAAATTGCCCCCCCCTCCAATTTTTTTCACCTCCCCCCTTTCCCTTATTCCCCAACAAAATTATTTTCCTCAAGATATGGTCAGTATCTCAATTCAAATTTCTAATGCAGTTTGCAACCAAAAATACCCATTTAAATACATCATAAAAGTTTTAAAATATAAAATGACATACATAGTCATGGCTAAAATTAATATTAATTAATAGTAACTGCTAAAAATAAATTGACAGCTAATCACCTCAAGACAATCATCATTTCTTAATACATAATTTACAAGCAGTGTAAGGGAGGTAATCAATCAGTGTTCTTTAATTTGAATTGGATTACCTCCCTTACACTGCTTTTAAATTGTCTCAATTGTCCTTTAACCAGAAAAACCCTTGTTTTTCCCCTTTTTTTGCCCCTAATTACTAAATGGTTTGAGCCATAACCCCCCAAAGTCAATCCTAACCATCCCTTTGTTGTATGGAAGTTTGTGGTATAATTTCAGAGAGATTCATACACTTTAACACAAGTTATTGTCTGGAAACTACAAAAATTCTTATTTGGGCCCCTTTTTTGGCCCCTAATTCCTAAACAGTTGGGACCATAACCCCCAAAATCAATCCCAACCTTCCTTTAGTGGTTATAAACCTTGTGTTAAAATTTTATTGATTTCTATTTACTTATACTAAAGTTATTATCCGGAAACCATCTGTCTCCGGAAGACGCTGACGCCGGACGACGACGACAACGTTATACCAATATACGATCAAAAAATTTTTAATTTTTGCGGTCGTATAAAAATTAAATGTGTACCGGTATATTCATCAATACAGTGATGAAATGGAAGATTCACGGCTTTGTGTAACATGTATAGCTCTGAGGTTTCATAAACACATTTAGTCTTTAAAAATAAACATGCCAGGACTTTGAAATATATAACTTACAGTTCTTTTGTTGTAAGGAGATGGATCTGAGAAATACATCAAGTATTACTTATTGCCTAATTGAGTTATTTTAGATTACACAACACAGCCAATGATATTTAAGAATTTGGCTTATCCTTTTGATTAATTGTGAATTTTGCAATATGTATAAAATTTTGATTGTTTTTACAGCATGCATGACTTACAAGAAAGACTAAGAGTCAATGAAATTAGACAACAGATGATAGAAGAACAACTACAGAGTTTGGATGATGAATGTGATACTAATTCTGTGTAAACTTTGATTTTGTCTTGATCATTCCTGTATCAGGGAAAAATATTTTCCATTCAATTGAAGCATGCTCTACAGCTGTTTAAAAGATTGTCTCCACTTGAGTTTTGTCCGTCCAATTGAAGCATGCTCTACAGCTGTTTAATAGGTTGTCTCCACTTGAGTTTTGTCCGTCCATTATTATTATTATTAGTCTGTTCTATTATGTAGTATCATTAGTAAATGCTCATTTTCAAAGTAAGCAATTATCAAAAGTTTTAGAAATTTGATCTTTCATTTTCATATTTCAGAATATCACACTTTGAAGGGACCATTTTATGTCTTATTTAGGAAAGAAGAAATTTGTAATACAAGAGATCAATCTTTAAATGACTACATTTCTTAAACATGAATATGAAAATCTATGTTAAAAAATTGAAAGCATGTAAGGTAGAATATATATTTCAGTGTTCCAAATTAGGAAATGATTAAAGCATTACATTCCAATAACTTCTTTAAAAACATCCCATTTTAGCTCACCTGGAGCAAAAGGTCCATGTGAGCTTTGGTCATCACTTTGTGTCCAGCATCTGTCATTAGTGTGGTTGTATTCAGGCATTATTTAAAAAAAAAATTCTCTTTTGAAAAAACTGTTGGGCCAAATGTTACCAAACTTAACCTGAATGCTCCTAAAGGCTTCAAGTTTTTGAATTATATGCAACAAAAGATAAGAACTAACAAATGCTCATTATAAGACCATGCATATATATTTTTTTAATGCATGTATACAAAACAACCCAACCAGCTTGTCCACAATTACAAAATGTACTTTTAATAGCGTATAGGTGTAAAACATCAATTTTGATCATTTCTCATATAGTTTTACAGCCTATTGTTCTCATAAGAATATTGTTTTAATTACAATACATATATTTTTATTAATTACATACACTGATTTAATAATTTATTTGACCCAATTGAACTAATTTTGGCAGGAAATATTTTGGGATGGTCAATGTGATTAAATATTAAAGCTGATTATCATACTAAACATCAAATATAGTTACTAGAGTAGAACAAACTTGTATTTATGGTATATTGCATTCAAATTAGCCCTTAGAAAATAATATGGCTAATTTACACAGATTTATTACTTGGAATATGACATGTTTAGAATTGTATGTAATGACGCTCTCCACTACAGAGCATGATTTACACAACTGGTTCTCATCTTGACCAAACATATTGCATGGATGTCAATTAATGATACTGGCTCTGTAGGGTCTCTACTTGTTTTTGTAAGTTTCCAAGATCATCATATCATAATATTTACGTAAAATATCAATTTACCGTAGGCTATTAAAGTTGCCATATGAGAAATACAGTCTCCTAGAAGTAATTTTTGTATGCATTTGTATTTTATATACCAGTATTACAGCTATTATAGTATCTGTTATATTCCACAGATTGTTTTATTTATATTATTTATTAAAATTGTTTTATATATTGTGTCTTTTCTCTCTTGCAAAAGAGATATTAATCTCCTTAATGTTAATAATTGGACTCTGCATTATTGACAGGATCCAATTATGAAGATGAATTTGATAGATTGATTGTTTGTGTAACTTATGTTTAACACCACTTTCGGCACACTAAGCTATATCACGGCTACCAGAGTATCCAGAGAGACTTCTAACCTTTAGCAGGACAACTGTTACTCCTAGTCAATTAAGATCAGAGAAACTCACTATGCCCTAGGCCACCAAGGCCCCAAAGAGGAATTGGCCTTTGATACCAACCTCCAACAATGGACTAAAGAAAATAGACCTACAAACAAAGACAATCAACAGCAAACAATACATTGTCCAGAAAGTGTCATTGAAATTGAAATGCATAATAAATCAAGTGCTCTGCAGGGCGCAGCTTGATACCACTGCAGAGGTCGAACCCTGAACAATTGGGGCAAGTATAGACACAACATTCAAGCTTGTTACAGCACTGAATTTGGGTTGTGATCATTTATTTGACACAGCATAGGTGTCTGACACAGAATGAATGTGGTCTAAGAACTTAAAAATTTGAAATTAGACATTTACCTATTATGGTCCAATATCCAAAATGTAAATACATGGTAAGAGTCAGCATATCAAAGAACCCCCTAGAATTCAATTTTTGTTCAAATAAAACTTGTTTATTTTAGACCCTTTGGACCATAATGTGGACAAATTTGAAAACTGGCCCAAAATCAAAAATCTAATTAAACCGTTAGATTCAGCATAACAAAGAAACCCAATAATTCAAGACTTTTGAGGTATGGAACCTTGTGGTACAATTTCATAGAGATCCATACACTTATACACAAGTTATTGTCCTGACATAAAACAACAAGCTTGTTTGTGGCCCCTAATTCCTAAACAGTAGGATGACTGCTTAATAGATCTTAATCAAACAAAGAAATAATTTGAAAAGCCTGGATTATATGCTGGTTATTCCATGCAGATAGCCACAACTATTGGTTGAATACTGCCACTCCAAAAATCATAAAAATAATAAACAGCACTCCCAGGTTTGAGGTAGTCTCTTAAAAAATGAATGGAAGATATGGTATTTGAATTTAACAAAATGTGTTCATGTCTCTGTTGACAGGCATTTTCATGGTTTTGTTGGTCAACTTAAGGTTTTGAAATAGGTCAGTTTCTAAGAAACTACAAGTAAAAGGTCAATTGTGTGAAGTGTTATAAGGTACACATACCAATTTGAAAAGGATTACATGACCTTGACCTCATTTTTGCCTCAAGTATTTGATAAAAGCTTTATTTCTTTGATTTCTGATTTTTAGTTGTTAAAACTATTCATATTATGGCACAGTGAAGCAATGAACCAAATATAGTGTAGATTGGATGTGCTCCTAAACAACTAGGTGACAGTAAGTGTTATATGGACAGAAAATACATGGATAAGTTATACCCTGTCAAAAACATTTTTGAAGGTTGATAATAATTAAAATAAGCTATTGCTTCATGGAAATGGAAAAAAATTAAACTGGTAACACAGAGATATGTCTGACCTTTTTAACCTTATCACAAACTCTAACAATTGTTGATGCTGCTGACACTGGAAACTGCATGCCTTTGAAATCAACACAATACTTGAAATAGCTAATGTTGCTACAGTATATGAGAATGAGGAGTAAGGTATCAATTTAGGATGTTTTTAAAGATTATGACGTGTAACGACTGAAACTTAAAAACAGCTCACTTTTCAATGTTCATGTTTCAACCAAATTTGAAACCATTGCAGGATATAGCTGCTGCAATCATGGTAAAGAAACAGGTATATGAATGAGAGGTCAGACAATTGTATACTATTCCTATCAAGCATATACACCCTATTATCAGTGAAACATATTTGTTTTCAATTGCTTTTCATAGATCTCATTGAAAATCATCTACATTGCTAATGCCAATGTGTTACATTAATAATAAATTTCATTCAACCTAACATTGCATTCCTGTAATATTGGGATTCAACAGGTAGTGTTTTAAGATTTTCTGTCCATTATTTGTAATTGGGTCCCATATGCTAACCTCTCCCCACCAGTGTCATTTTAGTATTCATACACGCCAAGTATCACTTAGTATTTTATACTCATTTATTGATTTAAATTTTCACATGAATAGTAATAAAATGGCTCTCAGGGCACAGCTTGTTAGACTGCAGAGGTCCAACTATGAACATTTTGGGCAAGTATGGAGACAACATTCCAGCTTCATACAGCTCTGAATTTGGATTGTGATTCAATATTTGACACAGCACAGGTTTCTGACACAAATGTGAATGTGGACCCCAATTTGGATCAACTTGAAACTGGGCCAACAATCAAAAATTTAAATACATGTTAAGATTCAGCATATCAAAGAACCCCTAGAATTCAATTTTGGTTAAAATAAAACTAATTTTAATTTTGGACTCCTTTTACCTTTATGTGGACCAATTTGAAATCCAGGCCCAAAATCAAAAATTTAAATACACAGACAGATTCAGCTTATCAAAAAACCCCAAGAAATCAATTTTTGTTAAAATCAAACACAGTTTAATTTTGGACCCTTTGCACCTTAATATAAACCAATTTGAAAACAGGGCCCAAAATTAATAAAATGCTCTGCTGGGTGCAGCTTGATACAACCGCAGAGGTCGAACCCTGAACAGTTGGGGAAAGTATGGACACAACATTCAAGCTTGATACAGCACTGAATTTGGATTGTGATTAAATATTTGACACAGCATAGGTTTCTGACACAGAATGAATGTGGTCTAAGAACTTAAAAATGTTTAATTTACCTATTCAAACCATATCATTATTATTTGCTTTTATATATAAATCAGAAATAACCAATTTAAAATGGAAAATTTTAAAGAAAAAAAAAGGGGAAAAAAGGAAAAAAAAAATCCCTCCCCCAAATTTTTTGAACCCCCTTATGATTCATCACCCCCAAACTCAATCCCAGCCTTTTCCTTTGTGGTATGGTACCTTATGGTAAAATTTCATAGAGATCCATTCACTTAAACTAAAGTTAGAGTGCGAAAATCAATGTGTCTTCGGATGACGACGACGCCGGACGACGACGACGACGACGCCAACGTCATACCAATATACGACCACAAAATTTTTTTGCGGTTGTATAAAAATCTAAATACAGTTAGATTTGGCATATGAAAGAACCACAAATAATTCAAAGTTTAATTTGGACCCCGATTTGGACCAGCTTGAAAACTGGGCCCAAAATTAAAAATCTAAATACATGTTTAGATTCAGCATATCAAAGAACCCCACAAGTTCAATTTTGGTTAAAACAATTTTTTGACAAAGTTTAATTTTGGACCCTTTGGACATTAATGTGGACCAATTTGAAAACCAGGCCCAAAATCAAAAATCTAAATTCACGGACAGATTCAGCCGATCAAAAAACCCCAAGAATTCATTTTTTGTTGAAATCAAACACAGTTTAATTTTGGACACTTTGCAACTTAATATGAGACCATTGGAAAATGGGGCTCTAAATTAAAAATCTAAATACACTGTTAGATTCTGCATATCAAAGAACCACAATAATTTAAAGTTTAATTTTGGACCCTGTGGACCAATTTTAAAACGGGACCCAAAATCCAAAATCTAAATACACGGTTAGAATCCGCATATTCAAGAACCCCAAAAATTCAAGACTTTGAATTACACCCTATTAAAATTGGTCAAGAAATAAGCAATTTATACAAAGTATTAGAAAAGTATTGTTTTTAGCCCCTAAAAACCGGTATCGGCCATAATCCCAAAAATCAATCCAAACATTCTTTTTTTGGTATGGAACCTTGTGATATAATTTCATAGGGATCCATAGACTTATACTCAAGTTATTTTCCGAACACCAATAAATCCTTTGTTTTTTGGCCCCTTATTCCTAAACGGGTTGGGCCAAAACCCCAAAAATCAATCCTAACCTTCCTTCTGAGGTATGGAACCTTGTGGTACAATTTCATAGAGATCCATACACTTATACACTAGTTATTGTAAAGAAACAAGAAAAATGCTTGTTTTGGGGCCCTAATTCCTAAACAGTTAGGAAAATTACCCCAAAATCAATCTCAACCTTTCTTTTGTGGTATCGAACCTTGTGGTACAATTTCATAGAGATCCATGCACTTAAACCCAAGTTATTGTCTGGAAACCAAATGTCTTTGGAAGACGACAACATCAACATACCATTAAACAGCAGCAAAAAGATCGTTTAAAAACATGTACCATTTCAGAGGTAACTGCCCCTAGTTGCAGTCATTTTGTTTTTTCCAATGGAACCAAATTGGTTTCCTTTCAAAGAATGGTTTATAAAGTTTATAAGTATTATCATTTTTAAATTATAATTTGTCTTATTATCATTCTAATTATTATTTTAATTATACATATAGAAAGTTATGGTCTCAAGAGTAAGATAACTGAATATATGAGTGAATTTTTTCAAGTCCAAGGACCATAACTCTGCACAAAATTATCAGACCGAAACAAAAATTTGAACTTGATCTATAACTTGTCATGATAAAACTTTTACCAATTGTCAATCAATATCTTCAAGAACGAAGAAAAAAGTGTGGAAAACTGAGTTGCCGGACTGACAGATGGACAGACGGACAGAGTGCAAACCTAAAGTCCCCTTCCACTTCCTCGGTAGGGGACTAATCAATCATTTTCAAGGGTCATAACTCTTTTACAAATAATTGATTGGCACTCATTTTCAAAAATGTCTGAGACATCACTGATATAAACATATAAGTTTCATAAATAACTTGCAAGAATTGTACACATGAGAGCGATAACAATGAAATTTTCAATATAATTAATATTTCCAAGGGGCATAACTCTTTTAAAAATATTTGATTAGCACTGATTTTTGAACTTGTCTGAGACATTGCTGGTATAAATCTATGATATAAGTTTCAAAAAAATCCGGCAAGAATGGTTCACATGAGAACGCTAACAATGAAATTTTCCATATAATTAATATTTCCAGGGGCATAACTCTTTTAAAATTAGTTGATCGGCACGAAGTTATGAACTTGTCATTGACATTGAAGCACTGAAATAAACCTATGATATAAGTTTATAAAAATCTGGCAAGAATTGTATACTTGAGAGCACTAACAAGACTGGATGGACGGATAGACGCCCAATATCTCTATGTCCCCTGCAATGCATCGCAAGGGGACAAATCAAGCTGAGTTAACAGAAAAATTTGTCCCAGTTGATTTTAGTTTACAGGTAAATAATAAAGAAGGTAACTGCTATTTAGTTATGCTTTATTCTTTGACAATAGTTTTTAATTTAATATATAAGGACTCTTATATCTCCAGTGTCCTTATGTTGGCAGTCTATCTGCAGAATCTGTCTGCGGTCTCTTTATGTTACCAGTCTGCAGTCTCTTTATGTTACCAGTCTGCAGTCTCTTTATGTTACCAGTCTGCAGTCTCTTTAGGTTACCAGTCTATCTGCAGAACCAGTCTGCAGTCTCTTTAAGTTTCAAGTCTATCTTTAGAACCTGTTTTTAGGTTTCAAGTCTATCTTTAGAACCTGTTTTTAGGTTTCAAGTCTATCTTTAGAACCTGTTTTTAGGTTTCAAGTCTATCTTTTGAACCTCTTTTTGGTCTATTTGCAAAACCATATAATGTTTTCATTATGTAGTATCTAGCATCTTCACACCAAACTGCTTTTGAAATTCATTATTTAGGGCTTGAATACAATTATCTAAAGAATGACTAATATCCTTCCTTTCATCAGCATTAAACTTTCTAAGAACATAATCTGCTACTTCAGCCTTGGAGACAGGTCTATCTATTCCAATCCACAACCTTGGAATATCCTGTAAAATAACAAACAAAAACATTGCTAAGCATGCTATATTTGCATTGTGTTAGTGAAAAACTAGTGTCTTTACTATTAATCAATTACCTATAGGAAAAGGAACTGGATTCATACAATAGTTCTGCTCTAAAATTCCTGACTTTTAAATCACATATAAAACTTCTTTTCCTATCTTATCTTGCATATGATATCTTCACTAATAATATACTTCTACACTTTAATCTGATGTGAAAGGCGAATATTTTAAATAACTTTCATCATGTTAATTGGAATAACACTGAGTTTCTTCTTTAATATATTTTGTAATAATCTTCTTATATTTGAATAACCTTCATGCTTTAAAAACAATCATGTTTTGGGAGACCAAACGCTTTGATTAATTTATCTACTTTTTGAGAACAAATATTATAGTACAATGTACATACCTCTGACTGTAAAGACTGTTGGACTGAACGAATACCTTTATGTCCCCTGGAAAAATTAAGGAAAAGTGTAAAGATTAAGCAGCAGAGTTCACTGTTGTAAAATAAATTACATGCAGAATATTATAATAAATGTAGCAAACCATTAAATACACAAGTAATAAATAAGTTTTACCAAAAAATGAACTCCAATGACACTTACCATGGTTACTAAATAGAAAATCTGGGAAAATCATAGATCTGTTGGATTTTACTTCGGAAATTTGAAGCTAGGATGAAGAATCAATCTTCCTTTCATCTATGGGATACCAAAATTACATAATTATAAGTTTCCTTACAAAATAAAATGTTCCCCATGTTGCACATACTTCATCTATTCAAGGTACAAGGGCAATAACTAAAAAAAACAACTTTTTTTTTGTTTTTTAAAACAATTTATAAATATCTTAGAGAAATGAAGGCTTCAGAGCAAATGCAATGCGATTTCCTTTATAAATAATTTTTCCAAGGGGAATAACTCGTTAAAAATATTTGATCAGCACTTACTTTCAAAAGTGTCAAAGACACTGCTGAAAGAAACCTATGATATAAGTTTCATAAAATTCTGGCAAGAATTGTACACATGGGACCACTAACAATGCAATTTTTCATATAACTTATATTTCTAAGGGACATAACTCTTTAAAAAATTATTAATCATCACTGATTTTCAAATTTGTCTGAGATATTGCTGATATAAACCTATAATATAAATTTCATAAAAATCTGGCAAGAAGTGTACACATGAGAGTGCTAACAATGCAATTTTCAATATAATCGATATTTCCAAGGAGCATAACTCTTTAAAACAAAATGCTCCGCTGGGCGCAGCTTGATACGACCGCAGAGGTCGAACCCTGAACAGTTGGGGCAAGTATGGACACAACATTCAAGCTTGATACACACTGACTTTGGACGACAACGACGCCAACGTCATACCAATATACGACCGCAAAATTTTTTTGCGGTCGTATAAAAATTTGATCTGCACTGATTTTCTAACTCGTCAAAAACATTGATGATATAACCCTATTTATAAATTTCATAAAAATCTGGTAAGACTTGTACACATTAGAGCTCTCATAAGGCAATTTTCCATATAATTAATGTTTCCAAGGGGCATAACTCTTTTAATAAAAAGAACAGAGTTCCAATGTCCCTCGCATTGCACATATTTCATCTATCCAAGATACAAGGGCAATAACTAATAAAATGCTCCGCAGAGCGCAGCTTGATACGACCGCAGAGGTCGAACCCTGAACAGTTGGGGCAAGTATGGACACAACATTCAAGCTTGATACAGCTTTGCATTTGGATTGTGATTAAATATTTGACACAGCATAGGTTTCTGACACAGAATGAATGTGGTCTATAAGAACTTAAAAATTTTAAATTGGACATTCACCTATTATGGTCCAATATCCAAAATCTAAATACATGGTTAGATTCAGCATATCAAAGAACCCCAAGAATTCAATTTTTGATGAAATCAAACAAAGTTTAATTTTGGACCCTTTTGACCTCAATGTGGACAAAGTTGATAACAGGGCCCAAAAATCAAAAATCTAAATACATGGTTAGATTCAGCATATCAAAGAACCCCATATATTAAATTTTTGTTGAAATCAAACAAAGTTTAATTTTGGACCCCGATTTGAACCAACTTGAAAACTGGGCCCATAATCAAAAATCTAAATACAGGTTTAGATTCAGCATATCAAAGAACCCTAAGAATTCAATTTTTGTTAAAATCAAACTAAGTTTAATTTTGGACCCTTTGGACCTTAATGTAGACCAATTGAAAACGGAACCAAAAATTAAGAATCTAAATACACGGTTAGATTCGGCAATTTCAAAGAACCCCAATAATTCAATTTTTGATGAAATCAAACAAAGTTTAATTTGGGACCCTTTGGACCTCAATGTGGACCAATTTAAAAACGGGGCTCAAAATCCAAAAACTAAACACACGGTTAGATTCAGCATATACAAGAACCCTAAGAATTCAAGAATGAAACCCCATTGAAATTGGTCAAGAAATAAGCAATTTATACGAAGTATCTTCTTTTGCACAATACTGTGCAATTAAATGATTCTTGCTATTGCGCAATACTGTACAATTGACAATTTCTTGCTATTGCGCAATATTGTGCTATTGGATGTTTCTTGCTATTGCACAATACTGTGCAATTGAAGATTTCTTGCTATTGCGCAATACTGTGCAATTGAAGATTTCTTGCTATTGTGCAATACTGTGCAATTGAAAATTTCTTGCTATTGCACAATACTTATTATATAATAATTTACACATCCTGTTTGGTGTGTATCTCCTACCATATCATTATTATTTGCTTTTAAATATAAATCAGAAATAACCAACTTAAAATGGAAAATTTTAAAAGAAAAAAAAAAGGAAAAAAAGAAAAAAAAGGAAAAAAAAAAAAATCCCCCCCCCCAAATTTTTTGAACCCCCTTATGATTCATCACCCCCAAGCTCAATCCCAGCCTTCCCTTTGTAGTATGGTACCTTGCAGTACAATTTCAGAGAGATCCATACACTTGAACACAAGTTATTGTCTGGGAACTATAAAAATGTGTTTTTTGGCCCCTTTTTGGCCCTAAATTCCTAAACATTTAGGGCAATTACCCCCCAAACTCAAACCCAGCTTTCCCTTTGTGATATGGAACCTTGTAGTACAATTTCAGAAAGATCCATACACTTACACACAAGTTATTGTCCTGAAACTAGAAAAATGCTTGTTTTTTGCCCCTAATTCCTAAAATATTGAGGCAATTACCCCCATCATCAATCCCAGCCTTCCCTTTGTGGTATGGTACCTTGCAGTACAATTTCAGAGAGATCCATACACTTGAACGCAAGTTATTGTCTGGAAACTAGAAAAATGCTTATTTTTGGCCCCTTTTTGGCCCCAATTCCTAAACGTTTCGGGCAATTACCCCCAAACTCAATTCTAGCTTTCCCTTTGTGATATGGAACCTTGTAGTACAATTTCAGAAAGATCCATACACTTACACACAAGTTATTGTCATGAAACTAGAAAAATGCTTGTTTTTTGCCCCTTTTTTGGCCCCTAATTCCTAAAATTTTGAGGCAATTACCCCCAAAATCAATCCCAGCATTCCTTTTGTGATATGGAACCTTGTGGTACAATGTCAGAGAGATCCATACACTAACACACAAGTTATGTCTGGAAGTTACAAAAATGCTTATTTTTGGCCCCTTTTTGACCCCTAATTCCTTTACTGTTGGTACCATAACCCCCAAATTCAATCCCAACCTTCCTTTTGTGGTATTGAACCTTGTGGTAAAATTTCATAGAGATCCATTCACTTAAACTAAAGTTAGAGTGCGAAAACCAATGTGTCTTCGGACGACGCCAGACGACGACGCCGACGCCAACGTCATACCAATATACGACCACAAAAATTTTTTTGCGGTCGTATAAAAAAGCACTTTTTTGGTTCTTTAAAACTTTTTATTAATATCTTAAGAGAAATGAATGCTTCAGAGCAAATGCAATGGGATTTCCATTATACCTTATATTTCCATAGGGCATAACTCGTTAAAAATTTTTGATTAGAACTTATTTTTAAAAGTTTCAAAGACATTGCTGATATAAACCTATGATATAAGTTTCATAAAATTCTGACAAGAATTGAACACATGAGAGTGATAACATTGCAATTTTCCATATAATCAATATTTTCAAGGGCATAACTATTTTAAAAATAATTGATTGGCACTGATTTTTGAACTCTTTAAGAACATTGATGATATAAACCTTTGACATAAATCTGGCAAGAATTGTACACACGAGAGCACTAACGATGCAATTTTCCATAAATTCAATGTTTCCAAGGGGCATAACTCTTTCAAAAATAAATGATCTGCACTGATTTTCAAACTTGTATAAGACATTACTAATATAAACCTATGATATAAGTTTCATAAAATTCTGGCAAAATTGTACACACGAGAGCGCTAACAATGCAATTTTCAATATAATTAATGTTTCCAAGGGGCATAACTCTTTTAAAAATAACTGATCGGCACAGATTTTCGAACTCGTCCAAGACATTGCTAATATATACCTATGATATAACTTTCATAAAAATCTGGCAAGAATTGTACATGTGAGAGTGCTAACAAACGGAATGGAGAGACATCCAGTATTTATATGTCTCCCGCAACACGGGACAATAACAATATACAATTTAAATATGTTTTATATATATGCGAGTACCTTGCACTGCCTCCATATTTAAAACCAAATTTTCCAACAGCTTTATCAAGTTCATCATGTATCAGATAGACATTTTCAGGAAGTATACCATAGTGTTTGACTGTAAAAAATAATACAACAATTCTTAACTAAAATTTACAATAATTTGTCAATTCTAATACTTTAGCATGGTGCAGTGATTTTTAAAAATTGCTGAAAAATCAAATCAGAAGGATACAAACCAGGATTTACTGATAAATGTAGGGAAATAAGGACTTTCTTATTATTATGTATTGTCTCAAAATATCAAACTTATTTGTACAAGGCTTACTAACAGGTAGAATGTGAGGTATGCCAAGGATTTCTATCCTGTTTAGAACCAAGTACATATAAAATTTATATTTCCACACAATTCATTTTTGTTCTGTTTATACTAAAACTCTTATATTTTGGGTATAATCCAACAAATTTTGAATTTGAAGCAGATGATGTAAAAATTCTGCATACCTGTATTATTTATTGACGTCATAAATAAAACTCTACTGAAACACATTTACAGTCAGTGACAGCTGTATACCACAAACAGTTATACTGTCACTGCAATTTCACAGTCCAAATAGCACAGATGCAGTATGAAATAATAATAAATACTTCAGACAAGTGCAGTTAACATGGTTAATTTTCTTGTAAAGCACTTCAACCCCCATACTTCTGTTGACCTGCAATCCATACTTAACAATATAATGGATGGTGAAACTTTCTTTGTCTGTGATTTTAGCTATGTTATTAAAATTCTTAATCAGAATAAAAAATATCAGGTTTTATTTATCAAAAGTGTACCTGCTTTTTGAACGCTTCTTCCATTAATATTCATGGCTACTTTTGGTTTTAGAAGAATACATCTTTGCTGATTTTCAAAGGTATGAATAGCTACAAAGCCTTGACAAGTCTTCCTTTCATTGGTCCAAGATACTTTCAGCTGATTGGCTAGCTGATTGATGACCTGCATACCCACACTGTGTCTAGTTTCAAGCATGTCATGGTTTCCTACCCCTACTACCTGAAGTGAATAAAGGGATTTCTTCAAATTTATGTATGCATGTTAATAATTAAATCACAATAAAATTCATTATATGGAATACAATGTATATAGTTTTGAAGCTGTTGACAGTAGACAATTTTTGATAACCAGAACTTTTATTCACTTGTTTCAAAATATACAATGAAAGCCAACTCATATAAAAAATATAAAAAAACTGACAATGCAAGTGCTTACTTAAGGTCAACAAATTTTCTTTAATTTCAGAATTGAATGGTCCTTTTTATATGTAAAAGCATTGATGAAGTACATTTTTCTGTGCTTCGTATTAAAAATGTGTGCAGGATAAACACTTTTACAACCCTATAAAATTATAAATAGAAGCATTCCATTTTTATTACTACATTTTTAAGCTACAACCATGAAATTGAGTTATGCCAAGCTTTTAGTTTGTTTTTCAATACATTATTTTACCATTATCATGGATAGCATGTGCAGTCATAGCTGTTGTATTTTAAACTGAAATAAAATTTGATCTTGAATTGTCTCATGATTGTGGTCAGCCAATCAAAATTATCAATTGTAATGAAACATACATATAATGTACATGTATGTAAATTCAAACAATTAGATTTTGGAAAAAAAAACATTATTGCTAACATGTAACTTTATATTTTCATAAAGCACATTCATCAGACTTTTATTCTAAAACCAATTTGGCTTTTTTATTGCCCAAAATACCAGTTTAAGAAAATTTAGTAGTCAGTAAATTTGAATGAAATTACCAATTTTTTACCTCATTTTTCACGATCATGAAAACAACATAAACAAGCGTGGTACATAAGATTTTATTTTAGTGATTTCAAAAGATCACAACAGGCACCACAAAACATCTCAAAATTACAAAAATGATAATACAAACTAAAAAAAAAAACATGGCAGGATCAAAAATAAGATTTAATAAGAGAACATAGTTCCAATGTCCCATATGTTGCACATATTTTATCTATCCAAGGTACAAGGGCAATAACCAAAAAAAGGATTTTTTTTTGTTCTTTAAAACTTTTTATTAATATCTTTTGAAAAATGAAAGCTTCAGAGCAAATGCAATGTGATTTCCATTATAATTTATATTTCCAAGGGGCATAACTTGTTAAAACTATTTGATCAGATCTTATTTTCGAAAGTGTCAAAGACACATAAACCTATGAAATAAGTTTCATAAAATCTTGGCAAGAATTGAACAAATAAGAGCAATAACATTGCAATTTTCCATATAATCAATATTTTCAAGGGCATAACTCTTTTAAAAATAATTGATCGTCACTGATTTCTGAACTCTTCAAGACCATTGATGATATAAACCTATAATATAAATTTCATGAAAATCTGGCAAGAATCGTACACATTATATTGAGCGTTCATAAGGCAATTTTCCATATAATTAATATTTCCAAGGGCATAACTCTTTTAAAATTATTGATCGGCACTGATTTTCAAATTCGTCAAAGACATTGCTAATATAAACCTATGATTTAAGTTTCATAAAATTTTGGCAAGAATTGTACAAATGAGAGCGCTAACAATGCAATACTCCATATAATTTATTTTTCCAAGGGGCATAACTCTTTCAAAAATGATTGATCGGCACTGATTTTTCTAACTCTTCCAAGACATTGCTGAAATAAACCTATGATACAAGTTGCATAAAAATCTGGCAAGAATTGAACACATGAGAGCACTAACAATGCAATTTTCCATAAAATTAATGTTTCCAAGGGGCATAACTCTTTTAAAAATAATTGATCGACACTGATTTTTGAACTCGTTTAAAACATTGCTAATATAAACCTATGATATAAGTTTCATAAAATTCTGGAAAGAATTGTACATATGAGAGCACTAACAATGCAATTCTCCATATAATTTATTTTTCCAAGGAGCATAACTCTTTCAAAAATAATTGATCGGCACTGATTTTCGAACTCTTCCAAGACATTGTTAATTTAAACCTATGATATAAGTTTCATAAAATTCTGGCAAGAATTGTACACATGAGAGCGCTAACGATGTAATTTTCCATAAAATTAATGTGTCCAAGGGGCATAACTCTTTTAAAAATAATTGATCAGCACTGGTTTTCGAACTAGTACAAGACATTGCTAATATAAACCTATGATATAAGTTTCATAAAAATCTGGCAAGAAATGTACATGTGAGAGCGCTAACAAGACTGTATGGACGGATTCCCGTTATTTCCTCCCCCACAACGTGTTACACGGGGGACAATAAAATGCTCCTTTGGGCGTAGTTTGATACAACCTCTGAGTTCAAACCCTGAACAGAAGGGGAAAGTATGGACACTTCATTCAAACTTGATACAGCTCTGAATTTGGATTGTGATTATGTATTTGACACAGCATATGTTTCTGACACAGGATGAATGTGGGCAAAGAACTGAAAAATTTGAAATTGGACTTTTACCTATTAAGGACTTTTCTGTTACACATAAGTGATATTTTTATATTACCAAGCCCCACAGGCTTTAACCTTGATATGATTTTCTATATCTCCTTTTGAAAATCTCAAGAAATATTTGAATGAAACTCAAAAATCATATTCTCAGTAGAAAAATATATGCTAATAAAATGCTCCGCAGGGCGCAGCTTGATACGACCGCAGAGGTCGAACCCTGAACAGTTGGGGCAAGTATGGACACAACATTCAAGCTTGATACAGCTTTGCATTTGGATTGTGATTAAATATTTGACACAGCATAGGTTTCTGACACAGAATGAATGTGGTCTAAGAACTTAAAAATTTTAAATTGGACATTCACCTATTATGGTCCAATATCCAAAATCTAAATACATGGTTAGATTCAGCATATCAAAGAACCCCAAGAATTCAATTTTTGATGAAATCAAACAAAGTTTAATTTTGGACCCTTTTGACCTCAATGTGGACAAAGTTGATAACGGGGCCCAAAAATTAAAAATCTAAATACATGGTTAGATTCAGCATATCAAAGAACCCCATATATTCAATTTTTGTTGAAATCAAACAAAGTTTAATTTTGGACCCCGATTTGGACCAACTTGAAAACTGGGCCTATAATCAAAAATCTAAATACATGTTTAGATTCAGCATATCAAAGAACCCTAAGAATTCAATTTTTGTTGAAATCAAACTAAGTTTAATTTAGGACCCTTTGGACCTTAATGTAGACCAATTTGAAAACAGAACCAAAAATTAAGAATCTAAATACACGGTTAGATTCGGCATATCAAAGAACCCCAATAATTCAATTTTTGATGAAATCAAACAAAGTTTAATTTTGGACCCTTTGGACCTCAATGTGGACCAATTTAAAAACGAGTCCCAAAATCCAAAAACTAAATACATGTTTAGATTCAGAATATTAAAGAACCCCAAGAATTCAAGAATAAAACCCCATTGAAATTGGTCAAGAAATAAGCAATTTATAAGAAGTCTCTTCTTTTGCACTATACTGTGCAATTAAATATTTCTTGCTATTGTGCAAAACTGTACAATTGACAATTTCTTGCTATTGCGCAATATTGTGCTATTGGATATTTCTTGCTACTGTGCAATACTGTGCAATTGAAGATTTCTTGCTATTGCGCAATACTGTGCAATTGAAGATTTCTTGCTATTGTGCAATACTGTGCAATTGAAAATTTCTTGCTATTGCACAATACTTATCATATAATAATTTACACATCCTGTTTGGTGTGTATCTCCTACCATATCATTATTATTTGCTTTTAAATATAAATCAGAAATAACCAACTTAAAATGGAAAATTTTAAAAGAAAAAAAAAAGGAAAAAAAGAAAAAAAAAGGATAAAAAAAAAAAAAAAACCCAAATTTTTTGAACCCCCTTATGATTCATCACCCCCATCATCAATCCCAGCCTTCCCTTTGTGGTATGGTACCTTGCAGGACAATTTCAGAGAGAGCCATACACTTGAACACAAGTTATTGTCTGGAAACTAGAAAAATGCTTATTTTTGGCCCCAAATTCCTAAAGGTTTAGGGAAATTACCCCCAAACTCAAACCCAGCTTTCCCTTTGTGATATGGAACCTTGTAGTACAATTTCAGAAAGATCCATACACTTACACACAAGTTATTGTCCTGAAACTAGAAAAATGCTTGTTTTTTGCCCCTTTTTGGCCCCTAATTCCTAAAATATTGAGGCAATTACCCCCATCATCAATCCCAGCCTTCCCTTTGTGGTATGGTACCTTGCAGTACAATTTCAGAGAGATCCATACACTTGAACACAAGTTATTGTCTGGAAACTAGAAAAATGCTTATTTTTGGCCCCTTTATGGCCCCCAATTCCTAGAGGTTTCGGCAATTACCCCCAAACTCAATTCCAGCTTTCCCTTTGTGATATGGAACCTTGTAGTACAATTTCAGAAAGATCCATACACTTACACACAAGTTATTGTCATGAAACTAGAAAAATGCTTGTTTTTTGCCCCTTTTTTGGCCCCTAATTCCTAAAATTTTGAGGCAATTACCCCCAAAATCAATCCCTGCATTCCTTTTGTGATATGGAACCTTGTGGTACAATGTCAGAGAGATCCATACACTAACACACAAGTTATGTCTGGAAGTTACAAAAATGCTTATTTTTGGCCCCTTTTTGGCCCCTAATTCCTTTACTGTTGGTACCATAACCCCCAAAATCAATCCCAACCTTCCGTTTGTGGTATTGAACCTTGTGGTAAAATTTCATAGAGATCCATTCACTTAAACTAAAGTTAGAGTGCGAAAACCAATGTGTCCTCGGACGACGCCGGACGACGCCAACGTCATACCAATATACGACCACAAAAATTTTTTTGCGGTCGTATAAAAATGATATCATATCCAACTATCGCAGTCATCACGTGACTTTTACACTTTAGTTGTATATCATTAATGGCCGATTGATTATCAATGAAAATGAACGGGGGTACATAGATTAAACGGTCATAACTTTTTTGTTACATTGTGTATTTTACCTCCCAACCCTGCGTTTTACAGTATTTTCATTTTTACAATTAAAATTATTTTAAATTTTAGTTCAGATATATGATTTCTTGCTTCAAAATAAGTTTGAAAATTTAAATGACATAACACACAGCCTCCGTTGACTTCTTTGTTAAAACTCGATAAAATTGCAATGGGACCTTCTTATATTATTTTCTCAACTTATTTATTGTTACTAATATCCTCCCAACCCCTAAAAAGATCGACAACATTTTCATTTAAATGAAATCGAAGACCATGTCAGTTTAGGTATCAAACCTTTTGCTTCAAAATTTGATTGAAAAGTTCACATTTTGGCATTCGTTATCAATATTTTAATGGTGGTCACTGTTGGAATTAAATGAAACGACATGTATTCATTAAGTTATTAATCAAAAAGTAATATTTGAAATATTTATTGAAGTGTGTCTTATTGTATTTAAGAAAGTTCTTATTTCACCTTTTATTTAATATATTTATTAGAAAAAGACAGCCACACTCAAAATAAAGATGTATATGCATCAACCATGCAGTTTATATTGACAGTTGGGCCGACTTGTGAAGTTATATTTTGTAAGATTTTTACGATGAAAATCCAATAAATGTTGGATGCATGCGTTTTCAGTAATAGTCTTACCTTAAAGTAGCATAGAATCAAACATTATTTTTCTTTGTTAAAGTGGACACATGCTGTTTTTTTTCAATAAAATTTCGAAGTTACGTAAAAAATGGCGACCAAATAATTTTCAAACATAGACGATGTTCGACACTAATTTTACCAATGCAAATAATTCAATTTGCTTTCACTGTTGATAATGCAATTAAGTATGACACGTTATTGTCACTTTATAATCCCCAAGAACATAGCTAGATTAAGGAGATATTAAGTCATCAACGTGATCAAAGAAAACAAACTTAGCACCTAATCACGATGTAAGTTTTGACAAGACCTATGTACATTTAGATTAGTATTGTTCGATTCTTAATGAAATTATTTTATGCTATTATTTTATATCAGTAAATGAAGACCTCGAATGGATGGTAACCGAGGTGAAATATCTATATTTTTCAATCACACGGGTTACCAGTAAATTTGACATAATTCTAATTAAACCAGTAACATGCAGAGTTATTGAACGTAACTATGACTGGAATAGTTGCATATGCAAATAAACTACATGTAGTATAAATCTGTCTAGACTATCCCAAGAGGAATTAGAAAATGTATAAACAGGAAAATGACCCCCCCCCCCCCCCGACAAGACATCTAAAAAATATTCTTAGTTACAAGTCCCTTTATAAATTGGGTCTAAGCAACTATATCTTACCATAAAATCCTTTTGATTTTGACTCTGAAATGAATAATTTGACGCCATAGTGCAGTGTAAATATTTGTTTGATTGCATAGTAATCCTATAATTTTTCCAAGCATTATTTTCTGACTGTTGACGTAAGAATGATGAAACTTTGCTTATTGATTGTTTAAATATGTAAGCAAATTTTGTCATGCTTAAAGTTGTGAAATATCCTTTCTTCATCATTTAGACGCTTGAAACCGCTGCTGGATAACTCGGACTAAAACAAAATCGGCCTATCACAAAATCGGACTATAACAAACTCGGACTATTACAAACTCGGCCTACCATTATTTATATGCAGAAATATATTGAACAAACTCGGACTACGATTAGTAGATTGTGTTGTTGACGGGTTTTTTTTTTTTACTTTAAAAAAAAACATTATCTATAAAATATTATATACGAATTTAGCGAATTTATGAGATAATAATAAATATTTTTGTAAAAACAATATATAGAAATGTATTAAAATAAATTAGATCCATCAAAGATTTGAATCTATAAAATATTATATACGAATTTATGAGATAATGATAAATATTTTTGAAAAAACAATATATAGAAATGTATTAAAATAAACTTAGATCCATCAAAGATTTGAATCTATAAAATATTATATACGAATTTATGAGATAATGATAAATATTTTTGAAAAAACAATATATAGAAATGTATTAAAATAAACTTAGATCCATCAAAGATTTGAATCTATAAAATATTATATACGAATTTATGAGATAATGATAAATATTTTTGAAAAAACAATAATGTTTATGATTCTGCTTCTTGACAATAACATTATTTTTCCATGTTGTCTTTTATATATTATGATATGACTAGGAATTCTGTATGTGCTATGTATGTTTTGTATGTGATAGCTGTGTTTTAAATGTGCTATGTATGCTTTAAATGTGCTTTGACAATAACTATTTATATCTGCATGGTGTCTGTCTTAGAGATGATGACAAAATGCCTTTAAGTTTTAAATGTGCTTAAAGTTATTGCAAATGGCTGATGTTTTTGTTCGAGCATATTGTTTTTCTTAAATTGTTTAACATTTCATACCGGTATAACATGTTGCTTTTATCATTCTTCCCTTAGTTTATTTATTTTGTATTTACATTGTATCATAGGTCAAATTTATTTGTTCAGGGTATATTCACTGGTGTTAATCTGTCCTATGATTGAGTTAAGCTATTTCAGTTGATATTTTAAAATGTGTCTTTCTATGTTGTGATGTTACACTATTGTTTCAGAAAAAGGGTGAAGGTTTGGTACCATTAAAACGTTTAAACCCGCTCCAATTGTTTGCACCTGTCCTAAGTCAGGAATCTGATGTTCAGTAGTTGTCGTTTGTTGATGTGGTTCATAAGTGTTTCTCGTTTTTTATATAGATTAGACCGTTGGTTTTCCCGTTTGAATGGTTTTATACTAGTAATTTTTGGGGCCCTTTATAGCTTGCTGTTCGGTGTGAGCCAAGGCTTCGTGTTAAAGACCGTACTTTGACCTATAATGGTTTACTTTTATAAATTTTGACTTGGATGGAGAGTTGTCTCATTGGCACTCATACCACATCTTCCTATATCTATGTGTTTTATATATGCTTCATATTAATCGTATGTAATTCAATATTATTGAATGACGAAACGAAATCATTGTTATATATATATGTTTGTTGACATCTGCTGAAATAAAATTTGTAAACCTTATGTTTTCTTTATTAAATAGTATTACATTGTACAAATAAATTACACTGAGATTCAACCAATAAAAGTATGATCAGAAACATATAATTTACTACACTGTCTTATAATTACAAGAATTGTAATTAAACTAAAAAAAAAAAAAAAGAACATGAAAACGTCAGTTATACACAAGCTGTTACTGCGGAGTTACTGGATATTTAGTTAATTACAATTTCATGTAATTACAGGTAGTTTTGTTCTCACTTGGGTGATTAAATAGGTGTCAACAGTACATGTGCCAGTTGTTAGTTTAAATTAAGGTGATTAAAAAGGTGTCAACGATACACGTGGCATGATGTCATATTTCCATTTCAATCAAATAAGATATGCATATGATAAATTATTTTGAGAGGGACACTATTACAAATAATAATACAGAAAAGACAAATAAGTGGTAGATTTTCATTATTAAATGAATGTATTCTTACTTTTCTTTTTATACATATCTTTTTAACGTAATTTATTTAATTAATTGTAAATCATAATTAATTTAAAATTAAGTATTGATAATCAATTTCCAATAAAGAAAACAACATCAAACATCACACTTATATTCTCCTAGTAGTCCGAGTTTGGTATAGGCCGAGTTTGTTATAGTCCGAATTTGTTATAGGCCGAGATATCAGGGATTCCTTGAAACTACCTTCTTCTCTGGATCTTTACACCCTTTATAGGGTAACCATGATTTCGTATGTCGAACCATAGATATATTAGCCATTATATCTATGGTCGAACAGTTCCACCACCAAAAAATAATGAAAATTAACAATCATAACACCACAACATTATATACACTATTTACATTATGAACTTTTAAAGTTTTTATGACTTTTTACATGGGAAGTTTACAGTTTTATGACATTTTACATGAGAAGTTTACAGATTTTAAGACTTTTTGTCTTTTTATCTCGGCAGTTTAGATTATTTTGGTCTGCTGATACTAAACTTTATAAAATTTACAGATTAATAAAGGCAACAGTAGTATACCGCTGTTCGAAATTCATAAATCGATTGAGAAATCATATTTTTACATGTACCGGCATAACAAGATATTATTTTAAAACGCAACACAGATTTAAGATGTAAATATCAACTTCCGTTTCCCAAAAAACTTATCACAAGGTCAGGATTTAGGTTGAGGGCAATGCATGACGTGAATGTCAAGTCGACTAATTACGGTACATGGTTTAATACTGTTTGCACAAAATGATTCTGAATATATTATGAATAGTTTATTTTTGAAAGACTGACAACATCAGTTGCAGATTATAGAAACTTTTTTCTTGACTATTTACCAGGTCAGGAATATTTGATTGGCAAATTTATCACTAATCACCTGTCAATGGACATCAATACTGTCTGCAGTCATGTGATTATGAGTACAACTCCACAGGTGAATGAAGCTCTTTGTTAATACTTGACTTTCATTATTAAAAGTCAATCATGGTCAATAGTACAGATGTTTCATCAAAAGAATTGTTGTACACATGCATTCTCAAGAGATGCAGCAGGCTTTGACAAACCGAAAGTTTTCGGAGGACTCAATAATGGTCATAAAATAGGTTGTAAGTTGCAAAATGATGCTCCTATCTCACACTAGCATTTTATAGCAAAAAAACTTGCATTATACGTCAATGGGTCTATACCAATATATGTCAATTGGTGGATTATACATCAATTGAGGTATAATCCACCAATTGGTGTTTATTCCTGACCTGTTTACTGGGGCTATAAAATAATTTATAGTCCAAATAATTATGACGTCTTGGAAGGCTATTTTAAATTTTTGCTTTGATGCCTTCCTGTCGATGTAAGGCGTCAAAGAAAAAAAATATAATAGCCTTTCAAGACGTCGCAATTATTTGGACTAGGACTATCCCAGCTAGATTTATGATATTGTATCCCTAATACATCTAATCGCTATTTATTCCATTCCGGATAAGTTCTAAAATTACACAACTTTTTCATCCAGTTGAAGCTATATGGGGCCCTGTTTAAACAATGCACCATGCATGATACTTTTTAATGAGATCTGTTTAAAACATCGTAAATACTTCAAACAAAATATTTTTTGACTATAATTTGAGTTTCGAAAAAAGTGAATCATAATCTATCAAAGTTTCGTATTGATCGCTTTCTAAGTTTTTCCCTCCCTCAGCTTGTTACTGATGACCTTTGTTGTTTACCTGTTCAAGGCCTGTTGACCCAAACAGGAAGTTGTCTAAATGACTGTTTTTTCCGGATTGGACTAAATAGCGATAAGGTGTATTTGTAGACATAATCTTCCAATAGGTACTTTTTCCCGGAAGAATTTGACGTCGAAAAAGCAAATATCTTCATGTCCCAATGTCTTATGACGTGTTTTCCTCGAATGACTCCCTGTCATTCACCAGGGGCGTAGCTACCTTCTTAATGAAGTGGAATCACAAACTAAAGGGCGAGGGGTCTGGGGCCGCCTAAGGCCCCCAGTAGGTCCAAATAAAACTTGGATATTTTTGTTGTGGTTTTTTGTTTAACTTCGAGTCGAATGAAGACTTAATATTGTCGTTTGCGTTTTTTGTACTGAAAGCTTTTAAAATCACAGAGATTTGTTCCATATGCTAGTATTTGTATTGAGCAAAGTAGATTTTAAAAAACAAACAATAAACATAAACACAATACTATATGTGGAGTTTCTGTAGTCTAAATAATTATGACGTCTTGGAAGGCTATTTTAAATTTTTGCTTTGACGCCTTCCTAAGGCGTCAAAGAAAAAAAAATATAATAGTCTTTCAAGACGTCATAATTATTTGGACTAGAGTTTCTGTAACATAAACATCATTGGATACCAAATACTTAGTGGACACATTCTCCAATATTTTGCTTAATATATGTATTAAGATGTTTAAAAATTTTGTGGGTAAACTCTACAAGAGAGAGATGGGAATTTCTAATTTTACGCAGTTAGGAATTTTCGAAGTTGAAATTAATGAACTTTTTCAGAGGGAATGGTACTCTTTTTCATGATCTGCGTTTGTTAATTAGCAATTAACAAATACATATGCGTTCGACCAGTTTTGTGGCAATATCGAGATGATAACAGTGAAGATACGTGTATTAAAAGTTTGGTGTATCTTTCGAACAAGAATCAGCAGTTTAGTGTCCGACTTGGACAGAAAATTCTTTTTAAAATTGAATGACCTAATAGTCCAGTAAAACGAGTTAGAATTAACAATTTATTTAAATGCTTTTACGATCAACCATTCGTATAGCCGGCCCATATAGAAACGACTTCGAATTATCGAATCTATATACAAGATTGTTTTTATTTTTGTAAAATAAATAAAAACGTAATACATGTACTTTTTTTTATAATAATAGCAGTTCCAACTTCTCATCTACTAGTATACAGAAACTATTGATTGACTGAATGGTTATTAATGTCCGGTGGCAAATATTACATGCACACAGGACGAGAATACGTTGACGTGATGTGAAAATGAACTATTTGTGTTGTCAAGACCTACATACTTAGTTCATTTTGAACTAGTTCACAGGGTAACAGTCATTATTCCAGAATCGATACGAGTTGAAGAGTCTTCGTTCTAGTAAGATGTGTGCTTTTGGCAAAGCGGAAAATAATAATTTTCAAGTTTTTTTGTTAACCCTAAAGGGATTATGTTTTTTTTTGCACTCAAAGCGAGTATACGTTATGGTGGTGGTACCGACAACTATGTGGCTGGTATTTTCTAAACAATGCCCGTAATATAAAAAGTTCCGCTACGTTTACACCATTTGTATGTATTTATCGTACACAAACATGTCTTACAGGATTAAAAATTCCGATGCATGTGTATTCTTCTTGCTTTTATTCTTTATGTAGTTTTTAAAATGCATACATAGAAAGACCAATTCCTATATGTAAACTTTGTCCTTAAATCTCTCTGTTTTTTTTTTTTTTTTTTTTTTTTTTTTGTAAAAACGACGTGGATGCACGTGCTGCCGTTCCTCCGGGTAGCTACGCCCCTGTTCACCAGTTTATTTATAAAATCAAAACCCCATGTTGATGAGCAAAGGAATGGAAACAAGTGTAATACATGTATAAAAAGCTTTCCCATCTACAGTGTTTTGATCATAAAATAATTGGCTATCAAAAACTATTTTAATGTTGTAACAAAAAACACCATTTTACATGCAAATTAACTGATATTTCTACTTGCTTAAATCTTATTTACAATTGTTCTTAAAACAAAAAAGGTCAACCAGTCACGCTACAGCGGAATCTCATTCTCAGTAGTTTAATAGATTGAAAAGTTATTACAGACAGACCAGGTGGTGTCTCTTAGTACACCAACTAATGAGATTAATATGTGATATATATTTAAAATACATTTATGACAGCTAACTTTGATTTTTTTTTTACATTTTGTTTTGTATTTTTCTTTTTGTATTTTTCTTTTTTTTATTTTTCATGATTTAAAAAAAAATCTGATTATATTTTACCATAAAAAATGCCATTTACAACACACATACACACATATAGTTCAACTGTCTGAACACATGTATTTCAATGGATTATAGTTCAAAAGATTAGCATTAACATAATATTTAACTAAATTTTCATATTGATATCAGAATTTACAGAATAAGAACTGCAGTTTTCAGGTTCTGTTAGCAGGGAATTGTTGGATGATGCTTATTTTACCTAAAAAATTTGAGGAAATGAATGTTTTAAAGGTACTATTGAAGACCTGATTAAAGAAAAAGCTGTAACCAAAAGCTGTGACATCATGACATAATTCAACATTAACCTGTATTCCTTATTGATGTCATAAATAAAACCCTACAGAAACGCATATCAACATCACAAACAAGGCATTATATGTCAGTGACTGTATATCATAAATAACTATATGGTCAATGCAATTCCACTGTACAAATTGTGTTCGCACAGTATTTCCAACAAGTATAGTTGCAGTATAAAGATGTATTCATATGCAGCATACATTTACATAGACATATTTCAGCATGTTCAGAGTAAATTACCAACAATCACAAGCATTCACTGTGCACCACTTATTGCGGACCTGTTTCTGTATTGTAATGAGTTACAATTTATGATAAAATCAGCAAAGACCCATCGAAACAACATCTGATACAAAAATTTAATAACACTTTTAGATATTTGGATGATATATTGGCTCTCAATAATGACGACTTCAGTATGTACACTAAAGAGATTTATCCTGCTGAACTGTCTTTAAATAAAGCTAATACTAACAATGAACGCTGCCCTTTCCTGGATCTTGATATCTATATCTTTAATGGGAAGCTTAATACCAAATTTTATGATAAAAGAGATGACTTTTCATTTCCCATTGTTAATTATTCATTTTTAGATGGTGACGTTCCCTTGTCACCATCTTATGGTGTTTATATATCTCAACTTGTTCGATTCACTCGTGTATGTAACAACAAATTTGATTTTAACGAAAGAAACCTCTGTATTACTGAAAAATTATTACACCAGGGTTTTCGATATCACAAACTAGTCAAAACATTTACTAAATTTTTATCATCGGTACAAGGACATCATTCTTCATTATTAATCAACATGCAGACATCTTATACGTTCAGGTATTTCACATCTACATTGGCTAGAGGTATAGGGGGAGGGTTGAGATCTCACAAAACATGTTTAACCCTGCCGCATTGTTGCACCTGTCCCAAGTCAGGAGCCTCTGGCCTTTGTTAGTCTTGTATGTTTTTTAATTTTAGTTCATTTATATGTTTTTGAGTTTAGTGTAATGTCCATTTTCATTGAACTAGTACACATTTTTGTTTAGGGGCCAGCTGAATCCCGGTGCTGGATTTTCTCGCTGTGTTGAAGACCCATTGATGGCCTTCGGCTGTTTTCTGCTCTTTGGTTGGGTTGTCTCTTTGACACATTCCCCATTTCCATTCTCAATTTTACTATGTAATTTACCTCTTAAAGTGACTGTATATATTAACTGAATGACCATGTGTGTACTGTATGTTTACATTCCACACAGCTGAAAAGATATCCATCAGCAAGATTGTTCTAAGGGCTCTTCTACTTGCTGAAACTAACAAATGTTAGACCATTTAAGAGAGAGAATGTAGTTGTAATAGCAGCTATGTACAATCTTTTTCTAGATGAATGAATTCATAAATGTAAAGCCAAACTCTTTAGTTGTACTCCAATAAAGTAATATTAACATCTTCCAGTGATAAGTTTATTGATAATGTGAGTTTATAAGTAAATGATATTCATTGAATATTCATACATTAAATAAGAAAGGCAGTACGTGCGTCAATCAAATTGCTGTTTTGGATTATGCTGTAAAGCAGGTGTGACATATATCTTTATTTTATATTACAGACAAGATAGTATAAAGATTACAGAAAGAAAAATATGTGATCTGATGAATGCATGGAAAAACAACCTAAGGACATTTTAGACATGGAATCTTCTTCCAAAACAGACATGAACGAGGTCACTAGGCATGATGAGAAAAATGGTCATTTCATTGAAAACCATGACGACATCCCTGAAACATTTCAACTCTATGACAAAGAAGGTTTAGTTTCATTTAAACGAATAATGTATATATGTCTTACTACTTGTTAACTGTTGGGATAGTAAATATTTCTTGTCATTTTATAGATATTTAGTTCCTTGTTAAAGTTTTATTCCAAGATAGTGGAATAATAATTCTTGAAGATAGTAAAATGATATAAAACTGATATTTAATTTGTTTTTGTATAATAATCAATGATATGATTACTGTTGTTTTTTTCCAATAGGGGTAAATTTATTTTATCCCAATTATTAATAATCTCAGATTTTCCAACTTTTTCCACATGGAGTTTTTAATACTCAACTCTTTTTACAGTCCAAAAAGTTTCTAAACTTTCACTGGTTTGTCTGTCCAGTTGATGTGTTCATATTTAACATTATTTGAATGGAAATTTATGTATCAACAACATACTAATTTTCAAGAAAAATCTATGGACTTCAGAAATTGGAGATTTGATGATTTTAAGACAAATTTACACATGTTTTAGCCGATTTTTTTGTGCTCTCTATTCAAATGTTCACCTATTTTGAAAGAAAATCAGAAAAGAAAAGAGATAAATGTATTATTTTTTCGATTGTCAGTTATATAGTTCATAAAGCCATAGGTGTATCCAAAGTTTTACCAAAATCTGCGACATAGCCCATTTACTGTACCTTGACCTTAATGTCTGTCTATAATTTAGTGGTAGATTCAGGGAAGGGGGGGGGGGGGCGTGGGGGAGTAAGCCACCCTTTTTTGATTACCTGGTAGATATATCAGGACTCCTGGATCTGCCCCTGGACTTTTTAACTGACATTGGACTAAAAAGAAACTGTGCAGGAATGACTTTTTGTTCATTCCAGAACAGGAATATATTCAGGATGACACATATCTTAATTCACTTCATTATTGATAGATAAAGCAGAAACTTTCTGCGAAAAATGGTGTGTTATTAGTACACATTTCTTTTATTTCAGAAGAATCAGATATAAATGATGATGACCCAGAATGCAATGTGGTTATTGAAAGTACACATGTGACAGTTCCAGATGGAGGCTATGGATGGGTGGTTGTATACAGTAGCTATATGGTGCATTTTATAATTGGTAATTCTGTGTTGGATACTTTGTACTAATTTGTGTGTACTTATTGATGGACTTCTGTTTAATAAGTTCATGTTTTTTCATAGCTCCCATAAAATTTCTTGATAGTATTTGTAAACTTTAAAAATCTGTATGCTGTAAATAAAAGTAAAAATATATATCAAAGAATGGTATTCATAGTAATGTGATAGATGCTCATAAGGCAAGATAAAAGTATATTATACAAAGGAAAATCCTAAGATCAAGTTAATGTAATGGAATTTGTCCTACAAAATTCGATTTTTATGCACCCTAAAAGATCTTGTAGAGACATAATTAAAAATTCCATACAAGTTGCTTTCTTTAAAAAAAGAAATGCAATTGTAAACCCAAATGCTTGTTTGGCATTAAATATTAGATAATTGTTTTTTTTAGATAAGAGTTAGTTTCTAGGCTTATGTTCAAATACAAATGTGAAGAAATTTAATCAATTAATGATTATTTGTGCTTAAAAAAAGAAATGCAATTAAAATTAAAAAATAATCTATTTTATTATTGTGTCACATATTGATTGACATACATATTATACAATAACATTAAAACATACATAGAACAATCAATACCCAGCCATATCAATTTGGCTTATGAGACACATTGCACAAAATATATACAAATATAAAAATCCAACAATACTTTGAAATACTATAAATATTTAAAACTAATAACTATGATTTAAGAGTATTTTCAACATGATGAATAAAACGAAAGAAAAATATATAAAAAATTTTCGTAAAAAAAAAAATATTTACTTTACATTTATCTAAAACTTCATACACATGATACATATGTGAAAATATTTACGTAAAGATATCTAGAAAAAAAACTAATATGCATAATGTAAATAAACAGAATAAATCAAAATGATTATTCACGGTTAAATATTTAAGTAAACAATATTAACGTCGCATAAAAACGGTTAAAAATTTATGTAAACAATTTACGTCGCATAAAAAACTTATAAATACTTTTACATAAAAATGGCTGAATCTCGGAGCAATTCATGATTTGTATAAATTTTAAATCATCATTCAAATTTTCGAAACTATTAATATTTTGTGAACATTCTGAGTAAAGGTCAAATCTTAAATCATTATATAGACAACAGTTCAATAAAAAATGTTTCTCAGTTTCAACACTATTGTCAGAACAATAAATACATAAACGATCTTCAAAAGGTATTGGCGGCTTGGTGTATCTTCCAGTCTCGATGGCTAACGGGAGTGAGCCTGCACGAAACAGGGCCATTACACGTCGGTACGACCGTGGAATAATTTTTGAAACATACGGTTCCACGGAACAGTTACTTTTGTATTGCCTGTATGTTCTAAGTTTATTTCCATTATCTTTTCCGTGATCGTTAAAGAGTTCTCTTTGCCATTCTGTATTATTTATGGTGTTAACTTGTTCAATGATTTTTTTCATGGCTACTTTTGTACTAATTGTCACATCACTAACAATGTTCCTAATTTGCAATAAGTTGACCGTCTTCTTCACCTCCGTATTCCAGCCTTTCCGTCGACGTGATATCCAACTCCAAATTTTGTATACAGTTCTACTCTGATCCATTCGTGTTAGTTTACACAGAAGCCGTGTGCAAGAAACACGTTGTTTATTCAAACAGGATGTCCATCCTAGGTCGCCCATTGTAGAAATATTAGACGTATTTCTACCCACAGATAAAAAGTACTTACAAGCTTTGTTTTGAACAGAATTAATTACGCTAAACGATTTGGTTCCCCAAATTCCACTTCCGTACATTAAAATAGGCTCCACCATTGAGTTGTACAATTTTGTATAAACTTTATATGACATACCACCGGATGAAATAAAACGTCCAAAAACAGCCCCCAAAGCTCGGCTTGCTGATTTTGCTAGCTCCTTGGTATTTTTTGTAAATGTAAGATTTCGTCAAGCCAAATCCCAAGATATTTGTAAGAATCCGTTATGGTTAAATCATAATTACTACATGTAAAATTAAAGTCCAAAATATCAAACGATTGCGGTCTAAAGTGAACAACTTTGGTCTTTTCTGGGTTTATGGACAACTTCCAAGATGAGCACCAGTCTGTAAGGACATTAAGCATACACTGTAAACTCTGTTCGTCCGGCGCGATTAATGCAATGTCATCAGCATAAAGCAAAATGCTTAATGTTCTTTCACTTAAAGACACTCCACAGTCAAGGCTGTTAATACGGTCGGCTAAGTCATTTATATATACAGAGAATAACGTAGGCGAGAGAATACATCCCTGTTTAACTCCAGATGACACATCAAACCACAGTGTTAACATATTATTCACTCGAACCGTGCACTGAACATCTTCATATAATGATTTGATTGCATTTAAAAATTGACCACGAATTCCCATAACTTGAAGCTTGTACCATAGTAAATCCCGCTTTACAGTATCGAACGCTTTTTTCATATCCACGAAACATACGTATGTTGATTTCTGGCTGATTTTTCTATCATTTAAAACTGAATACAATGCGAAAATGTGTTCTTCACAGCTGCGGCCATGCCGAAATCCGTTTTGCTCATCGCAGAGAGAGTCATTTTCTTCAAGCCATTTGCTAAGACGATTATTTAGTACCGAACAGTATATTTTACACGTTACGGATATTAAAGTACAATACATGAAACTTAATAGCTGTTTTTATTGGAATTTGAGATATGTTCATGGTTATTTGAACAATGGCTTGATATTGTTCATTATTAAGATCCTTACACCTGCTCTGCAAGGTTTTTTGTGATGCTTAGGGTAGTAAGCATTGGTAATTTTAAGTGGTGTGCTTTGTGCTCTCAAAAGTTTTAGATGACAAACCTCTTTTGTTAAAAACACAAACTTTTTAAAACCTTTAACTCGATTTGAAGATATTTTTTTGAATGTCCCTTTTTATTTTGATGTTTTCTTATATTTTAAATTGTGGGTCATGAAAAAAGGCCTTCAAGTTTAATTGTAAATATATATAATTTGAATTGCACTGTATTCTCTTCACCTTGATGACCAAAACTAATTCATTAAGAAAGCTATTTACAGCCTAGACAAAACAGCTTACACCTTAACTTGTACTTATAAATAAACAAACTAAATTGAAAACAACAAAACAACTAACATAATCAAACCTGAAATTATCACTGAATACCCATTTCTAAACATAAGTTTGTTTAAAGGCCACATTTATGAACTGTTGTAAGGTGTTCCTTTTTTTATTTGAACACGTTTTTTCATTAACTTTTAAAGGGTGTCTTTTACATGGTAAAGTTACACTACTGTCTTATGGTATGTATGTAAATTCTTTTAAAACAGGTGTATTCATAAGCACATGTCCCAAGTCAGAAGAATGTTGTTTAGTGGGTTTTTTTTGGTGCAGTTCATATTTGCTTTTTGTTTCTGGTTTGAAGTTAAATTAGATTTGATTTTTCCTGTTTGAATTGTTTTATAACAGTGTCTTGGGGCCCCTAGTAGGATGCAGTTCAATGTGAGCCAAGCATTTGTGTTGAAGGCTGTATTATAACCTATAATTGCTTACTTTGACTACACTGTGTCTTGATGGAGAGTTGTCTCATTGGTATTCCTACCACATTTAAAACAGACATTCCCTCTGACATTTGACAATTCCATTAGAATAATCTAAATATTGAAATGGAACTGAAGTTGCCTTGTAGGTTTCTTATATTGACCTATCCTTTTTCTCTCGTGCTGGATAGTTTTATACTAGTCATTTGGGGGCACGGTATAGCCTATAGCCTACTGATCACTGAGATGGCTTGTATTGAAAGAAAAATGTAACCTGTAAAATTTGGCTTAATTGTACCACATTGTGTCTTGAAAGGGAGTTGTGTCATTGACATTCATACCACATCTTCTGATTTTTATATTGAAGCAGTTTTGAATGAAAAAAATCATTGATTTCCAATATTGAATTTTTTTTTTAACTCAATATTAAATTAGTCGATACTAAAGAAACTAATTCCTCAATTATATATGTCATACAATGTCATGTTTCCTGCTGCTTCTATGTTTAAGTGAAAGAAATCGTAAATGCAAACAACAAAGCAATTTAATACCAATAATATTTTATTTTAAACAAACATGGCAAGATCATTTTAGACAAAATACAAAAGCTCAGGCACTACAAAATAATAAAGTTTCATATAACTTTTCGAAATTAAGAATCTCTTTCAAACATTCAGACACATACAATGTATCAATTTATATGCAAATTTTACTTGAACAAATTTTTGATTTTGAAACTTGTAGTTAATTGGGAAAGTGTTTAAGTAAGAAATTGGCTAAGATATTGAATTTTTTAACTGGTTATGAAATCCTTTTCTCTGACAGATTAATCATAATTAAGCAATAAACTTGTGTTCTAATAATCTTAAACTCTAGAGTCCATGGTATTACTATAATGTGCACTATAAAGTACAAATTATTAACACTCGTCAATAAAAGTAAGGTTCAATTATATATTTACACTTATGATAAAATAGTATACATGTTTTAAGCAATAATGATTTTAAAGTAGATTGCCAAAAAGAATTGAAGTTTTCAGGCTCCTTAAAAAGTTTATGAAATCTAAGCTTTAGATATAAATATGTACAAAACCATATTGAATTTTCAATGTAGCCATTATGTCAATATATGGTAACAACAGGCGTCGCTCTATATAATTAAGATTCTCTCAGTATCAATTATGAATAATTTTATACTCACTTACTGTCTTGTAATCTAATTAATAAGTACAACAACCGATTTGTTTTTGCAATGTGATTTTAACATCACAAAGAAACACTTACAACCCATACACCGTAGCTGTTATATAAGACATCAGAGAAAGTTTAGTTTACACAGTTATGAGAACAGTTGACCAGGAGCTTTTAATCAATTATATATATATAGATAACGCGTTTACATCGGTTTACAACATTATCACAATGGTCACACAAAGCTCTGCTACTTGTGGTCAACATTATAAAAATATAACATAAATAAAACAAACTTCAAAATTTCCTAAAAACTATTTTACATGCATAAAACCTAAGTATCAATTATCCTGTCATCTTTCAAAATCTCCTTGCACTATTTTACATTTTCGTATTTAATATATTGAAACCGAAAATTCATCATCTGATCGTTTTCAAGAAATAATAATTTTTTTTTTTTTTTTGACGAACATTTTGAAGAGCCTTAATTACTACAGGTTAGATAATCTGTTCCCTGGCCCAGATAACTATAAATAGAAATTATATTTTCTTATCTCTGCCTGCATCTATCATCACTCGGTGTCTATAAATAGACATTTGATATCTTATCGCTGACCCTGTTAAGTCTGCTGAAAGTGCATGCATGACTAATTTTAAGGTTATCTATCGTAATTAAAGCGGCACATTTAATTCGTTATTTCATTGCTTGAAGTATTATTTCTTTCATCTGCATGGTCAAATGTATTTTTTTTTTAAATATATTTTAGATTTAGATTTCAGTTTTAGTTTTTTTTTCATATTCAATATCTATTTATTCACATTCTAATAACGAAAAAGGATCCAGATACACCTATAACAATCTGATTTGTTATTTTAATCAAGGAGGTTATATGACCTCCTTGTTTTTTAAAAAGGAAATAATGTTGCAATATTTAAACAAAGAAAATAAGTGTATTTCAATTTGCAATGTACTTTCATAATTAATTTAAATGTTATTTTTAATGAACTATATTTTTTTACATCCATTCAAGGACGTATAATAGATTGTATAACATCCAGTGTTCCGAAAGACTATGGACATCGTCCAATATATACTACGTAAACCCTCAGGGGTTTACGCAAAAAATGGTATGAACATGAACCTGTTGCAATATATATAGTGTTCATAAAATATGACAATAGATTTTTTATGGGTTGTTGCCATGGGTACAGGAATGAAACCAATAATTTGAATATATGTCATGAAAATATTATTTGAATGCTATATATTACAGAAAATATGTTATCGAATGCAAATTTTGTAAGTTTTATTTTAGTAAAAAGCTAATAAATAACACAATTTTTTTTTTTTTTTGCTCATGACATAACAAAAATCAACTTGTAGACAGTTGTATAATTGGCAAATAACATCACATCTATTCCAAAATCCAGTTTTGTTAGCTAGGATATCATATCATGTTTTTTTTAATTCATAACATTATGTAGGCCAATAGTAATCTTTTATCTAAATTAGTTGAAACTTTCATTGCAGGTGGAGTAGAAAGGTCAGCTGGTCTGTTTTACCTACAGTTTTTGGAGAGATATAATGAGTCAGCAGCACTAACAGCTTGGCTTTGTGGTGTTGGTGCTGGAGTCAGATTAATGTTAGGTAATTATAGTAAATCTTTAGTTGATTCTTTAGCTTTAGAAGCGATCTGACCAGGATGCTATTAAATGACACTTTATACTAAAGCAACACAATCTAGATGACATCTGGCCTTGCAGTCATAAAACTTTTGTGCATGATTATCGAGACCTACAGCCCTTTTTAGCAAAAGCAATAAATGTAAATGTACACAATATGATGGGTGCCACATTTGCTGCAACTTATATAAAGTTTTCTTTTGGAATGCTGTATGCTAGATATTCTTACTGGAGGTGTGATGAGATAATTGAAGCTGTAAAATTTCTCCTTGAAAACATCTATATACCTCTCAGGAATAAAATTTATCGACAGGTTGTAGAAATTCCCATGGGTATTAATTGCGCCCCTTTAATTGTAGACTTGTTTCTGTATTGTTATGAATCACAGTTTATGACAAAAATCAGTGAGGATACATCTAAATTTCTTTTAAATGATAAATCCAGCAACACCTATTGTTACCTTGATGATAGTTTTTTGTTCAATAATCAATAATTCTCTAAATATTCTGTTGAAATTTACCCAAGGGAACTTACTTTAAATAAATCTTATATACACAGCAGTAACTGTCCTTTCTTATTTTTAGATATTTCAGTTTCACAATGGAAACTCTATATTAAATTTACAACAAAAGGGATGATTTTTTGTTCCCTGTTATTTCCCATGAAATAAACATTGACTTTGCATTCCAACAGGAGAAAAAAATTGTCTAGGCAATATGTCTAACAGCTATAACCATTTAAATGGAATTAATGAAATTACCAATCGTCTCTTTATTACATGTCTAGATGTATGTTTTAGAGTGTGAGTCATGTACTTTTATTAGTTTAATTAGAGTTACAGGTACATGCACTTTATTTTGTAACAGAAAGGAATGGCATATTTTTTAACAATAGGAAAAAAAATTTTTTTGGAGCAGTTTAGGTTAGAGGAAATGATCTATATATTTATTCCTTACGTTGAAACTTTTTTCTGTCACATATTACTAAAAAAATGCTAAGAAAATGTAGTTAGAATTGTGGATAGAAATGGGAAATGTGTCAAAGAGACAACAACCCGACCAAAGAGCAGAAAACAGCCCAAGACCACCAATGGGTCTTCAACGCAGCAAGAGATCCCGCACCCAAAGGCGGGTTTCAGCTGGCCCCTTAACAAAAATGTATACTAGTTCAGCAAAATTGACACCACTCTAAACTCTGAAACAGACAAATGAACCAAAATTTAAAAAACACACAAGACTAACAAAGGCTAGAGGTTCCTGACTTGGTAGTCAAAACCAATTATATTTATAATTTTAGATTAAAAAACAAATACCGGTATTTGAAAACTGTTTTTTTACTATCTTGAAATGAATTAATATATATTGACTGTATGAATTACTTGAACTGTTCTTTTTTTCAGGTCCATTGACTGGTGCAGTTGCTAATCGATTTTCATGTAGAGCTGCAATGGTATGGGGAGGAATAATTACATGTATCTCCATGATAATATCAGGGTTTGCTCCAAATATTGCTTTCCTGTTTATCAGCTTTGGATTTTTAAGTGGTAAGATTTTGTTACCTACTATAAAGTGCACTTTTCACTGGTGCTGCAATTGCCATTTCAAAGTTATACTCCTTGATCTATTTCAAAATTGATAATGATATATAAGGGTATTACGAAAAAAATTTACAGGAAAGATGAATGGTTGAATCTCTTCTAGTAGACCCAAATGGTTGACTGGAGTATAGAAATATGGTCATCACTTGATTTCTCCCACCCGACAGAGTTACACCGTTGCTAAATTAGTGCATATTTTTGGCTATGTGGGATATATAGATATGCAACTATGTGTAAAGGGATGGGAACGTTAAATCTGATGCCCTTTAAAGGCTGATGAGTGCCACACTCTATGGAAGCTAAAGAAACCTTGCAACAACTGACGGGTCTGTATATGACCTGTTGCAATGCAAAATTTCTACTGCTATCCAACATACTCTCATTTTAAGTAGGTAGTCCAAATTTCCAGGCCAACTTTAATAATTGATGAGCTTAACTATTCTATTAGTTGTTAATTTGTTCTTGACCTAAATACACATGAAATATTTGCAACTTGACAAGCAACAATAAATCACTATACAAATCCAAAATTTTAGTTGATGCGTGATAACTGAGTAATTTACCTGACAACAATGATGACACATAATATTCAATCAAGTCCTATGCAAAATCTCAAAAACTAAACCTAGTCAATGTAAACTGATATACTGTGTGGAGTATGCCAAATGGGTTTAAAAATGGTTGCATTTTGGGGACTTATCAGCGAAATTTAGGTAGCTGAACTGAACACAAAATATGAGTTAGCCACTTTCATATAATTAAGAAAAAATTGAATTTTAAGCAATCTTTTTGACTAGACTTTTTTCCTTACCTAGACAGCAGATTATAATTTTCCACATTTGCATGACATGAAGCATTACGTTTGCACACAATTTACCTGTTAAAAAGGTCACTAGGTTTGCGCGAATCATTTAAATTTGTTAATAAATAAATAATTTAAAATCGTCAATTGAAATGGAAATGTGGTTAACACACAACAAGGATTTGGGATTGCAATTTCTGCCAGCGGAGAAAGATGAGATGATATAATGCCAGACACTCCTGAAATTGAAAGCCTCAAACTATTTTCCAAGTACTTAGTTGAAAATAACGTCACCAGTGTGTCTATAGTATTGCCAAGAATACTGACAGCCTTGCCAAATGAAAACACAAAACCTATTCCAACAATGGACCAGAGTCTTTTTACAGCAAGGACTGAATTCGAGAGTAATGTGTTTTATTGCAGAATATAGTTTATATACTTAGAAGGTTCCTTTTCAGGAAATACATACTGTATTGTATTCAAGACTTTACTTGTGCATACATGTAATGCTGTTTAATTTTTAATGAATAAAGACTTCTCTGATTATATAATTTATTAATATCAATTATTTTTTTTCAAATTCCATAAAGTTCAGATCATTCCCAGGATAAAAACTCAGGTAAATTAGTGCAACCGTAATACAGTTTGTTCGTCAAATAAAGGTTATATTATAATGTTTCTGTTATATTTTACCTGTAAATTGGAGCAACAGCAGTATTTATTTATGGTGCAAATGAAATACAACCCTGTGGCGCATATGAAATATTGCATTTTTCAAAAATTGGTGCAAATGCAATGGGTGCCATATGTTCGCGGAAATGTAATAAAACCTGTCAAAATTCAAATTCCCGCAAATGTAGGTCGCCCACCACAGGAACATCTTCCTGGTCATAAAAAAAATCACATCAGGTGTAATTACTGAACCAGCAAGCCCTAATTAAATACTTTATCCCTAGAATAGTATTGCAATCAAGATTAATTGGTTGTCTGACAGCTAAGATTTACCTGTTCAGTTTAAAGATAAGGACCAGATATCCATCAATTATTTTGAAGTTTTATGTTGAGCCCATGAATTTGGTAAACTAGATAGATTAATAAATGATGTAAAAGTAATATGAAATTGTATTTTAAGATTAATTTCACATAAAAAGAAAGAGTTTGTGTTTGTACTGCATGCTGTAATTTTCAGAACTGAATACAGAATGATGTTGAGAATCTGTCATAATACCAGGTTTTATTTTTTTTTACAGGTATTGGAAGATCCTTAGCATATTGTCCAGCTGTTGTGATTGTTGGGTTGTACTTTCATAAAAAGCGTGGAAAGGCTGTTGGTGTAGCGACATCTGGTGTAGGTTTTGGTACCTTCGTTATCCCACCAGTAATTAAACTTCTGTTTGATTATTATGGATTTACAGGAGCTTTTATTTTGATTGGTGGAATAACACTCAACTTAACAATTTATGGAATTCTGATGAGACCATTGTCAGTTCACAGGAAAATAGAGGCAATTCAGAAAAGGTATTTCTCATATATCTTATAACATTTATTGAATGCCGTAGTTTTTGAAAGTCTTTGGGTTCAGAACTCACAGAATTTATAATTAACTATTTAATCAAATATTCAGTGCTCACACAATTTATAGTTTAATGGTGAAAGTTGCTTTGTATTCTCAGTCTGACAGGGACCAATTTTTGGTTTTTGAGAGAAATGCATGTTCATTCACAATGCTGTAATATGTCTTTGCTACAATATTGCTGTTTTTTCTTCAGTTTCCTCTCATTTGTTTTGAACTGTTTGCTATGAATCCAATATTTATACATTTTTGCCTGTTTTCAGTATAAAATAATGCAAATCTTACTGGATATATGTTTTATGCATGTTAGATAGTTGAACTATCTTGATATTAACACTTTTGCAGATTAAATGAAAAAACTAAAATAAAAATGAATGGCCTTTTATAACTACCAGTAACTATAGAGTAAGGGTTTTGCTCATTGTTGAAGGTTGTACAGTGACCTTAAGTTGTTCACTTCCTCTTTATTTTGGTTTCTAATGAATATTTGCAATCATACCACAGATCACATCCTTTTTTATAGCAATAAAACAATTCAAATTATAAAAGCCGTCTAAATTTTTGTATCAGAAACATGCATTTTCTGTTTCTTTACCTTGGTTTTGCATATTTTAGAATTTTCGGGGTATGTTTAGGTCATTATATGTTACAAACACCAGCTTAAGCATATTTGACTACACAGGGTTATGTACTAAATTTAAAAATCACAATTAGGGCGATTCAGGTGTAGAGAAATATGAAATTAACGTTTTTTATGACATGCATGCTTTATTTGCAGGAAAGTTGAAGTGTTGATGGTTACAGATGTAGAAGTTACAATACTTCCCAAGTCTGAAAGATTAGATGATAACCTATACGATAGCATAGACTTTACTATACCAGTGCTCCAGGAAAATGAAAGAAGCAAGAAAAATAATTCATTTAGTAATTTAAAAAAAAGGATCTCCTCGGTTGTGTCATTTACAAAATCAAAGCAAAGTAAACCCAAAGAAAGAGCAAAGAAGAAACTCTTTGAATTTTCTCTACTGAAAGATTTAAGATTCGCATGCTTTTGTTTTGCCATTTTGCTTTTCACATTGGCATTCCAGTCTGCGTTTGTCTTTTTGCCAGCATATGTAAAACAGATAGGAGGAGGTGACACTAAGGCAGCTTTCTCTGTTGTTATAGCAGGAGTATTTGATGGAATAGGGAGAATATTAGCTGGATTTATTTTAGACATGAAGAAAATAAAACCATACAGAATTTACATTTACAATAGTATCATGTTTGTTATTGGTGGTGTGTCTTTTGTGATTCCAAATTTAACTGATTATGTAGCAATTGCTATTGCATGTGGAGTTTATGGGATTTTAGTTGGATCTTATATATCACAGAAATCTGTTGTTATAGTAGATTTACTTGGACCAGAAAAATTAACTTATTCGTTTGGAATCATGATTCTTTTCCAAGGTATAGGAATGTTGATTGGACCAACAATTGGAGGTGAGTGTCAGTTTATTGTCATAAATATTAATACAAAATATTTATTTTAGTTTGGGGTATATATTAATACAAAAACATAAGCTCTGAAGAGCTTTTTACCGAATATATATAACATAAAACAAAATAGCAAGTAGAAAAAAGATTAATACATACAATTTAAGGGAGATAAATCATGAAAATGTTTGCAGAAATTTGTGGCAGGAAATTTTTAAACTAAAAAACCAATAACAGAGATAGACAATATTTCCATGTTCATATAATGTTTCTTTTCATCCTATTTACCATTTGAAAATCAATAAAAATCCAAGCTACACTATTTTTATGGGGAGCGTAATATAAAAAAAAGGCAAAGCCTCAATGTTGAAAAGCAATTAAAAAAAAAAGAACAGATTATCAATAATTGGAAGAAGAGACATTTAACCATGCAAGGCAAAAAATATGCATATTCTTATTTGCCATGACAATACCTTTCCAGTACTAGAATGTGTTCTTTGTACCTTTCTTTTTCTTGAGGGATGTCTATATAGGATAAAGAGGAGAGGAGACATACATTTTAGTTCACTAAAATATATATATCATAGATTAAAAACCCTTGCATATGACCTTTAAGCTGAGTTTTAACATTTTAAAATGAAGACTTACAGACAACGAAGTTTATAGTTTTGAATGACTAAAGAATCCATATATTTTATATTTGATAATCTATCAGTGATATGGCTAAGGGGGTAAGTTATTTTTATACTGAAATATCAGTGCAAGTAACGTGAACCTTAGCCACACATGGCTAACCCTCTTTAGTCATGTAAGTTAATTTTCATCATACATTTCATATCGATTTTCCAGAATTCAAAATAATTCCAGATTCAAATAGTTCCTTGTTTCTAGACTCACTCAATTAGACTAGAGAATATTAGGTCAACAAACAAGTCTTACAATAATAATGTTAAACATGTATATGGCAATTGTCAAATATTTGAAAGAAAATATTGCTCTATGAAGCATTTATCATTTTTAAATTGTTACACCTTTTTAGTCATATTGTTTATAATTTTACTTTCTTTTACAGGCTTTCTTAAAGATATAAATGGAAAATATGACTATTCGTTTTATTTTGGAGGAGGTTCCATGTTATTTGGTGCTATTATCTTACTGCTTTCAAATGTGATTCATTTCATGAAAGAGAAAAGGGAAGAACCATAGACAGTTATTGGACAATTTAAATGACATTAATACAGTCATCTTTCAGAGCTACAAAAGAAATATCAAAAATATATTTTTATCTTATGGTTAGTGATTGAATGTGTGGTTACAAATATAAATAGACTAATTTTAAAGTATAAATCGAAATTTATATAAAAAATTCCATTAAATGGATTCAAAATCGTAAAATATCAGACCTACAAACAAGTTTTTGTCGAGCCTGCGACTTTTGTCGCAGAAAGCTCGACATAGGGATAGTGATCCGGTGGCAGCGGTGACGGCGTTAGCTAACTTCTTAAAAGCTTTGTATTTTAGAAGATGGAAGATCTGGATGCTTCATACTTTGTATATGGATGCCTCATGTTACGAAGTTTCTGTCAGTCACATGTCCAATGTCCTTGACCTCATTTTCATGGTTCAGTGACTACTTGAAAAAAAAAAGAAGATTTTTTGTAATGTTAAATTCTCTCTTATTATAAGTAATAGGATAACTATATTTGGTATGTGTGTACCTTGCAAGGTCCTCATGCCCGTCAGACAGTTTTCACTTGACCTCGACCTCATTTCATGGATCAGTGAACAAGGTTAAGTTTTGGTGGTCAAGTCCATATCTCAGATACTATAAGCAATAGGTCTAGTATATTCAGTGTATGGAAGGACTGTAAGGTGTACATGTCCAACTGGCAGGTGTCATCTGACCTTGACCTCATTTTCTTGGTTCAGTGGTTATAGTAAGGTTTTTGTGTTTTGGTCTGTTTTTCTTATACTGTATGCAATAGGTTTACTATATTTGGTGTATGGAATGATTGTAAGGTGTACATGTCTAGCTGGCAGGTGTCATCTGACCTTGACCTCATTTTCATGGTTCAGTGGTCAAAGTTAAGTTTTTGAGTTTTGGTCTTTTTTTCTAATACTATATGCAATAGTTCAACTATATTTTGTGTATGGAAATATTTTATGATCTATATGTCAGTCACACAGGTTTTATTTGACCTTGACCTCATTTTTTAACAGTTCATTGCTCAGTGTTAAGTTTTTGTGTTTTGGTAGGTTTTTCTTAAACTATAAGCAATAGGTCAACTATATTTGTTGTATGGAAGAATTGTTAGCTGTACATGCCTGCCTAGCATGGTTCATCTGACCTTGACCTCATTTTCATGGTTCATTGGTCAATGTTTAGTTTACTTGGTTAATGTTAAGTTTATGTGACAGTTGTAATAAAGCTTTATATTTAGGACTATCAACATAATATCAATGATTAGTAAAGAAGGCGAGACATTTCAGCATGTGCACTCTTGTTTTTTAATGTCTGATAAAATTTTAAGCAACTTGTTTTTTCATGCTTCTTATCCTTTGAATATTTTTTACTTTTCATCAAGGAATTATTTTCAACATATAAGCATTCTACATGAACAATTTGTTTTAATGCTTCTTATCAATTGAGACCTACCAATTTCATGCCACACTTCCTACAAATGAACTAACTCATCTCTCATATTGCACAATCTGTTATTCAAGCTTCTGACTTTTATTATGTCTCCCTTTCAACAAAACTGACAACAAATCCTTTTTATACGACCGCAAAAAAATTTTGTGGTCGTATATTGGTATGACGTTGACGTCGTCGTCGTCCGAAGACACATTGGTTTTCGCACTCTAACTTTAGTTTAAGTGAATGGATCTTTATGAAATTTTACCATAAGGTTCAATACCACAAAAGGAAGGTTGGGATTGATTTTGGGGGTTATGGTACCAACAGTTAAGGAATTAGGGGCCAAAAAGGGGCCAAAAATAAGCATTTTTGTAACTTCCAGACATAACTTGTGTGTTAGTTTATGGATCTCTCTGACATTGTACCACAGGGTTCCATATCATAAAGGGAATGCTGGGATTGATTTTGGGGGTAATTTCCTCAAAATTTTGGGAATTAGGGGCCAAAAAAGGGGAAAAAATAAGCATTTTTCTAGTTTCATGACAATAACTTGGGTGTAAGTGTATAGATCTTTCTGAAATTGTACTACAAGGTTCCATATTTTAAAGGAAAAGCTTGAATTGAGTAAGGAGGTTATTGCCCAAAACGTTTAGGAATTAGGGGCCAAAAACTTGGCAAAAAGGGTCCAAAAATAAGCATTTTTCTAGTTTCCAGACAATAACTTGTGTTCAAGAATATGGATCTCATTGAAATTGAACTGCAAGGTACCATTCCACAAAGGGAAGGCTGGGATTGATTTTGGGGGTAATTGCCTCAAAATTTTAGGAATTAGGGGCCAAAAAGGGGCAAAAATCAAGCATTTTTCTAGTTTCAGGACAATAACTTGTGTGTAAGTGTTTGGATCTGTATTAAATTGTACTACAAGGTTCCATATCACAAAGGGAATGCTGGGATTGATTTTGGGGGTAATTGCCTCAAAATTTTAGGAATTAGGGGCCAAAAAAGGGGCAAAAAACAAACATTTTTCTAGTTTCATGACAATAACATGTGTGTAAGTGTATGGATCTTTATGAAATTGTACTACAAGGTTCCATATCACAAAGGGAAAGCTGGAATTGAGTTTGGGGGTAATTGCCCAAAACATTTAAGAATAAGGGGCCAAAAAGGGGCCAAAAATAAGCATTTTTCTAGTTTCCAGACAATAACGTGTGTTTAAGTGTATGGATCTTTATGAAATTGTACTACAAGGTTCCATATCACAAAGGAAATGCTGGGATTGATTTTGGGGGTAATTGCCTTAAAATTTTAGGAATTAGGGGCCAATAAAGGGGCAAAAAACAAGCATTTTTCTAGTTTCATGACAATAACTTGTGTTCAAGTGTATGGATCTCTCTGAAATTGTACTAAAGGTTCCATATCACAAAGGGAAAGCTGGGTTTGAGTTTGGGGGTAATTGCCCTAAACGTTTAGGAATAAGGGGCCAAAAAGGGGCAAAAAAACTAGCATTTTTTAGTTTCCAGACAAATACTTGTGTTCAAGTGTATGGATCTCTCTGAAATTGTACTGCAAGGTACCATACCATAGAGGGAAGGCTTAGATTGAGTTTGAGGGTGATGAATCATAAGGGGGTTCAAAAAATTTGGGGGGAGGGATTTTTTTTTTCCTTTTTTTTTTCTTTAAAATTTTCCATTTTAAATTGGTTATTTCTGATTTATATGTAAAAGCAAATAATAAGACGTATGACATTTGCGCCGATTTTAAAGATTTTCAATCTTTCATTTGCGCCGATTTGATTTTTTCATTTGTGCCGATTTTGTACAGGTAAACTAAAGGTGAATGTTATTTTTATTTATCATTATAAACCTCTTCCGTTCGCCAGTTGTACATATGTTATGAATGGTCAATTATAACATGTATATAACTGCTGTCCCCTGCAAGTAAATTTTTGTCGTTTTCATCTGGCTCAGAACTGGTGTTACGCTAAGTACAGAGTATAAAGACAAATCAAGTGACACTGGTAAATGGCTATCACAATTTTTTGGGCTACGATTCCTTCCCCCAGATGGAATCGAAGACTGCTTCATGTTTGACATAATGTCTAACGCTCCTTCTGATGACAAATGTCATGCATTGTTAGACTACGTACTAAGTACTTATATAATTATAATTATGCTCAACTTCAAGTTATGCACCTCATTTCTGGGCAGCTGCACCCATTGAAAACTAAGAGGATCGACGAATAACAGTCCAGAATCATTACAATGAACAAATTATAACATATATACAATTAGCTAACGGAAGAGGATTACAATTATAAATAAAAAAAATAACGTTCAACTGTATAAATTTACCTGTACTCAAATCAGCGCAAATGAAAGAAAAAATGGGCACAAGTGAAAGAAAAAATCGGCGCAAATGAAATGCAGATCGGCGCAAATGCAAAACGCCGAATAATAATGATATGGTTTGAATAGGTCAATTAATAATTTATAAGTTCTTAGACCAATTCATTCTGTGTCAGAAACCTATGCTGTGTCAAATATTTAATCACAATCCAAATTCAGTGTGTATCAAGCTTGAATGTTGTGTCCATACTTGCCCCAACTGTTCAGGGTTCGACCTCTGCAGTCGTATCAAGCTGTGCCCAGCGAAGCATTTTATTTCCTTTGACATAGGCATTTGATATTTTGCTCATGGGTACAAAACCTCAAGACCTAGGAGATTGAACTTTAACCTTCGAGGTCAACTGATTGATTATTAATATACTTTGGGGGTTTACATAGATTTTGTGTTAATGGGAAATGCCACACACCCTTCATCTCATTAATCATCAAGTATCTTGGGAATTTGTTATATCCCAACCCCTAAACCATATATACTTTTAAATGTCATTGCAAGACCATTACAATACATCATAGGTTTTGTACCTTGGGGTCATGCCTCATCCCCTTATATCCTAAATTCTAAACTTATCTCATACTGTTCTGATCCCCACCCCAAAACTGCACATATGTTAGATCTTTCCAATGCAGGTTTTGTATGATCATTTCATATTAATACATTGAAAAACATCTAAAATCATTTACATATATATGCATATTCTTATTTGCCATGACAATACCTTATCAGTACTTTAAAGTGTTTTTTGTACCTTCAATACCTTATCAGTACTATAATGTGTTTTTGTACCTTTCTTTTTCTTGATGGAAGTCTATACAGGATATATATGAGAGGAAACATACATTTTAGTCAACTAAAACAGTTCTGTCTAGTTTATTTTGTTTTTTCTTTACTTGTTCATGTTATTTTTTCATTTTAAGTACATTCTAAGAAACCCACACTTGCACTAATGTGTTTACATCTGTTTTTATACGACCGCAAAAAAATTTTTGTGGTCGTATATTGGTATGACGTTGGCGTCGTCGTCGTCGTCGTCCGGCTTCGTCGTCCGAAGACGCATTAGTTTTCGCACTCTAACTTTAGTTTAAGTGAATGGATCTCTATGAAATTTTACCATAAGGTTCAATACCACAAAAGGAAGGTGGGGATTGATTTTGGGGGTTATGGTACCAACAGTTAAGGAATTAGGGGCCAAAAAGGGGCCAAAAATAAGCATTTTCTAGTTTCCAGACAATAACTGTGGAACGGTGTATGGATCTCTCTGAAATTATACTACAAGTTTCCATACCACAAAGGGATGGTTAGGATTTGCTTTGGGGGGGTTATTGCTCAAACTGTTTAAGAATAAAGGGCAAAAAAGGGGGAAAAACAAGGTTGTCCTCATTAATGGACAAATACTTAAGTACAAAACATAATTTAAAGCAGTGTAAGGGAGATAAATCAAATACATCATTGAAATTATCTCCCTTACACTGCTTTTAAATTATGTATAAAGTAATGGTTAATGAACAATTAAGATAATTTAAAACAGTGTAAGGGAGGTAATCCAAATACGTTTTGGTTACTTCCCTTACACTGCTTTTAAATTATGTTTAAAGAAATGCATATTTATAAAGGAAGACCAGTATGGCGCATTAGATTTGTAAAATCTTTGACCACATTTATTTATTTGTTATGCCAATTCTAACCATGTATTTAGATTTTTAATTTTGGGTCCAGTTTTCAAATTGGTCTACATTAAGGTCCAAAGGGTCCAAAATTAAACTTTGTTTGATTTTAACAAAAATTGAATATATGGGGTTCTTTGATAATCTGAATCTAAACATGTATTTAGATTTTTGATTTTTGGCCCAGTTTTCAAGTTGGTCCAAATTGGGGTCCAAAATTAAACTTTGTTTGATTTCAACAAAAATTGAATATATGGGGTTCTTTGATATGCTGAATCTTACCATGTATTTAGATTTTTTATTTGTGGACCCCGCTATCAAATTGGTTCATATTGAGGTCAAAAGGGTCCAAAATTAAACTTTGTTTGATTTCATCAAAAATTGAATTATTGGGGTTCTTTGATATGCCAAATCTAACCGTGTATTTAGATTTTTAATTTTGGGTCCCGTTTTTTAAAGGCAGTGCTTTAATGCCTTTCTAGTTGCCGGGTTAATCCTTCCATCCGCGATATCCAACTTATCTACGTGGGGGGTCATTAGGCTCTAAGTAGATCCGGAAATGTTGAATTCTCTCCTCTTCTTATTGTGATGTAAAATGTTTTTTGTTTCATTTCATTAACATTGGGAAATAGAGAAACGATCATTGTGTTTTGTTAGTTTTAAAAACTTTTGATATATTTGTATTTTGCATTATAAGCAGTCAACCGATTGACAAACTAGAATTATTTTGAATTCCGTGTGGAAAGAGCTCGGGTTAATTTCGAGTGTTATCTGCAATCTAGATGTCTATAAATCATTTCAGTCGTTGATATAATAATTAAGAGTCGACTGAACATTAATTATATTATACAATTTAAAGCGCATTTCTGTCTATGCACGTGAACCCGTCTAACGTTATTGTTATTTCGCAGTTATATAAAGTAGCAAATTATCGTTCCTGAATAGGTGGCGCCGTGGTAGCCGATCCTGTTCCTCAACTTCCGGTTTCTGCACTGCAACTATTTCAGTTACATTTTTAATTAACGATGCCAAGTACTTGTTGTTGTGTTCCTGGATGTCATTTAAGAGGAGGACATGCATTTCCAAATGACTTAAAAAGAAGGAAAAGTTGGATCAACGCCATGGCCCAAACGTAGATTGGACGAGAACACGATGAAATCGTGGAGTCCATCTCAATCAGCTGTTGTTTGCAAGGCACATTTTACTGAAAAAGACTACGTGCTGGAAACTATTCATGGTAAAACTCTATTTTCTTTTTCAAATATATAGTTATATATGTAATCGTCATGCGAATAAACCAAAGTATGTTTACAACCGCAATTATCGTTTTAGAATAAAAGGGGGTGGTTAATTCAAGAGGTCATAATTTTTTGGATTACGATTCAATGTGATCTGTGTGAGATTTTTTGGTGATTGCTACAATTATAATGATTTCTTACAAGAGGTATATCATACTGAGAATTATTTTAGCAGTAATTATGCTAATGTAGTAATGACAGGAATGCATAAGCTATGCCTCATAGACTTTCTTGAAAAATATCAATGACAATGTTAACAGG